ACTATAAGCGGTGCGCGTTTTGCGAGGTGCATGCAATTCTCGGAGGACATGCGTTTCTCGGCACAACACCGCTAACAACAACAACAACGATCGCAAAATGAACAACGAACAAGAGAAAACCACCGAAAATGAAGATTTGTTGCCAAAAAGAAAAGGAAAGTCAGTTATCTGGAATTATTTCGGTTAAAAGAAGGATGATGTCGACCAAAACACGTCTTCTGTGTTCATCAGTTTCCACAATAACGTCCCAGCACAATAAAAGCTAAAAATATCTCTGAGACAGACAGAAGCCGTTCTACTAACATTCACAAAAAGAGGTAAGATCAGAGCAGGTTAACTGTCCTCAAGATTTCAGCAGTGCAGCATAACATTAAGTGCTATTCAGGTCATCTGGTGAAAACTCCTGTATTTTTAATATCGCAATATATATCGCAGGGTTAAAAAAATCGCAATATTATTTTTTTCCAATATCGTGCAGCCTTAGTCTAGACAAGTGGTGGGCAACTTTGATGATGGAGAGGGCCGCTATATTTCCACACTCGTTCCAGGGGGACCACATTACATATACTGTCGGTCCATTCGATGTCACACAAAAGTTGCAAAAATAGCCGATCTACAAGCTCCCTGGGCTGCCAGTTGCGCATGTATGGTCTAGAACTAGCTAGCTGGTTATTTTGTCTTCCTTTTGAGGGGTCGAGGTGACCATAATACGGTACTTCTCCTGTTTACTTCTCCAGAGAAAAGCTCAACTCTGATTGGCTGTTGTGACGCACATGTTTGATGGAGTAAGCTCACAGGTGATCACCGTGATCGAACTGAAATTTGTCACGATCATTAATCACGATCAAAGAAAAGACACTACATAGATGGATTATGAGGCAGATGGATGGTAGGGCAGATGACTCAAGATCACGATGCAGACAGAGTTTTGAGCAGACCGAGTGTGGTCCACTCAGAGCTGACCTCAACAGAAAGTGACCCAGAGGTGACATGATGCAGATGGAGCGTGGGGCAGCGGTAGCACGGTGCAGACCGAATGTCTCAAAGCCGATAGAAGCACACAGCTGAAACAGAGTGAATCTGAGCTTGTGCTGCTTGGACTTTCAAGAAGTCGAACCAACCTCCACATCACCATCACTGTCGGTGAAATCCACAAGAACACTTTAGGGAATGGGATGTGAAAATCACTACATTAACAAGTCCGTCAAAAACAATAACACAATGCAGCTGTGCAGACTAACCTCACTTGCTCCTGTTGTTTTCTTAACTCGGCTATACATGCAACACATCTGTGGATGCAGCTAGCGCACATCTGCTGCAGAGGAGGTGTCAAAATAAAACACACGCAGGTACAAAACGGTGACAGGGAAAGCGGGCGGAGGTAAAGCGGGAACATGACGAAGGGAATCTGAAGACTTAGTTGCAAAATCAGAAGCAGCAGATTGTGACCGTCCTGGTCAGCTCCAACATCTTATTGTACCTGTGAGCGATCCAAAACACGGTTAATCTTGTTGGACACTGAGCAAATCTGGGGATTAAATGTCTTGCTCAAGGAAAGTTGCTGATCACTACAAAACATCTCCCCGGGACTGGATTTTCCATGCCAGCACGAGATTTACTCCATGCGTGCAAAATGTAGAGAAAACGGGAATTAAAGTTTACACATAAAAGACGAGAGACAATTCGGCGCTTTATCTCTGGGAGGAGAATTATACGAATATCAATACGTCTCTTCAAAACATTCCCCTCAGCCAGGATGAGACATGGAATATTTGTGGGGAGAGAAAAGGGAGGGAGGGATGAGAAGAAAGAGAAGGGGGATCAGGGACGGATATTCTGACTCAGATGGGTAAATAAGACAAAGACGGGAAGGAAAACAAAACGAGCCAAAGAGGGAAAATGAGACTTAGATTCGGTTTTTGACAGGTGGCGAAGACAAAGACTCAAAGAGCGTGAAGGAGGCGGCTCATCATTAGCCCCGTCCCTCCTCTTCACCACTCCCTCGCCGCCGCCGCAGCCACATCTGCATCCGCGGCGTCTAAACGTTATCGAATGGCCCGCGGAGCTATGAAGCAGAGAGGACAGATGGAATTGCATTCTAACGCCTCCGATTAGGCTGATCAATAATCGCCTGTTGGAGCTTTGCCGGCTACACAAAAGGAGGAGAAGACGAGTTTAGAGCGGGGGTGAGGAGGGTGGGGGGGGGGGAGATAATGAGCGAGATGGAGGGGGATGATGAGGCTGTGATTGAGGAAGTAAGGGAGGGAGGAAAGACAAAAGAAATACGAGGGAAAAAGTGCGAGGAAAGGTGAGGAAGAAGGAAAGTTTGATTACAGCAGATGGGAGGATTATTACTGAGCAGCAGGAAGAGGCTGAGGAGGAAGAGGAGGAGGAGGAGGAGGGCACAGGTGGACTGAGGAAGGGGGTCGCACGGAGCCTGAGTGAAAAGAAAACAACATCTCGCCTCTTTCCCTCGCCGCTGATTTCCCCAGAGAGGGGCAAGGTGAGGAGTGAGGATTTGTTTGTGGCTGAAAATGTCTGTCTGTCTTTTTCTTTTTTTTTCTCTCTTGTTGCCACGGTTCCCTTTCTTTCTTTTACAAAGTCACACATTCACCCTTTAAAGTCTGCAGGGAGACACCGTCTCACATCATAAAGTGTTGATGTCTTTGGCGCCCACAAACACACTTAAAGATGAGGATCCCTAATTTGGGTCGTATGAATATCACCTACTTTGATGAAAAAAACACAATAAGGCAAATAAAGATGAAGCATAAAAAATGGAAACATGACAAATGCTTCTTATATTCAGGGGTTAGCACTGGTTTAATACTAGGGCCCAAAACACGCCGATTTTCGCTGATATTTTCAGAAATAAAATGGAGCAGAATAAGATTCAGTTTCAATTAAAAAATGTTCCGCCATTTGAAAAGTTCCCCGTCTTATCCTGTAGATGGCGCAGCGACCTCATGACAATCTTCATCCAATAAAGCAAATAAAGATGAAACTATGAAGCATTACAAATGGAAACATGAAAAATGCTTCTTATATTTATGGGTCCCAACACAAGGGCCCGACCGATTTATGGCGAGCCGATTAACTCAGACAATTTTAGCCCGTTTGAGACGAATCGGTAATCGGCCAAAGCTTGCCAATTTTCGCTGATATTTTAAAAGTAAAATGCAGCAGAATAAGATTCGTTTTCACTTCGAAAATGTTCCGCCATTTGAAAAGTTCCCTGACTTATCCTGTAGATGGCGCAGCGACCTCATGACGATCTTCATCCACTAACTACCTCACAGCACAGCAGAGTGACAGATCTGAAGCAGCAGCTCAGGGACGCACGGAGAGAGAGTGGTCCGCCTCAACGGTAAATAAACCAGTTTGTGAGTTAGCCACCTGCTATTAGCCTCGCTACACTGTTAGCCGTGCCAGTAATGGTAGAATAAACAACAGTACACATTAGTGATCGAGCTACTTCTCAAGACGCGGAGGCACCAATCGGCGGGGAGTAGTTGAAAACGCTTTTCTGGTGCGACTTTGATTCATGATAAATACGTGGAATATTACTGAGGTTAATGTTACTGAGAAGTGTTTGAAAGGCTCAAAAGCAGCCATTTGTTAAAAAAAATAAGTAAATATGTAGATATATTACTTAACAAAATTTTAAAACTTCATAAAATATGTAAAAAATCGGCCGATTAATCGGTAATTAGATTTTTTTCCTCCCTAATAATCGGTATCGGCATCAGCCCCAAAAATCCATATCGGTCGGGCCCTAGTTAGCACTGGTTTAACACCTCTCTTCAGATCAGACTAACCAAAACTGTTGGTACTGACTATTATTATGTTCAGAAAAATCACATTTTATTTTCTTGTTTGGAGAGTTTTCATGATTTTCCAAGGCTAAGTCCTATAAAACTCTTATTTTATTCGTACAATACAGTGGACCTTGAAAATCCTTGAAGAGACCGTGTGTGGGATGAGCCTTTGCAACAAAAAAAAAAAAATGCATCCAATAATCGAGTCTGACATACAGGAAGTTGAGTATACATGGACAGATTTACATATTCAAAGATGTAGCTTTGCTGGCGAGATTCCCTAGAAAGAGTTTGTGTTGCAGAGCAGCTGGCAGAGAAATATCTGTGAGGAATGTTTGCACACATGTTTCCCGGCGAGAGCGGGGATCTAAATCAACAGCATGTGCAGCTCTGCCACCCTGAGTGGCCTCGCAGTACGCTCGAATCTTAAATGATATAAAGAAACACGGGCTGGAAAACAAAATCTGATGGATCTGTTCGCCAACATGCTGCACTTGTTGTTGCTCAAATGATAATAGAGAAATGTGAATAAATCATGCAAATTTGGTTTTAGATGTCACTTTAAAAGCTTTAATTCGATTTTTTCCCTTTTAGATGCACGTATTTGAAATGACACAGCACAGATGTGTTTATGTGCGCGAACATGCATATTTCAGCCCAACACCTGTAGCTCCCGCTGAGCGTGAAATGGCTTATTCGCTGGAAGGGACTCTTGTGGTGTTTATAATGTGCTTTGCATGTTTTGGAGGTGAGCTTATCGTTCTGCAAACAGAGACGCCGTTTCATGTCTAGCATGCACAAGCACAAGGACGGGTGGTACTTTATCCGTGATGCATCTCGCTGTGTTGATATTTCTTTGCTCTTACTGTCAAGAGTGAACCAAGTTTGAGATGTGTCAGAACAGCCTAAAAAGAGGACCCAGTGTACTCATTATCGAGTGTTTATTTAATGAGTCTAAAACAGATTTGCTGGATTTAAAACTCAAACTGGGGTCCACGTAAAACCCCTCTACTAGCTTTTTTCAGCCTCTGTTCAGCTACTTTTTACACAGCTTTGAAATCATGTAGAGTTCTACCTATAAAGAAAATGCCCATGTTAAAGGGATATTCGGGCGTAAAACTGGGTTTGGGTCAAACACATCGTAACACAAAGTTAGAAACCCTGTCGAGAGATGAATGTTGCCGACCGCTTGCTTCTCTAGTTATACCAACTTTAGTAACGACCACACAATAGCAATACACAGCGGTCTGAGGAGCCATAAACAAACCTCAACCAAAACGCCACTCTATAGCCACAAATAATGCTCAGAACAGCACCTAACTTCATCAACAGGACATATAGGGTCACAGCCATAGTACTAGCCACCAAACATCTTTTTAACTTTGACTCATTTCTTTAGAAAAGAGACTAAACACAACTCACCTACTCTCTCCCAGCAGCCGCTTGTTTAAAGCAAGGCCTCAGGCCAGTCCATTACGGACTACTGCGGGGTGTCGCAGCTCAAGGAAGAACATTTATGATCATTTCTTCAAGGAAATGCAATCAGACCGAGACGCTAAGGCAGAAGAACTACTTCATCTGCAGTGAAAATGATAAATATGATGATTATTACTTCAAGGAAATGATAAAGTAATAATCATAAATGTACTTCCTTGAGCTGCGGCACCCCGAAGTTGGTATAACTAGAGAAGCAAGCAGTCGGCAACATTCATCTCTCGAAGGGGTGTCTAACTCGGTGTTACAGTGTGTTTAACCATAACTTAATTTTACGCCGGAATATCCCTTTAACTCCACCCCACTATAGTTTACCTGTAGCTAATGTTACATTAGCCTTTGTTGACTTAGAAACACCATTTTAAATTAAATGTAAAGTTTTAATAACTTCCAAAACTTAAAAATCTGTGTTGCTGTTTTTTTCATTTTGCACAGAATCCCAATCTTTTAGGAGCTGGGGGTGATATAAATATAAAGTTCTTATTTTGTATATAAAGAGTTCAGTAAATAAAGTGTATAAGTGTGTTATTACAACCTTCAGTTTCTATAGGGGTCTGCAGGACACTATAACATCCAAGTCTAGCTGTGCTATCTGTCAAGAGTAAAACTTATTATAAAAGCTGTCGGCTGTGTTGGGCTCAGCAATGACGCACCACAGTGGGATCTGCTATCTGATTGGCCGTTTGCCACCGGCACATGAAGGGGGGGGGGTGGATAGAGGAGTTGTTCACCGAGCGTGGACTTTTGCAGCACTGAGAGTTCCAGATGGCGGTGATTTATGAACCTCTCAGAACGGCGGGACTAATGAACGCTTCTCGACATGTGTTCGGGACCGTGTTCGGCCATCACTCTGTCTTTGAGGAGGGGAGGGGGTGGGGTCGCGGACGTTGCATCGTGAGCACTAATGGACGGTGAAGTCGGTGCAGACCTGGGGTTGTGATCAATCTGTCGTGCTGGATGCAGAGGGATGGAACAGGACTACAAATTCGGTTTTAACATACACAAGACCAGATTTAGTTTCGGTTTAAAGCTCGACACCTGCTCCTTTTTATCATCCAAACCTGCCAAAAGTTTCACTTCCTTCTTTGTCAGAAATTTCCAACCGCTTCTTCACCATCTCTAATCCCACTGTTATTATTTTTGTCAACTTCTTATGTGATTTCTGAGCTATTTTCTTCCGAGGCAAAGATGATCAGAGTTACCATTTTTACAGCAGATCAGTGTAATCCCATTACATGGATGTGTTGCTCCTCCACCCTGGCACTGTTACCCAGCGGTTTGCTCCAGGTGAGCATTAGCAAAAGGTAACACTGATAAACACGGCGTATTCAAAAATGGCAACTTTTAAGGAATTTAAATCCGTCCCTTTAATGGAGGAAAGGTTTTTTTGTTGTTGTTGTTTGGCTGTTTATAAAAGGGGACCAGGTTTTGAAAAGGTTTCAGATGTTTTCTCGGTCTACAGGGGCCCACGTAATCCCCGGAACTGAAGCAAAAACATATACGTCACACGGGCTTTTCATGATTTTCACGTGACGACGGCGCGTGGCGAGGACCCCCCGCTGCTTCCCCTACAGCTAAACGCCAACAAGCAGAGAAATAAGCTGTATGTAAGGAACAAAACTCATTAGGGGCCAAAGCAATTAAACGGCTGAAATTAAAACGAGAGGGGGATCAGAAAGTGGGAGTTTAAAAAGACGATGAAGTACACTCATGCTCTCTTTGTCCCTCTGCTTTACTAACACACACCTGGACCAGCTTTTTAAAGTCTCTTACACCAGATTTCTTTGCATTTTAAAGAAAGAGGAAGCCAATTATACAACCTCGTCATTACCTTATCACCTATTACCACTCTCTACAATCTGCCAACCAGCGACAAATTGATTAATATGGTACTTTTTTATTGATACGCACAAAAGCTCGAGTGTAGGAGTAGCGGGCGGCTTTCATCTTCACTGTGCAGACGTGGATGAAAGCAGCACAGATCCCCTCGCCAACTCTGAAAGGAAACTAAATAAGCACATCCCTGTAAGTGTCAACTCGTCTTTCATGCTGTAAACTGTCTCACCTGAGTTGGATAAATGCACTTTTTTCCCCGCTAATGTCCAGAGAAAGATAACACACTTGAAAACGTCTACTCTTCATTTGAAGTGTTTTGGCTCCATCCTCTCGACGGAGACGTCTGGAAAGCGTCTCATAAGGTCAGTGTTAACTTGGAACAAAAGCTACAGCTAACTTCATAGATAAAGACGTTTATATGGATTGATATTTTTCTTCACACTGTAATTATACTTTGGGAGACAGCTCGGCTGGAGTGTTTGTGAAAATCAGCAATCGTCGTTGTTTATTTGTGCTGAGTGCTCTGCAAAGTGAATCCTTTGAGGGTGTGTTTTTTTTTTCCTCCACCTTTGTTGGCTGGTGCGTCTCGGTGAATAGGGACTGGTTTTCAAAGCACAGCAGGAGTTGGGCGGCTGCCATGGTTTGCTTTTTTAACCATACACGCTCCCTTCAATGAGATCTCCTGGGACGCTCCGTGATCCTTTTAAAGACACAGGGACACACTGAATATAACCTCCTATCAGCATGTCATATGTTTACATACTGCCAGTGTACGGCTTTCTATATCTGCCCAGTGATCTGATTGTTGGATGAAATGTAACGAGGCTGTTAACGGGCACAGACAGAAAAAAAGGCACGTCAATATTCCTGTTTGACTAAGTGAAAAATCTCTGCATCCCCCAAAGGTTTCAAGCTACATCAATCATTTCCATCCAACCATGACATACCGTCATGGTGGTTGGGTTGTAAACACCGCACCAAATGTCTCAGGAAAAGAAACTCAGGTGCCGTTCTCACTCTGAAGTAGATTCATCTCCAAACTTCTCATTATTATGATTATTATTTTACTAGAAAAGGTCGTTTGCCAGGATATTTCTTGGCAAGGAGAAGCAGCCAGACAACCAGATGAGTTCCAGGAAGCGACTGGTCCCAGTTCAAAAACAGTCTGGCATGTCGTTCTCCTGCTGAACTAGATAGTGACGTTTTAACACACTTTGTGGAGGTTTTACAAAGGAGATATTAACATAAGCTTTGGAAGTGCCAGTGGGCAGATTTTGTCACCTCTACCCAGAGCCAGACAGGCTGTTTCTTCTCACTTCCAACTTTTATTCAAGGCTAAATGAGCGAGATGGGGGCCCTGGCTTTAGACTCAAAAATTCTCAAAAATGCATCACTAATGATTGTCGTTATCTAACTCTGAGCATAGGAGAGTATTTTGCAGAGGATGCAGATCCATCCAACTGGGTTTTTATCTTTTTGAAGCAGTCTGACATTACTCACTGCTGGCAAAACACTGCAGTAATCAATAATGATTGCAACAGCCTCCTTCTCCTCATGCTCAATCTGTTCCTCTACTTTACTAACACACACATCTCCCTCCTGCAGCTCCTCCCTCTTGCACAGTTCTCCCCTCTAAATAAGAAGTGTGAAGTGTCTTTCTTTGTGTCATTTGCTTTTTCTTGCATTTTGTTCAATGAAGCAGAAGTAAAATTCTAACTTACATGTTAAATCTTTCCTTAAATATGATAAACTAATGTCCCTTCTTCTACTCTACGAAGGTTTTTCACAATAATCGTTTGACAAGAAGCTTATTCTTCTGGCTGCAGTGAAGTGGCTCCCTCATCATTGCAGAGACGCTACAATGGTGATACGCTCTGTTAATCATCAGGCAGACTCCCCAGTGGCAACTGTCTGAGTCAGATAGAAAAAAAAAAAAAAAAAAGTTTTGAGTTAAGTGGGAGGAAACTGAACAGTGAGGGAGTAATCATGAGGCTACGGCTGTGCCAAAAAAAATATCTCCTCAGACAGCTCAGGGGTACGAGGTGTCATTTTCAAAATGAAAAAAGAAGCAAAACTAGATACGACTACTTCAACCTCGCAGGAGTACAATCAAGAAAAATTCTCCAGTTCTTGGCTCCAAGGTGATGTTGGTATCTGTATCTTTTATGGTGACACTGTCAAGGTGCCGACTTTTGATGGATAAAGTGACTATGTTTGAAGGCGAAGGTGTAAATGTAGATGAAAACAACAAAAAAGGGACCGAGAACGGAGCCCTGTGGGACGCCAAATGCTTGTAAAGCAGGGCAATGTTTATTTTGATATTAGTACTACATAAAACTGTCAATTTGTTTGCAAATTTATGGCTGTAAATGCAACAAAATGTGCTTTTCCAAAAAATCAGCATGAGGTCAATATGCCCAGAAATAACCCTTCATCTCAAAATGATCATTTAATCACCGTAATTTCATGCCTTTACACTTAAAGAGGAATATTTACGAGGCAATGAAGGCTTTTTGTACATGTTTTATTTCTGGATTTGTTCACACTTCATGCAAACTCTCATGCGAGAGTGTAAAAGAAGACCTTTCAGCGGCATAAAAAGCCGGCAGCATATCAGCTCTGAAAAAAGGTCACCAGTATCCGAGCTTAGCTTTTGATAGGAGTGAAGCAAAATAAGTGTGCTTGTTATTCGCTTTGGACTCAAAAAACAAGGAAGTCTGGCTCCAAGTTTGTTTCGGCTTGGCGGTGTTTGTTACGAAGGAGAGCAACATAGTTGATGTAAGCACGAGGCAACACACAAACAAAAGGTTTGACTGGCTCACACCCAATTAAACACAGCCGTGACAGCAAGAATTGAGAGATAGCACAAATATGTACAAACACAGACACAGAAATCAAACACAGGCACTCGCTCTCTTCACTGGCGCACACACACGAAGGCATGTCTACACCGAATATATCCATAAGGTAGAAACGTCTGAACAGAAGCGATGCCAGCGTGCGCACACATACTTTCTCCTCCTCTTTGGTACAAACAAACACACACAAACTAACAAGAAAAGCTGAGACAGGTAGAATCCAAACCACTGTGAGCCTTCCTGAATATTTCATTATGTTTTTACTGGCCTGTCAGGAGCAGTGGGGAGATGCGCCGCATGTGTGTGTGTTTGTGTGTGTGTGTGCGTTTGCGCAGATTTAAATTACATGTATGCAATCCTGCTGACAGCTTCACTTCTCTGTATATGTAGGTGCATGTACCTAGTCGTGTGTCTGTGCCGTGCTAGGAGTGACGAGGCAATGTTTTGATTGGCTGTCAAGCTGGAGCCTGTGGCCGGGCAGCTGCAGATGGTTCATCAGGGCTCAGCGATGCGCCCAAGAGCAGGCGGGTCACATGATTAGTTTGGCAGGGAGTCATGCCGAGTTCAAGACTAGAAAAATATGTTTTTTTGGAAAGTAGAACAGCGGGTGCAATATTGATGAAACAAATTCGGCAAACTCAGAGGAGCAGGAGAGTTCAGAAAGAGGTGTTTGTGTCTGCCTGTTTGGACAGTATTAACTCTGTTTTTGGTCTCCTCCGATTAAAGCCGTCTACAAGGCTAAAAGTTGAAGCTACGGCTAAAAATAAACAACTAGATTAACGTTTCATCAAAGCTTTAAAGGGTAACCGATGCACGGTCCCTTTAAGAAGTCGTACATGGACAAAAACAGCTGTTTTACACTTCTTATCTTTTGAACGCTTTGTCCGAATAATAGCCGTTGTTTTTCGCTTCTTTTCCGATTATAAAACAAAAGTAAAGTTGCTGCTGTGGGTTTGTAACTCAGATTTTTTACACCTGAGAGAAGATTTCCACACAACACATCCAGCCCTGTTGTTTTCGGATTGTGCAGAGTGTTTTTTCCCAGCATCACTCAATACTAATTTATGCTGCCAGACTCTGGCTAGCTTGTTAGCGGGCTGAAAAACCAGGAGGTGTTGTTGTCTTGAGGTCAGCTTCTTCCTCTGTCTTTTCATAACAGCGCGCCCCCGTCTTTCTCATCCTCTTGGTCCTTTTCTTCACCCTCAACCTCGCTCACCTTCTCCTCAGTCTCTCCCCCTCTCTGTTTGTTTATCTGCCTGCTTGATACCCTTCTTCCCTCCCTCTCCCTCAGCCTCGACTCAGTAACAGGTGAGTTCCCAGAACTAATTACAGGAGGCTATCCCAGGGTGCAGCGGGGCCGGCTCATTTGCAGGCGGAGGGAGCGCGAGAAGGCTGTCTAATAACATTTTCTAGCGCCTGATTAAAAACAGCCCATAAATCACTTGTTCACATGGGTGTATTCACACGCACGGGCATGTATACACACACACACACACACACACAGAGTCTCCAATAGAGCCATCAGACGCAGAGCTTTAATACACACTAAAAAACTGTAGAAGGACTTTGAGGGCCTGAGGACACACACTATTATACTCACACACAGTCACATAAAGCCGCTGCAAATTAAGCTGTTTAAACATTCATATAATCTTATAGTACAGGCATAGATTTTATACATTTTGCATGTATTTATTTCATTTTAATACAGTAATGAGGGAATAAAATGCAAATAATCAAGATAATGACCTCCATAAGGAATCTGAGCGGTAGCAGCCACAATGTCAACCCTAAGGTGATTTTAATGAGCAGCAGAGATTTCATTAACGCGCCTCGTACACCCTCGCCATCGATTTCCCCCCAGCCGCCTCATTTATTGTTTACATCTTCCTTACATGAGTGCGCGCGGAAATGAACGCGGGACGGTCTAAACGGTGGCAACATGTGGACAAGCGGCGGTCAATGCGTGCGTGAATAAATCAGCGCACGCGTGCACGCTTGTGTAATGTAGCGTAAGCGCGGGAGCAACAAATGAGCATTTGATGATGTCTCGTTCTTCTGCGGCTACAGGACGTCCATTATGTGACCATAAATATGGGCGCTCATGATGGCAAGTTCATGAGGCTCAAAGTGATGACTTAGCAGACCTATGTTGTTTATTATTACAGTAAACAAAGATGCAGAGGACGTCAAAAAATGAGATGCTTTTACGCTCGGGTAATCTCATGTATATTAATAACATGATGGATTTCTAAAGCTCTGTGTGTATCGTTTTTAACATTATCAAGGAATCACTGGAGGTCAAAAATACCCCTAATGTCAGCTTGTAACTGCATCACAAATATCAGCAAATCAATATTTAAAAGGGTAAGAATAGGGCTGGGCGATATTGGAAAATTTATCACAATATAGTTTTTTCGTATCAGTCGATATCAATATATATAATGATATAAAAAATGAAATTTAACAGTGTTTATTGGTAGCACATCTTTGTAACACAACAAGCTACTGCATCTGTGAGGTCTTTGTTTCTCAACGTTTTTGTCGTGAGGCGTTGCGCAAGAGGAAGCGGCATATCGGCTGCACAGGCGCAATGGGCTCCTTGCAACGCTCGGGGTTTGTAACCTTTTTCATTGCGCGTGCTCTGCCGCGTGGCACTGTTTCAGGCAGTGAAAAGGATTTGAGGTATTCCCCGACTTTGCGAGAACATGTACTCGACATAATTTGCAGTCCACATTACTCTGCTTCATGTCCGACCTCGAAAAACCAAAACACCTCCACACCACCGACGTTTTCATGCCAGTGTTGTCGACAATGTCGTCATCTGTTGAGCCTTCGTCTGCATTTCTTTTTTTCTCACCAACAGTGCTGTCGGCTTTACGTGTTAAAGTGTGATGGTTGCGTGTAGCTGCAGCCGGCTACTACACGGTTGTTTGCTACTTGGTTCTAAGATGATTGATTGGCTCGGCGCAAAGCAGACCCGAAGCAACTCCCCTTTTCATTGGCTGTTCATACGGTCTACCAAAACATGGCAGAATGCCGACTATTTAAAAGTATATTGACCACGTTTTATGTTGATATTGAGGGAAATTAATTTTTGATATATATCTTTATCGTTTTATCACTCAGCCCTAGGTAAGAATAATCAAAAAGTGCAGATGTAACTTATATCGAAAAAGCAGAAATATAGTGGAGTGGAACTCCTGAAAAGTGCAAATGCCATTGCATTAACCAGGAAACACTAGATGTCAGTGAACAATCGTAAATATCTTAAATGTCAGCGGGAGATTGTATCACAAAAATAAGCAGAGCAAGATGTTGGAGTGTAAGAACCGTCACAAACCTGTGGACGAAACATTAAAAAAGTAGAGAAAGTTACCAAACTGAAACTCCTGAAGAGTGCATTAACCAAAGTCACTGGATGTTAGTGAGTGATCAAAACAATCTCAAAATAACTGCACAACAAATCAGAACTGATTACGGATGAAACTTATATCAAACAAGAATGGACATTTACAGAAGTGGAACTGAGAAATGCAAATGCAACCCCATAAACAAGGAATTACAGGATGTCAGTCTGAAATCGTAAACATCTCACAAAAACCAGCAAAGCAATATTCCTGTGGATGAAACAGTGGAGAGATTTATGAGAATGAAACTCCTGAAAAGTACCAGAAATGACTGGATGTCAGTGGGTAAACCTAAATAACATTAAATAACTGCACAACAAAGAAACTCCTGAAGAGTGCAAACGCAACAACTGGGGATTACTAAGCGTCAGCATGCTTTCATACAAGCTATCGGTTACTCAAACTCTGCAGTTCATAATGATTTGAAAAGTAAGCACTTAATAGTTCTGCTCTTGACAAAATCACTAAAGGCCTTTGGCTCAAAATGTGCGAACCGCAACAAGTTTCAGCCCTTCAGGGTAGAAAATTCAATACTTTTTCTGTTCTACATCAAAACACATTTGAGCTTGAAATGATTTCTCCAACAAACAAACCAATAATCACTTCATTAGTATCAGATTCATGTATAATGAAAGCCATTGTTTGTAACAGCCTCAGGCCTGGTGTTCAAACACCCACACTGAGCCTCTCTGCAGCTAACAAGGTCATCATCCTAACAGTTCCCTTCCCTCGTGATACGGAGCGCAGCAACGAGAACACCTGATGAGCACATATGCACGTCGTCATAAACCCTGAACCCTCTAACTGCCCCCCCAGAGGTTCATACAGAGCAGTCTGTTTCCTCCGGCAGCTCCCGGCACAATAACCCAGTCAGTTGATTAGCGCTGATAGCATCGGCCGCCGTGCGTGGCAAACAATAGCCACTCTCTCTGCCCCACACGCACTGACGCGGAGCTGCTTAGCATGACTCTCACTTGCGTAAAATGAGCAAATATGTGTTTATTTAGGGTCGACCGAACAGAGCGGAGTGGGTTCCTGCGGTTGGAGCACATGAATTTCTGCAGCAATCAGATTTTCTCCAGGAAAAACCTGACCCTTTTTTTATTTTTTGGCTTTCTGCAGCCCTGTTAGACACAAACTTCCAATTTGATGGATTCCCTCATGAGGCCGAGCAGAGTGAAGCTGGGTTTGATGTGAGCTTCAGGAGGTGGAGGTTGGATATCATGGCATGCAGACGGTGTCTCCAACAAACAGCAGCGGGTGAAATAGCATTACAAGATAGGTGTCAAGAGCGAGCCGAGGGTGAAATTCAAAGCGACTTACAGCTCGTGCAGAGGTGGGAGCAGCTGATTTCTCCCGCTGCTATGATGTCAAGCAGCTTTGTGAGGGTTCATGCCGATCTGCGCTTCACACCTCCCTTTTTTTGCACAAGCCCAGCACATGCTGTCAGATAATCAGCATATCAAATCACTCGGTGACTGCTTCAGAGCATCCAGGATTACTCTGGGATCCCGAAATGCTCTAATTGATTCTTACTTTGCGCCACAGACACGAGAAAGAAGACAAGTGCTGATTTTATTTATCCAGACATTTACATGTTGCATCCAGCTCAGCGGCAAGTGTTCTGCTGACCTCGCCTGGCACTCGTTTTTCAATTTTTATCCCTCGCACATTTCCTGCAACTTCTTCCAAAAAAAAGCTGCGGGAGTTCTGCAGCTCGGAGGCGCCGCAGATGGCTGAGCATGTTGAGCGTGGGGCACACTGAGTGCATCTCCCTCCCTCTGTGCTGCTGATAGACTATCGGGCCTTCTCATGATCACTCGCTCAAGTGGGGATCCCGCCAAGAGAGATTATGATTGGACAATAATCAGGGGGCGAGCCGGGAGGTCCTGATTTTGAGTCCACGCTGGAATTTTCCCCTCTGCTTATCCCCTTAACGGGGAACACACATCGCATGGTTGAACATTAAATTAAAACTTTGGCAATTATGTCAAGATTTCAAGCCGAATTTAGGGACTCAGGGATTCACCGACTCATTTTTCATAAGAGTTAACTGGATACAAAAAGAGCTTCCCTGAGAGGCAGAGTCTCTGAGAAGTAAAAATGGGAATAGGTTCTAATCAATGAGAGACCGTGTGAGTTAACAGTTCACTAATTAGAGTTAAAATCATCATTAATTAGATTTACTGTCATTAAAAGACGCAGAGAATCAAGTCAAAAAGGAACAAGACCTACAACAGATAGTTGACGGGCCTCATCTTTAGGCCCTGAAGTAGTAGTGAGTTGAAAACAGACATGACTCTGTAGTAGAAGTCACCGCATCGGCTCAAAATCACTTCCAAAAACCTGTCCAGTCAGGATAGCTAGCTAAAACTTCACCAAGCAAAGAAAAACAAATACTGGTGATATAATTTTTAGAAATCATGGATGCCTCGTTATCGTTTGGCTTCTTATCAGTGTACAACTTAAAAAAACCCTAATCTCTGTTCTTATCTTGAATAGACAGGTAAGTAAATAGTGAAGCATTAAAAAAAAGGTCCTTCACATAAAGTTGCTAAAAATTTGGGGACTTCATCATCTACTATACAAAATATTTTTAAAGATACAGAGAAGCTAGAGGAATATCTTTACAAAACGCCCATAACTGGTCCTAAAACTGACATGACTGTAGCAGAAGTCACCGCATCAGCTCAAAATCACTTCCAAAAACCTGTCCTGTCAGGACAGTTTGTTCCTGTAGCAACACATGCTAGCTTAAACTTTACCATGCAAAGAAAAACAATTACTGGTGTCAGGTGGGTAAATAGTGCATCAATTTAAAAAAATAAAAAGTTTCTTCACATAAAATTGCAAAAGAATTTGGGTATTTCATCATCTAGAGTACGAAATATTTTTAAAGATACAGAGAAGCTGGAGAAGTCTCTGTATAAAAAAGGCCCATAACTGAAACTAAAACAGACATGACTCTGTAGTAGAAGTCACCGCATCAGCTCAAAATCCCATTTGTTGCTGCATCCAAAAAAACTGATTGGAACTTTATCATGTAAAGCCATTAATTAACATGATGTAAAGATGCTAACGACAGCTCTTGACTTGCTAAGTGGAAAACTGTCTCGAGGTATGAAAAATGAAAATATGACATTCGTTTTGGAAATCATGGACACAGTATAGACGAGAGGAACAACCAAACTTATTCTCAGAATCTTAAATATTATGACAATACACAAATCCTTACAGCATGGCTCTGTAGTGGAAGAGTCCTGGCACATACTATGGTACATAATGACACAAAAATGACAACAAAGACTGTTTGTGGGCTTCAAAACTTAATAGTCAACATTTTATATATTGTCTTTCTACAGTTTTTAATCAAATACAGGCTGTAAATAAGTTGCAAACCATAAAATTGTATCTTTATAAAAAATTCACTCCATCTGTTGTGGAGTTGTGGTTGAAAATTTATGCAATTATCTTAAGATTTCAAGCCGCGTTGCAGGGGCTCTGGGATTCTAGGAACATCCGAAGTGTGTGTGTGTGTGTGTTTGTGCATCATCCTGTGTGTTTGTGTGTTATGTTTTGCATAAAGTTTTGCTGATGCAGCCAGATACGGGTGCTGCATCTTCACTCAACGCTCCGAGCCTTGAGCTAGAAAGGGGGCAGAACCCAAAACAGGAGAAATCAAAGAGTAAGCAAAACCCTGAAATAAATGCGCCCGCAAACACACAATCCATCCCCCTTATAACTCATTTTCCACTTTAGCAGCTCTTTGCAAGAATCAGATTTGATTTACACACATATGGCGCCAGATTTCACAGCAGAAAGACGTATGAGCGTCGGATCAGCTCGAATCCTCCGCTCACACGCACGCATAAAAGGAGGGATGCAGGTGCTGAGGCTTCACAGTCACGTCCCGCAAATCTATAACAGGAGGGGGGAATAAAGGCAACCATTAAACAACCTTGGAGTGACACAGGATCTGCCAAAGCCCGGGCCATGCGTCACCTGAGGCCCCTGTGCGCTCCATCACAAGTGAACGCTGCAACCTCTCCACATAACTAATGGTTTTGTTTGAGGGGGCGGCGGAGTACCCAAGGATACTGTAAGCGACTTTGTCTTTGTGTTTCCGGTTTTCTCAGGGAGCGGTTACGTAAGGGCTGAGCTAAAACGGGGCTACCGTTAAAACGATAAAGGGGAACAAGCGCACTCAAGGGAATCCTGTAAAAAGGGTTAAGTTAGGTAACAACAATCGCCCTTTTTTTCCTCAAAGCACGAAGAAACGGTCCTTATCTCGACCTTACTTCTGTCGGAGATGACAAAGAACATCATTCATTGGTGCGATCTTTAAAAAAAATAAGTATTTCTCGCTGAGTCGATAACGGCGTCTTTCAAAATGATGACCCTTTTCCTGCACTCAGGTTTCTCGACAGCACCTCGGGTCGCGGGAACACACAGAGCCAGGATCAGTATTCAGGAAGCTAACAGATTCTCATTCTTGGAAAGAGGAGGAACAAAGCGAGAGAGAAAAGAGAAACGCAAAATTGTTTGCAACACTCCGAGACACTGGATCAATAGTGCCAGCCTGGGGTGCTGGGGAAAATTGTTACGCTGTACTGTATCTCTGGCAAACAACACAGAACTAACTTCAAAGTGTTGAATTGTTTTCTTTTTCTTTTTCATGTCACTGCTGGGAAGATTTCATCAGACACGGTCACACTCAAGGAAACAAGTTCACTTCAGTTTAGGCTCATTTGTTCGCACACGTGGAGAGAATATCGGAGGGAAAGGTCCCGCCATTACGCAGCAGACCTTCCAGATACTTTTGTTGGAGATTTCACTCAGTGGGCGTACTTTTCTCTCCTTTTTTCAAGTGCAAAACTGAGCTTGGCTAACAGACCAAGGGCAGAAACAAGATAATGTTTCTATTTTTTAGGACTTTGGAAACTTCCGCCTGCATAATTGTCCATTTATCCCCGCAGACTTTACCAGGGAGTGGGTGTAGCGTACATTTAACCTGCTTTCCTACGAATGGCTTTATATATATACACTACATCTTTAGTCGCCAGTAATCAAATGTCACTTAAAAATCATGTCTTGCAAAGAACAGGGCAACGAGGAAGTTACAAAAAAAGCAGTTCCTCAAACGTCCACTAGAGGCTGGGTCTGTAAGTCAAGAGAAGCAACTACAAACCTCGTTCTTAAACTTTAGCGAATTAAAATTGATTGAGAGTGATTTACTCCCAGGCTTAGTTACGCGTCCTCAGGACCGTGGGTTTTGTTACGAAGATAAAATCCAAGGTTAAGATATGCTTGGCTATCTTGACCTCATTGGCGTTTAAAGAGACCAATGCTAACATAGATGACTTTAGGTAAAGGTTAAAGGGTTACCAAGAAGGCCGACAAAGGGTTAAAAGATTTTATTTCAATTGTCAATCTATGAAATCTATAAGATTTTAAAAATAAAAGTCATGATACTACAAAATTTAAGTTTTAATGTTTTCAGAATAAGGCTATAAAAAATTGAAGTTCACATTTTACAAGAATGAAACTCTAACTCAAAGAAAGTCATACTACGAAAACTAAATATAAATATAATATTATTAAAATAATATTGAACTTAATATTAATACTTAAGTTTATATTTATTAATATAAATTTATATTTATTGTCAAGTAATATTATATATAAAATATAAAAGTCATGATACTACAAAATTAAAGTCTTAATGTTTTCAGAATAAGGCTAATAAAAATTGAAGTTCGCATTTTACAAGAATGAAGCTGTAAGACAAAAAAAGTCATACTACGAAAACTAAATATAAACAGTAAAGTACAGATTATAATTGAGAGAAATGAGTCTGAATGTTAAGAGTTAAGATGTCGTAAAGTTACAAAAATAACGTCGATATATTCATAATATTTCCAGGATGAGCTTTATGTTGGGGGAGAAAAGTCATAACAAAGTCCTAATTACTTTAATACTGTAAGGAGAACAATGTCGTACAAAAGGCATAAAAATTAAAAAAAATTGGTCAAAAAAAGTCGTAAAATTAAAAGAATAAATGTGATAATGTTACAAGGATACAAAAGTCTGAATATTTCGAGAACAAACTTTTCATGTTAGGAGATTCAAGCTGAAGATTCATGGACCGAAGGTTGAAACGTTGAGACTTTATATAACGTCACAAGGGTGAGGTTGTATATGAAGGAAATAGTTGTAATCTGTAAAAATTAAGTTATAGTAAAGCCATCGTAGTGGTAAACAGTTGGCCTGTTTTACAGAAGAGCAGACAGTTGATGCAATTAGATGACAGTTAGATGCAACGTCTTCCTCATATATTAGCAGGGGACCAGCTGCTGGTTATCCCTCTAACATGTGACCCAAATAACCAGTATTTCTCTTGTACCATCGAACAACTTTCCTCTTGTAATCCTCATGTCTTTTCTGTCTTAATACCATGTTGTACGAATCATCCCGGAGCTGCCAGACTAACATCACCATCCAGGAATCCATGAATAAATGAAGACCGCTCCATGGAAGATATGAGCCTCCCTCATGTACACATTAAATACATTCACATGTACTCAGCCCGTCTTCGATTGGTTTGACATTTCATATTGATTTCATGTCTTCAAAACGGCTCTTTGACATTCCCCAACAACCTCTGATACCGTAGTAGGAATCTTTCCCAGAACTGCTTTTGTCGAAATTGTTTCTCTGACACAAAAAGACGATTTGGTAATTTCCTCTCAATATATTATTTGTATACGATGTTTCGCCACGAGCAAATATTCGGCGCCAATTTTTAATAAGTCGACTTTGTGGGAAATTATGAATCAGTCGCGTATGTTTTGTGTCCAGTGAGTTGAGTGATTAGTCATTGTGTTAATCCTCGCTCGCAGGCTTGCTGTTGTGAGAGAGTTGGTTGCTGTGTCTAATCTCAGGCATTGCAAAGATAATGATAAGAGTCGAGCGGGCCTCAGGGGCGCAGCACTCTCCACATTTGTCACTAAGAATTTCACGCTGTTGTCAAATGAGTGTCTGTGAGATTCTGTGTGGAAGAGGGGGGGAAAATAAGCAGGAATGTTAAGATGTGCTGTAAGCCAATAAATCAGGGCGCTGAGATTAGAGTCAAATATCTTCCATTGGTTTCAATCTTTAAGCACTTTAACTTTCTCCGGGTTCTTCGCAGGAACTTTCAGCTTGAAATATTCATCACTGTGCTTGTGTTGTTGTAGTATTTTTGGGATGCCGCTGTTTATTAGAGCTTGAAACCTAAAGGGGCGGCAGGGTTTGTATGATTCACTTTGAAAGGGTGCAGAAAAAGGAACAATAGGGTTTGGGTAATTGAAGCAGGGTGAGCTGGAGCAAAGCCTTCTCCGTGATGTTCAAGGAGGGAGGCGCACAGGTGGCGGGGGGGGGGACCAGCGGGGCCGAGTGTTACAATCACACAGGTTACTCGGGGACTCTTGGGGAAGTGGAGGGGGGACCTCAGCGAACTCCTCATTTCTGTGGGGCTTTATGTAGCGTGACGGTTCCAAATGAAACTCGCCGATCATGTGGGAGCGCTCTATTAATTTGTGGCTCAGGCCGCCTCCTTGGGGAGAGAGCTGCCAGAGCCGGTACAGCATCCACCCCCACCCCGCTCCTCCTGTCCTCCCCCCAATTTTTTGCAGCAGCTTCCAGCAAAGATTCTTGTTGCTTATTGACTGAGGAGCCGAATTGTAATGTTTCTCCACGTCCGCGGCGGGTGCTTTCGCCTCGAGTGCCGAGACGATCTATCATTTCTGTGGTCGCCTACTCTGGACTCAACAGGATGGATGAAAAGCAGCGTGAAATAAAAGTAATTTGGCTCTCTCGGAGCAATATACAGACTTTAGCTAGCCTGGAACACACTCTGCTCTCACAACATGGCTTGCTGAGAAATCTAATCTGGCTCTCCGATGACGTCTTGTTCAAGTAAATGCACAATAATAAGGATTTCATGCATGAGAGTTTTATGACGGGGAACCTGCTGTTTGGGATTCCCACACTGGGCAGAAACTCCTAAATTCATCTTTTTCTTTTCAGCAGACGAAGCGTCGTATCTGATCACAAACAGTCTCTCCTTTCATAAAAGCTGTGGATTAGTCAATATCAAACACTTGTGAATTCATGTGATCACGCGGCTCTCGTATGACTCATATCCTGGAGCGTACACATTCCCGTGAAAGGACGGCCAAACAATGGCGATGCTTCTACAAATCTCCCTTCAAGATTTTCTCGAGAAACACTTTTGCACAAACATCGTCACCCCCCTCCGAGCTCATTCTGTCCTTTGGCTTTTCAGACGCACATCCGCCTCCTCCTGCTCCTCTCCCTGTTTTCCTCTCTCCACCTGTTGCTACCTGATAGTTTGCACTAGGCATGTGCTGATATGAAAAATTTGATATCACGATATTGGTGGCCCAAAATATCATGATTCACGATATTATCACGATATTAGCGCATTGCTTTTAACGTTATTAAATTAAAAATTAAAAACTGCGAAATCACTTCTCTACAGACAATATGAGCAAGAGGCAGGTAACGCGGCGTTGGGAGCATGAGCTTTTTGGAGCTAAAGTTAGCAGAAACGTCACCATCGTTGTCAATAATAAGCAGTAGAGTAGACCAAACTTTGGGCGAACAATGCTGGATGGTGTTCACGGAGGTGGGCACGTAGGTTTGATATGTTAGACAACGGCGCTGCAACTTCCGTACAGCATAACCTGCAGATTGGTGTCAGGTTGACCTGCTCCGTCTGTTTTGTGAAGCCGTAAAACGTCCGTACTGCCAACAAAACCTTTTTAATAGGAGGATATAGTTGAGGCGTTTCGTCATTCTCAGTCTCTGACTGTTCTTGGTCCGGCTGCATCGTTACGTTGGCTGGAAGTTGAAACGTGTGCGTCAACTTTTTTTTTCTTCTTCAGTCTGTTTCTGGTTCACAGAGTGGACACGCTCCAACAGTGCTTTAGGTGGCCGCAATGCATTGTGGGTGGCCACGCATTTTGTTTTTAAAATGTCTTCATTTCTCTTTCAATGTTCCCGTTTTTGTCAGGCTGGCATTAATGTACTTAATTGGAGAGTTTTTTGGATTTCGGACTACTTTTGTGGTGGTTTGTTTGTACATTTTGTTACTACAAGAGGGTTAGGTTGGTAAGTACTCAGCTTCACTCGCCTCCCCACTCGTCTTTAAATTATAACTGTGGAACAATTATTACAGTACTCTACGATTTCATCATCGCGGCCGTTTAATATCGCATATCACGATTAAATCGTATATTGGCACATCCCTGGTTTGCACTGCTGTTGACAAAGTGATGAAGACACAGCAGTCTATCATTAAGCTGTTGAGGGACAGAGAGAGAGTGTGTGCGACAGTAAATGTATAGGACATAACGGGAAAGCTTTATATCTCGGGCTCTAAATTTTGAAACGATGAGATTTGTCAATAAAAAGCGAGCCTGGCGTCGTAAAAGTCGTGTTATTTGTATAACTGTGAAATGAACTGCTGATGATTACTGTCAACAGAACAGACACATATTGGTCTGAAGCTGCTGTACGAGAGATGCAGGCGGAGGATTATCTAGTCCCTATGATGTTCATTACAATTAGACTATATCAACCGGCTGGAAAAAAAAGCATGTGTGAATCCATGTGATCACACGGCTCTCTCATGACTCATTTCCTGAAGCGTATACATCCACATGAAAGGACGGCCGACGCTGGCACTGGTCCCGCAAATCTCCTTTCCTCCAGAAACACTCTTTCTTCTTCTCAGAGAGGCGCAAACAACATGAACACCACCTAATTAGAGAAAGTTTACAGTGAGATACGGGTTTGAAGAATCCCTCATTGGTGACTAATGTAGAAAGTGAGTATGAAGATGGTTATAGTAGTTACAATTGTCTTCGACTTGCATTCGAGGACAAAATGTCACCTGGCATGTCAGTCAACAACTAATTTTCTGAATAACATGCTTGACGAATCTCCTTGGAAGAGCACACCTTTGGGCGGGTGAACAAAAACCCCAGGAGGCTTGCTTTAGGCTGGGAATGATGGGAAGTTATGACTACGTACAGAGTAATTAAAAACACGCCTACAATTTGCCTGATGAGCGCTTGCAGAACGATCATTAGGCTTTTGAGAGTTAATAACCTGCTTGACGGAGCAACCTCGAAACATCTTTAGTTGAAGATTCCCGAGCCTAGAAGTGAGTCGAGTAACATAAAATCCATAGGTGGTTATAACTATATTGAGCACGAGAACAACAAACATCATTAGCTTCCCGAGCAAATAGCATTAAGCATGGGCCCTGCTTGAAAGGCTTCCCACGTAGGGGAGAACTGGATATCTTCCCCCCACAGACGCTGGTGATGAGACTCGTGTGGGAGGACCACGAAACACGGCGAGCACATGAAAAGAGGAGGAAATGAAAGAGGGGGAAAAAAGTGGAAGGGAAGAGTCATAGGAACAAAAATAAGCTGGCCCACATTGCATTACCAGATTCTGTTTGAAGATTGTCTGGCACGGAGAGGCAATCAGGAAAGCAGAACCGGTTTGGCCTTGCTTTGAGCTACTCTGCCGTACCCGGACCACATCTCAAGTGTCCTTCCTCCTTGTCTTTCCCTCTCATCTTTTCCCCATCAAGAACTGCCTCCACGTAAACAAGATATCAACCACAAGACGAGAAATCTGAGAGAGCTGATCCCTTTCCGTGATCATCCCTTCATCATTTACAAGAAGGACCGTTTCCCCCAGAACCGGACCACCTCATGTCACCTAATTCTTGGAAATATCAGCTGGATGGGGTCAGGGTACAAGCCTTGTCTCACGCTCTCTGTCCTAGCCGCTTGTTCATGAGACTATTGTGAGGAGTGATTGGCAGGTAGGTTGATCTCCTTGGGCGGGTCAGCAACAGGACCACAAGCTATTCACCAGGGAGTCCATCAATCACAATTTGGGCTAATTAACCAGCAGAGATGACAAGCCAAGGGCCCCGGTGTCTGAATGGATGGATGGATGAATGAATGGGTACAAGGAAACATGATGGATACACTACAGCACAATACAGCGGAGGATAATTTAATACAGTAGGCCCAAAGGGAAATTTGAATAGCAAGACCAGCAGAGGAAAGAATGAGCAGCATTCGATGCCAGCCAGCAGAGAGACGGGTTCAAAGCATTCAGTTTAGTGGGACAGAATAGTTTTCAGGTTCAATCAGTGCTCTTCTGGCTGATCTAAGTTAATTTAAGCTTTAAACAAGTTAGCGCTGATGGCCTTGGGGAGGGGGAAACCTGCTGACTTTGTAATCACAACATCTACATTTACAGGGAGCAGCCCGAGACCTTTGTCATCCTGACTCGGTATTAACTTATTTCATGCCACTTTCAATCACAAGTCAATCTCAGAGCTGATCACCAATTATCCGGCAATATGGAAGCCTCTAGGAGAGATTGGCAATTTGGATAAGTGACCAAGGACATCCAGTACTTCCCTGCAGCCCACTCTATGTTGCCCTCTTTCCAACACCTTCCACAGACTCATCTTACTGTTCTTTCTTTTCGCATGTAGGTTTTCGAGAGTTAGCATAAAGGGGAGTTTATTGTTGAGATGTCCTCATCAAGAGGTTGCCAACTTGAAAACTAAGAGGGTTGCAGAAGCTCTTGCTGCCTCTTTGTCCAAATTCTTACTTGAATAATGGGGAGCATTAGAGGAAAATGTAGGAGCGAGGGCATAATGGGATGGGTATTAACACTTGGTGCTTATTATTCCCATTAGAGCACAAGTACTGGTTGTTCATTTTGAATACATTTTCGAGAAGATTTCTGTTACCTGGAGACCAAAGTAGAGCTGAATGTCCTGCTCTGGGGTTGTAGTTTTGCAGAACTGTTCAAACGCCTCTGTTTTTAACAAAGACGTCTTCCCCATACAAACAAGGAATAACCGAAAGCAACAGGACAAAGTTAGTTATATCCAAATAATCTTCTCAGACTGTTTTTAATTTGATGGAGAAGCCCATGTGATATAATTAAAGGGATATTCCGGCATAGGGTCAAACACACCGTAACACAAAGTTAGAGACCCCGTCGAGAGATGAATGTTGCCAGCCGCTTGCTTCTCTAGTTATACCAACTTTAGTGGCAACCGCACAATAGCAATACACAGCGGTCTGAGGAGCCATAAACAAACCTCAACCAAAACGCCAAATAATGCTCAGAACAGCACCTAACTTCATCAACAGGACATATAGGGTCACAGCCATAGTACTAGCCACCAAACATCTTTTTAACTTTGCCTGATTTCTTTAGCAAAGAGACTAAACACAACTCACCTACTCTCTTCCAGCAGCCGCTTGTTTGAAGCGAGACCTCAGACCAGTCCATTACAGACTACAGGGGGGTGACACAGCTCAAGGAAGAACATTTATGATAATTTCTTTATCATATCCTTGATGTAATAATCACTATATTAATCATTTTGCATTGTAGATGCGGTAGTTCTTCTGCCTTGGCGTCTCAGTTTGATGAAGAAATGATCATAAATGTTCTTCCTTGAGCTGCGTCACCCCGCTGTAGTTCGTAATGAACTGGCCTGAGGTCTCGATACAAACAAGCGGCTGCTGGAAGAGAGTAGATGAGGTAGCTAGTGCTATGGCTGGGACCCTACATGTCCTGTTGATGAAGTTAGGTGCTGTTCTGAGCATTATTTGTGGCTATAGAGTGGCGTTTTGATTGAGGTTTGTTTATGGCTCCTCAGATCACTGTGTATTGCTATCGTGCGGTCGTTACTAAAGTTGGTATAACTAGAGAAGCAAGCGGTCGGCAACATTCATCTCTCGACGGGGTGTCTAACTTTGTGTTACAGTGTGTTTGACCCTAAATTAATTTTACGCTGGAATATCCCTTTAACGGAGCATCTCATTCCTCTGATAGGTGTTTCCAAATCCTGTGCCACTACCTCATTAGCGTCTGCCAACCCAGTCTGGCAACAATTAGCATGAGTCCCCTTTCTTAATCACTGTGATGGACTGTACAGACATTCAGCTGCCTCTGTGGGATAGCACTAACTAATCCTCCATCGACGAGGGGCCCACATCCAGCAGGAAGGAGCTGAAAAATGTCGCCGCTTGGCTGTCAATAGAAAGCTCCTCTTCATTATGGCTCTATCTGCGTCTCAACGTTCGCACATTCAGCTGTCTGTAAATCTGTCACGAGGCCACCCCGTCCTGTCATCCGTCTATGTCCGTCTCTCTGCCGTCTGAGGCCAAATTTCATCTGTCAGCGTGTTGGCGCTCGTCCACTGTACTTCACCTGCTGCAGTGCATCAGTCTGCCCCCACAAAAAGGCTTGTTTAATGAGGACTCATAAAGAGGGTTTTATTATTTTTGTGGGTGCATCTGCTGTGAAGTCTCTTTCAGGAGGGATGTCTGCACCAATTCACTGCTCATCCTAATTTCAGTCTGATATGAGCAAAGATTTCTTGCCTCTTTTGCACAATATAACCTTTTATTTTCTTGAACAAATGGCAACTATTTTGTGAAGGAAAGTTTGGGGAATTGATTGGCAAGATTTGTGATAGTTTATGCACGCTAACCGACGCGATCATCACAAACACCTCAGCGATATTCACTCGTCAACATCCTCCTGCAGAAGGTGTTTCCAAAGATAATAGGAGTGACTGACAACTGAGATATTGAGACGTTTGTGTCAAAAAAGAATTATCACGTTTTTAAGGTGTAATGTTTTCGGCAGGTGCAGGAAAAGGCGCGTCTGATTTTGTGCATGTAGGTAAGCTGAGACGTGAAGTTGTTGCTGCGCCAATTAACAAGTTCACTGCAGAAGTTGCTCTAAGTATGACAAACAACAAAGTAGAAACACAGACATTAAGTGCTGAGGATAAAAAAGTTTGTAAAAGTTGATGGAACTGAATTTTGGCTTTTGAACAAGATGTCTGGGATCAGAGAAGTCCAAAGAGATTCAGGCCCACGTTCATAAATGGTTTCCTTTTGGCATGGTGCATTTTTTCTTCTCAACTAGTGATTTTTGGGGGTAATCTTTAGCTGATGCAGTGACTTCCAATACAGAGACATGCCTTTTTTAATTCAGAATATCAAAGCCATCCTGCACTGGTCTCTGTCTTTGACAATATTTTGGACTATAGAAGATTAAATTGGAGATTAATGGTTTGGCTGATTAATCAGGCCGATAGATGGCATCATATTGATATTGACTCTCATCTTTTCTACATGAAAACCAGTTTTCCTCTTCCCTAATGACCCATTTGATGTAAAATCTGCCTCCTTAAATATGAAATGTTTTGTTAAATGAAAAAAAAAGGAAAAAAACAAAAATGTGATATCAGCATTATATTTCAGCTGTCCACCAACCTGCTCTGTCATTGTTGAATTTGGATAATGTGCCATTTTTATAACAACTTATATTACAGATTACTTATATTACCAAAAATAGAACCAAACGGGGTAATGTAAATGAGTTATGGTTGCCACAAGTCTGTGTTTTCAGTATTCAAACTATCAAGTCAAACTATCGAGTCAAAAAAGCAAACCTCTTCCAACAAAGGTGCAATTTTCCAAGGTAATGCAATACACCTAATACCGCATTTGGACACTTTTAAGAATGAAAATGTTTCAAAAACAGCTGAGACCGTATCAACTGTGGTTTTCTAAAGCCAATAAAAAACAAGAACAGGACAAGCACACATACTGCATATGCCTACATATGTCCGCTTGTGATTTACATCAGGCCACAGCGAGGCAAACCTCCACGCTTCAGGGGAGTTATAAAATCCCACCTAAGTGGGTCACTGAAAACCGTACCGCCCAAACTGGAGCGCATCTGAAGCTCCTCTGCCATTTCTCTGATGCCTCTGTTCTTCATTTAATCATGCCTACCGGTGCCCGAACCCAAAAGTAAGCCCCAGACCGACACTGCAGCGTCCCGTGAGGGGGCGAGCTTTTGGAGAACCTGCTGTGAAGTGTGCGAGTGTGTTCGCGCCGCGCTTAAGCTAAAAAATGAGCAACAGTGATGGAAAGAGGACCTTTCTACCACTTCTATCCATCCATCTGTCAGTCAGCCAGCGTGCCCACTGATTCTGTTGTGGCCCTGGCACCCTGGCTCTGCCTATTAGCCCGCTAGTTAGACTGGCATTTAGACTGGCAGGACACATAAAAGCAGGAGCCAAAGGGTGAGCGGCTTGGCGAGCACCAAACGGATGTAAAACAGTAGAGGAAGCCCACAGGAGCGCACAGGGAAACATGCAGCAGCTGCCTCCTCCCATCACGTCACTCCGGCCTAATTTGATTCCATCCCGACAGGATTCAATCACATTTTATTAATTTTGGCGCAGTGTAACGCCGCACAGTTTGATTCAATCTCGGGCAATGCAATTTAACCGGATGCAATCAGATTCACTTGAATTGAATGAATTTTAAACATTATCTCTTCCTTCCTTCAACCCTCTGGACAAATCTAACTCCACCCTGGAAATGTCCAAAGTTGGAGATAATTTGAGTGACAATAAACAGATTCAGAACATCCTGCTTTTTAACTTCATCTAAACATGAAAGAAACACTTTTTCAGCTAATCTATTTTCAGCATCTCTTACTGCTTATGCAGCTTGAAAAAACCTAAATTTCTCCTCAAAATCCTCAGAAACATGTCTCAAGTATGAATATATCTGCTGCTCAGTTCTTGTAATCCCTCGCACTAATCCTGTTTACCGAGATGTGAGCTGATGACTGTACAGCTCGCCGTCAAGCCTTTCAAGCCGCCCTTGGGCAAGGCAGTTCATTTTTGTCAAGGTACTGCACTTAGGTTGACCTTGCAACTTCCCAAAAGAGAAGCTAAGCAAACGGCCTTCTAGGTGTTCACAAATAAAACCGCTGTCTTTCTAGGCAGGATAAGTGGTCCTTCAAAGTCCTTTTACTTTCTGTCTCTGTGGTTGTTACACTTGATTTCTGTAAAAAAGAGTCACTCTGCAGCCAGTTCTTGGTTGTTTTGTGTCTCTTTATTGTTGTTACCTGTCTGTCTTTGGGTTGTTTAATGCTTCTTTGTGATCATTTTTTGTCATTATGTCGATGTTTTGGTCCAAGGAGTTATTCACGTCTAATATTTCACTCTAGGCGCTCTTTGATATGGTTTTTGTTTATAGTTCGAATCATGTTTTTGGGTTTCTTTATGAACTCTTTGTTGCTGTTTTCTGTCTTTTTTTCTGAATGTTTTTATCTCTTCGATGTTATTTAAGCCTCTTTTTTGTTTTTGTTTTTAGATTCCTTTGAAGATGTTTTGTTGTCCTCGAGTCATTTTGTGTCTCTTTGTTGCTGTTTTTGTCTTTTTCTGGTTACATTTCTTCACGGTCCCTTTGTTGTTTTTGAGTAGCTCTACTATAAGTATGTCTTTTGTTTACAATTTAAACCATAGTGTGACTGATCATTGCCATTGATCATTTGCGTCTGAATCCCTTTAAAGTTGTTTTCTGTTTCTCTTTGTTGTCGTTTTTAGTCAACCTGTAATCGTTTTGGTATAATTCGATAATGTTTTTTTCTTTACAACCTGCCTTTTTTTTCTTTTTTGGTCACTTTTTAAAGTTGTTTTTAGTCAACTTATGATTATTTATGATTGGGGCAGTTAAAGTCTTTTTTATTGTTTGTACGTTTGTTTATGTTTCTACACTTTGAATCTCCTTGTGAGTCTTTATAAGCTGTTTTACTGTTGCTTCCTGTCTCTGCTCTTGTTTTTGTCTGATTTTGTCTCTGTTATGATAATGTATTTGATCTTTTGTTTGTTTTGTTTGCATCAAAAACTCTATTGTTGTTTTAAACAAATTTTTTGGTGTTTTTTCTACCTTTGTTTTTGTGTATCAACAAATGTGATTGTTTTGGCCTGAGGATTACCTAAAGTCTCTTTGTTTTTGTTTACAATTTCATAGTTTATGTAAATGTTTATAAGCCTTTGTAGCTGTTTCTATCTATAGTTTCTGTTTTGTCTGAATCTGTGTTTTTATTGTTTTTTTTATACTAATGTTGCATCTCTTTCTGTTTGGTTTAAACTCTCTGATGTTTTGTAAATTTTTTGCCCCAGCTTTTTTAGCCATCATGCGTCTCTTTGTTGTTTTCTTTTAAGCGCTTGTGGTTGTTTGAAGCCTCCCCGTGATTATTGTAGTCTTTAGATTTTAGTCTCGTACTTATAGCCACTTGATTAACTTTCCAACAAGATCAAACAACTTTGGCCTCCGGGGACCCATCCAGTCATTTGTTGCCTGGTTACGTTAAGATGATAAGGCTATTTGAAGGCAAAATCTATGAGTTTCTTTGATCCACAGGAGCTAATCATTAGAGCGGACTTTTGTCACACAGTGTACTCATCAGTCATTAAATAGATGTTCGCTCTGGAAGATACTGAAGGACACGAGCAGGTAGAGTTTAAAAGTACCTTACACGGACTCCTTGTTTCCTTTCAGTCTGCTGTTTCATCCATCATACGCTGACAACAACCCTGCAGCACAGATGTTTGGAGGCCCTTTCCTCGCGTATCCAGGTGTTCAAAGCGCAACACAATCCTCTTGTCATATGTGCAGCGCCCAAATTCAATGCAAAGTCTGGCAGCCGGGGTGTTAAAGGGCATGCATGAGAAATCAAAAGCTCCCAGGCAAATAAATAGCATACCCACAACACTGAGATTGCCCTTTGTACAATTCAGAGGGCCTGCTGACTCCAGTCGTTCCTTAAATTGATTTCTCATATCCGGCTGCCTCGAGGGGCCGATTCCATTTTCATATACACACTGGCTCTCTATATGTGCGCTCTCCATCCGAGTCTATTAATCAAATAATGCAATCAATTTCACCTTGCAGGACCAGGACACAGACCATTTCTTTCTGCGAACAGCTTTGCATGTCTTTAATGTGAGAGTGTGATTGGTGTTGAGCAGGATTGTACCCGTGTGAAGTTATCAGCAGAGAAGAAGGAGCTTTTCGGGTCAAAATTTGCAAGACTTGTGTTGGGGAAATTCTGCAAAAGGAATCAGCTCGGCAGCCTTCATAAATATTAACCTGCTGATTCATTCGTGTAGTTGCAGGCTGTGTACAGCGTGTGTGTGGGGGGGAGAGTGTGCACCCCTAAATTTATGCTCAGTCATGTGAGCGTGTCCGTAAACCGGCAGTACAGGATGTAAGCAAACCTCAAAGACATGCTTAAGCCTAGGCTCAGGGTGCAATGAGAGACACTTAAGCACAGGGGCATAAATCTTTTAAAACCCTGAGCCAGTGACATTTCCCCCTAGAGATACAGCGAAATATCTTAATTACGCCACTTAACATCACATTGGTGAGTCCCGGGTGAGCTCGAGCAAGCATATAATTCATTGTACTCAGCATCGGTGGAAGCCAAATACATAAACCTTCAAGGATGCATACTTTAGGAGGTTACACGGCGAACAGGGGACTTCAAAAGCAAATGTTTTCCTTCAGGAGCCAGAGGGGGGGAAACAGAGGAGGATATGTGCAGAGTTAATGTGGTGGGAGCCGGGGCGCCTCGTTGACATGAATCCGTGGAAACGAGTGAAACCCTTTTCCGTGGTTCTCGCCCTTTCCCTCCAAGGCCCCACATTGATAAAAATCACAGAGAATTGAGCGTCTTACTCCGGCTCCTGCACGTACCCTTCAGCACAGAGCTGGCCTCATTACTCACATTACAGCGGCTCCTCTGCATTGTCTAATAGGTCAATTTGTGTGGACTTTGCTATCATGAAAAAGCATGATAAGAATGGAAATTGGTCGGCTGGGTGATGTAACACAACTGCAACAGAAAGAAAGTAACAAGCGTTGAATATTCGCTTATACGAGCAGTATGGCCTCTTTGTTCTACCTCAGTGCGGTGAAATGTAATAGTAAAAAAACCCACTCTATCATAACAACAGTTTCTAGCTCTGTATTGATTGAAATGTTGGAAATATGAACCCCCTGTGAGCGACAAACCCTCTCCTAAAATGCTGAACCTGCAGACATCTCACTCCAGTGTGACGTAGATCTTGACATTGAGTCTATTCTGCTGTTTCCAACAGTGGTGTGCACAGGCTGTTTGAGGGCCAGGGGCAGAAGAAAAGGGGCCCCTGCAGTACACTAGAAAGCAGCATTTAACAAACTTTGTAAGCACTTTAGTTTTTGGTCTCTCTCACTGGTTTATTTAAATCCTGTACGAATATTAGAGCCAGCTAAAAAGTTTGGAGGGGCAATCAGGGCAAAAATGAACATGAAGGCAACAGATAGTAATAGTTTTTAAATCCCAAATACCGACAGCATTCATTTCAACATACTTTAGAAATTATCAAATTCTTCACTAAAAGTTACCAAGGGAAACATTTTTATAAACGGGAGAGTATCCAGAAGGGCATTTTTTTGTATTTGGTTTACAAGAAGGGCACTTTTTCCAGTTTTTTGACACTTTACTCATTTAAGGGGTGTATATTATGGGAAATATGCTCAGTAAAATATAATCATAGGGTATCCTGAGGGTACTATTTATTTAGGGCATCCAGGAGGCCATTTCTTGTTGTATTCTCTTCATCCAGAGGTCTCTGTTTTAATTCTTATTTACAAGAAGGGCATCCAGTGAGCAATTTTCATGTTGCATTTGCTGGAAGGGCATTCAGAAGTCACTTTTTATTTACTAGAGAAGCATGCAGAGTAGGGAAAAGACTTTGGAAAGGCATTTGCAGGTTCTTATTTAATTAATTATTCAGTGTTTATTTACACTTCTTTTACTGTAAGGGCATCCAGGGGCCTTTTTATTTACTAGAAAGGTAGGGTCCATTTTTAAGATATTACTGGAATGGCAACCAGAGTGAAAATTTATTTGCTTGAACATCTAAAGGGAACTTTTTTTTAGGTTGAATTCACTGTAGGTGCATCCAGAGGGCATTTTTATGTTACATTTGCTGGAAGGGCATTCAGAAGTCACTTTTCTTTTCTAGAGGAGCATGTAGAGAAGGGAAAAGACTTTGGAAAGGCATCTGTAGGTACTTATTTAATTAATTACTCAGTGTTTATTTACATTTCCTCTACTGTAAGGGCATCCAGGGGCCTTTTCATTTACTAGAAAGGTATCAACAGGAAAAAGGTATCACTGGAATGGCAACCAGAGTGAAAATTTATTTGCTTGAACATCTAAAAGGAAACTTTTTTTTAAGTTTAATTCACTGTAAGTGCATCCAGAGGGCACTTTTTATTAAGTAGTAGAGCATGTAATTGGTCCTTTTTATGTTTTAACCACTGGAAGGGCATCCAGAGGACACTGTTTTGTTTTTTTTGTTTTTTACATTTCTTAACCTAAGGGATTTTTTCTGTTTTCCACTGTAAAGGCATCCAGAGAAAGTATTTTATCATCTTTTCTCTACTTCAGGGGCACTGAGCTGGGCACTTCCACAGCTTCTATTTTAGGTACATGAGCACCAGGGGGGCAGATGGATGCCCTCCCCTCATGAATGAGCACACTGCTAGTTTCCATTAGAGGAACGACAAAATAAACACAGATTACAGCATGTGCAGTTTGATCATCAGTCTCTTCCTAAGACTTGGCAAGGCAGTACTTTAAAATATGGATTTCATTAAACTTTCCCTCCAACAAGAGTGAGAATTAAACCTAAGTGGCATCAGTGGGATCTGTTATTAAAATTCATAGTCATTTTTACACCTCCTTGAACTGGAATCATACTAATGTCTCATAAAATGTATCTCTGATACTCCATTTTTCCTCAGGGACTCTTCGAAACCTCCTCAGGACCCCCTTTTACTCCCACTCGGGGACCCTAGAGGCGTCCATTCTGCGTGAGATATGAGATCAACATCCTCTAACGACCAGTGGCTTCACTCTTGGCAGCACTTTGCAGCGCTCTACCCCCACCTGCCGTTGTGTGCAAGGATCCAAGTGTGGCCACACTGCAAAAAGTGTCAACTAACAACTCATCCTGTCTTGAGAGCTTGTTTTTCCTCCCTTTAAGGAGTAGCAAAATCTCGCCAAGGGCATTAAGATAACCCGTGTAATCCTTGATGCAAATGAACTTGTTGCGTGTTTTTCTTTTTTTTTTTTTTTAAATACAGAAGCCAGCTTTTAAAGCCTGAACGCTGCCACCGAGGAAGATAAAACACTCACATCCTGCAAGCAAATCTTTCTCGCTTCAAGAGACGGATTACTACTAAATCTGAAGCTACAGGAGTTGGGTATATTTTTCGCAGTGCACGTCAGGCTCAAGCCTGCGGTGACACGGCGCCGCGCATCACTGACCAGGACACAGTTAAGAAGCAGACTCGAGGGAAGGGAGAGAGGGGGAGAGAAAAACAGGCAGGGGGCAAAGGCGAGTGTGTGCACGCGTCACTCAAGGAACAGCTTTATCTGTCTGCGCGCGTGCATCGAAAACACACACACACACACCTACACACACGCGCGAGGGGGGGGCTCTCTAGATCAGGTGCACCGCGCGCACGAGACTCAATTAACGCTTGAGTGTCACTAATGCGGCGAAAATGTCCAAACTTTTCGAAGAATTTCAGACTTTATGTTGGTAAAATAGGCCCGGTGTCAACATTCACACCTTCAGGGGGAGATTTCACCGCTGAATTCACCGTTATGTTCATTCCCAACACTGCAAACGTCAACATATAGAGAAGATGAGACAAGAAAGGCGGTGGTCCGAGCTCGTGTGAATTGTCATTAATGTCTTCATGTAGTTTGAGTGAGAAAACATCATCGCTTCAGGAGGAGAGCCGACTCTTTTTGTGATGATAGCTCGCTCCAAAAGATAAAAACTCAACATTGAGGCTTTAACACGTCAAATAAAGCAGGTAACAGTTTTTTCTCTCCGATTAGCATCGCACTGAGTGTATCTCAACAGCTCGCCCACCCTAAAAAGGACCCCATCATAATCCCCCTTTTCAGTTAGAAAGCATTCTGGCCCCTGCAAGACGTGCTTCAACTACAAAATAACGTCCACTTAAACAAGCCCTCTCTCTCTCTCTCTCTCTCTCTCTAACACACACACAGACTACATCTCTCTCTCTCTCCACCAGCTTTCTCAGCCTGCTGCAGATCACGATGGCAAAAAAATAACACTCAACTTGTCCACAAAGTCACCAAGCCCGAGGGGTTCAAAAGATGCACGCCGGCTCTCTTACCTTGGCTGCCGCAGACCAGCACCCCGAGGAGGTGGACGAGTTTGAGCATCATTTTCGGGCAGGTTTCGCGCTGCCGGACGCTGCTTTCCGCTGCTGTAAAAAACGACAAGGGCGACACACACGCTCGGCCCCGTTCATCCGCTGTGTCGAGCTCCGCTGGCGACTGAAACTGCCTCAGCTCCTTCCTTCGCTTCCTTCCTATGCGCGCGCTCCCGCTTCAGCACGCTCGTGCACCTTGCGACTGCTCTGCGCTGAGGAGCCCCCCCAGCATCACTCCTCTCCGAGGCTGACTATTGGAAGCTGTGGGAAAGCAAAAGGAGGGGGGGGGGGGGAGTGAAGACTAACAGGATGATTCGCAGGGCTTTATTTGGATAATGAAAACATCTCTCAAAGTTTAGGGGGATATTTTTGGACAAAAGGTGGTATTTGAGTCTGACAATGAGGGTCTTTTTTAAACTGTCTCTGAAATGTGCCTTAAGTTACCATGAATTAAGATGCCCATCCATTGACCCTAGTTCAACAATGACAGGAATTCCATCCATCCATCCATCCCAGCATCTTTGGGCGAAGGCAAAGGACACCCTGGACAAGTCGCCAGTTCATCGCAGGGCTGACAGATAGAGACGAACAACCGTCCACGCTCACATTCACACCTACGGGCAATTTGAAAGTGGCCAATTAACCTAACCCCACTTAAGGTCCTTCCACACCGGGACCGTTTTTTTTTTTTCGTGCTATTATTTCAGACGTCAATATTTTTTTTTCGAACCCGTATCCTGTCAATACAAGCAATTTTTCGGATCATGGTCGATTTTGCCAAAGTTTCACATACTGTGTGTCCACTTCTGACCAATCAGATTTCGTGTGGTTGTGACATCAGATTCACCGGTATATCCAACATGGCCGACCGGCTGATTGTTTACATGTCGGAGAACAGAGTGATTTTTGATAAAAAACACAAATATTACAAAGATAACGACCTGAAGGACGACTTGTGGAGAGTCATAGCGTCGGATTTCTCATCTGACGATGGTTTGTGAGCTTTAACAGTTTGATAAACGTCTTTGTTTTAACTTTCATCTGTGCTAAGTAACTTTAGCTCGTAAGCTAACCTGTTCAGATACAACATACCATATGTATTTTCACTGTCTCAAACTCAATCACAGTGTTGCTGTCACAGCACCATTAGGTCTCTGTTGTTACCTTACGTTTATGGATTATAGTTTAATGTGCTTATCTGGTACTGACCCCGACTCAGTACATGCTATCATGACAGACAGACATCTCAACACTAGGGTCTGAACAGAACTGAAAAACACTCAGTCTGCTGTTGTGTCAGTCTTCTCGCTTCCACCCACAGGACGCGTCTTTTTTCCCCCTGAAAAGTCGCATCCGGCTTGATGTGTATAGTCAGGCACGTCAAAATTCACCTCCGAATATTAATAATATTCAGTTTAACATTTCCTCAGTTGACAAATACGAAGTAGATAAAGCCAATACAGAAGTCCACGAGGGGCCGGCTCCAAAACCAAAGTTAACCTTATTAGACGCCATATTAAAACACCAATATTTACACTAATATCAAACCCATTATTGGCCTGATGAAAAATATAGTGATCACTATTTTTGAGCTTCACAACTAGAGAGACTGATTTATTCGTTGGCTGTTTAACCCTCCTCCTCCTCCTGACTTTTTGACTTTGTCAGGAACCTCTATTTCAACAAAATGAAAATAAAAAAATGAAACTGACTAAATTATAAAATGCTCTTATTAAAATTATGGCACTTGTTGTGTTAGGGTCGCTGTTAAACCGGTTAGATCAATGTCTAATGATTAGAGCTAAAACTGAAATCATAAGTGCACTGACAGGCGCCACACGGACAGTCAGATCCTCTTCCAATCATGTGAGATTTAGGGGATTCTCATTTTGCTGTTTTTCCCTGCACAACAAACAACATCGGGCATGTCTAGACATGTGAGATCATCTAAGTATAGATGTCTGTGTGAGGAGGTATACTGACAAAGAAAGACCCAGAGGCCCACAACAAAAAATATTATCAGCAATATTTTCATGGATAATGAAGCCGAACAAGGTAACCTAGAGATAAGAACCAAATTGGATGGTAGAGAATTGTTTTTAGTGTAATTAACAGCTGATTTAAGACACGGGTCAAAACCGACCCATTAATATAGTGGGTGTGTAGTAAAAGCTAACACAGGAGGAAGGTTAGAAGACAGTATTTTGACATAATCAGCCTCATGTCAGCATCAGACCACAGCCGATAGATATCACCAGAGAAGGATTTCACTCAAGTTCAGCTTTTTTATTTTTTATTTTTTTTAGTTTTAATAAGTTGTTGTATTTTGTCAAATGCAAACACCAACAATAACCATTATATATCAAACATCAACAGATCTGCTCAGACGTTGATATCAGTCGGTTATTATTCACAACACATCTTTACAGTGTCGACACTAACTAAACATGGCGCTTTCTTAAAGCAAGATTTGCATAAAAAAAGACACACTCTTGAGGACTTGTGTCATGACAACAAATTTTGTCAGGTACCACCCAGTCCTCACAAGCAAGTTAGCCAGCTACTTAGCAACCAATCACTATATCAGTGAAAAGTCACACAAATAAGCGCGACCAGAGCAGTGTTTTTGAAGTTTAATTGCTCATACTCGTTTCTCTTTACTCTAATGGTTCGCCATAGTTACTGTCCTTCAACTTAACATAACAGCGAGAGATCTTCAATAGATAGTGACTCAGGCGTTGATATAGTTCTAGGCGAGTATCAATCTTTCTTTCTGAGGGAAAATAAAGCTCTTTATGCAAACAAATATGCCAACATATCATGGTGTATCGGTTCCTTTTTTTAGAAGCAACAGTCTTCACAGCACTCTTACGTCCTTTGACAGTAAATTTTGTCGAATTTGAACATTTGTGCCACAGATGTCATTTTTTAATTCGACAAAACCTTTCATTTCAATACATTGTGTTAGTGTTACAGTGAAGTGCTTAATTTGAACACGGACGCATTTATCCGAGGAAACGACAGTGGATATCGACGTCGATGGAGTCACAACTTTGATGACGAAAACTCAGAGGAAAAAAATCGACTAATCTTTAAGGCCCTTCTCTGGGTTTGATTTTCACACAACAATAACTTGTTTTCCAGCTCATAACTTGACCCATAATCTGAGCACACCACGGACTCATATCAGGAGGCCTGTACTTCCCTCTGGCCACCTTGCAGGCTGGTGCAATGTAGGTAACAAGGGCCAGATAAGGAGAAGTCACAACCTGCATAACAGCCACCAAGAAGTGAGCAGCAGATTTGTGCAATTTGTGTCAAACTGTCTCATAGAAAACTGTGATTGGTGCAAATGGAGTGCAGCTATGTTTCCCAATGAGGCCAGGTCTGGAAAATGTATCCTGTTATTGTCTGCCTAGCACCACCACAGTAGAAGATTGGATTAAACGAGATGAATACAGGTGGATTATTTTCCCTCTGATTGAATTACACAGCCTAAACTGTCACTTTTAAATATAAAGTATGATATTTTCCAAAGCAGATGTGTCACTTCATCTATTTTCTTTCACCTGTTCTGGATGGTGTGATCATATACAAATACACGTGTGAATTCTCTGTTTCTTAGGTGTCAGTTGGCTCCCAGGTGGCATGAAGGCCAATTTATGCCTTAAAGAGATCCAACAGCGCTGCTCATTTACTCGTCAGGATAACAAAGATCATGTTTTCTTTCCTTTTCTGTCTGCCTTGATATGTTCACAGTCTACCTGCCCTTTAGCACTCGGGTATAAAGTGTAAGAAAACCTTGTAGTTTAGAACAACCCAGCTGCTGTGTGAAACACCGGGACATGAAGTGTACAGTTAGGTGTGGAGTTAAGTAAGACTCAAGTGTCTGAGGTGTGATGTTTAGTTTTAGCTTATTTTGAGTTTATGATCTTTATCTGGTTAAATTCAGTGCTAACATGTAAGATCAGACACACACTTCAGTGACATTAATCTTCATGTCTTTGTCTTTGAGTTACCTGGCTGTGGCACTTCCTGGTCTAGCAGAGGGTGTGGTCAAGGGTGGACAAACCTCTTGAAGCCTGGAGCAAACCATGTGCTGTGAAGTCAAGGGGGGGTTTAGATCCAGCTGAATTCAGTTTAACTTAGAGACCATTTTGTTCCTCCTTGTGGAACTAATTTTGCGTCCCTCCATTGGCTTCCCGTCCATTAAAGAATTCATTTTAAAAACCCGTTGCGACCGAGTTTTCAACGCTGTGGCTCCCAAATTATGGAACAAATTGCCACTCGAGATTAAAACATTTTTACTTTTAAATCACGTCTTAAAACTCATTTTTATTCCTTGGCTTTTAGCTCAGCATGACAGTTGTGTGATCTCCATCCTTTAATGTCTTTTACTGTCCTTTTATCAATTTTCTTTCTTTAATGCTTTTGTGTATTATTTCCTTTATTTTATTTCATTTTAAATGTTTTTTACCTGCTTTTATTTATTTATTTCATCTTGATGTTTTCAGCATTGTCTATTCTTTTAGCACTTTGGTAGACTTGAATGTTTTTGTAAATGTGCTATATAAACAAAGCGGATTGGATTGGATTGGATCATTTTGGTTTGTATGATGTTTTGATAAACTAAATATGACCAAAACAGTCTTTGTCAACATTTTCATGCTGTGATCGACTATTTAAAACCACTTCACAATGTCCCAGTTTGTCCACAAGGGGACTAGAATCAACAGAAAAGTTGCTTTCAGAGGTTTTCATGTCACATGTTGCATATACCGGCTGCTTCTATATAACATTAATGTCAAGACGGTGATGTTTAAATTGACAGTTTAATTACTCAGTGTGTCCCCTTGTCATGTTTTTAGAGTCGTAAATGCACATGTGCCGGCATAAAACTATAATTTGCATCATTACTTTGCTTTTAAAGACTCATTTTCCACTTACTCTTAATAAGCAATAACATAATAACTGCTGTCAGTGTGTGTCTGATGGTATCTAAAAAGCACCGTCCATTTCCCAGCCGACATGTCACTCGGATGGACGCCACTTCACTGTTGCAAAGTGTTGCATAATCCCGCTCCCTTTGTACTCTGCGAAAAAAGAGACTAAGCGTTTAGCGGCAGTGGAAGAACTTGTGGCCTGTCTTGAAGTTAGTCTGTCAGCGATTGCTCTGTCATCACCGCTGTCACCCGGGCCGGTCTGTTGCCTTAGCAACCAAGTTAAATGGCTGTCTTGAAGAGCAGGAGAGGCACTGGAGTCATATGCATAGATAAGTCACTGTAGTGGTCTTTGTGGAGCTGAAATAAGTCATCACCCATGAGTGACAATACGGGTTATTATTACTGTGAGAGGGCTCAACAACGCTGTACAAGTGTGGCAATGACATTTTACAGCCTTTAAGTTTGACCTCCAATTAAATAACGCCCACACCAGGACTGAGGCTGGCACTTTGCAGAATGTGAAAACAGAAAATGTAATGTTTAATGTCAACACTGTGTGGTCTATAGTCATCTTTTAATGCTTAATACACAGGCAGCTTATACCACAAAGGATCTTATATGCATTGCTCAGGTAACTCAGATATCTTCTTATCATTGCATATGATGATTTGAGTAAATACCACTACTCAAACTATACTGTAAAGGTCACGGACACTGTCTACAAGAACAAACGCTGGTTGAATATGCTGGAAAGTTGAGGATATCGCATTTCTAAGACAAAGGTTTCTGTTTCCCCTGTCTGAATTGTAAATACATCTCTTATTAAGAGCAGCAATCCTTGTGTGTCAATGCATTTACATGCTGTGTTATCAATGTGTTAGGATGGACGTACGCCAGTATGAAGCTTAAATGGTTGATTAGCGGTCATGGAAGGATGTCACATGCAAGATTAACGTGTTTTAACCACAATCTGTGCATTTTCAGGGTGCTATTTGTGACATTTACAAGAAACAGATTGTGAGCCGTGACTCTGTTGGGTACTTCTACATTTTTGTACTTCTCTTAAGTCAGTTAAACATCAATTGTCAGTCATAAATTTTCAGTTTTGATTTGTATTAAAGTGGGTTTTAAAGAGGAAGCCAATGTGTAGTTGTTGAAAACTGCAGTTCCTCTACTGTCCACTTGAGGCTGGCTCCAAAAGCCAAAAAACCCCATTGAGACCCATGTCAGTGTGTTCATTTTTACAGCAATATATTTGCAGCCTGGTACAAAAATAAAGTTACAAAAGAGATACAACAAATCCTCAGAATGTCGTCAATCTCAACCATGTTTGATGAAAACAGGCCTGATGTGATGCACAAATGGAGCGGGTTATCTGCTCCATTTCCTTTGAGTACTACACTTTTTATTGGCTAACACATAAACCTCACTGCGAAACACTGAAACTATCCCTTAAGGAGACTTATTAGAAATCTCCTCAAAGAAAATGTGACAGTTTCTCTCCTCTAACGTGACTTTACTACTTCAGGAGAAGCTATCAAAGGAAAATCTCATACATGCGACTCCCTGTGGGATCTGACTCAAATGTAGAGTATACTGGCCTGTGATATAGCAAGCTCCCATCATGCTTTGTTTCTGTCTTTCAAAATATATTAACGTTTCCTCTCATCTCCTCTCGTCTCCCCAAAGGAAATGGCACGTTTTCATATCTTCCCCCTCAAAGTGAGGAGCAAGCGGTTGCATGTCAAATCATCTGCTCCCTTGATAAAACGTCACACACTGCACTTTAACCTTGCACCACAGTAAGCTACGCACTTCCATAACGTCAAAAATGTTCAGGTTTAAGTATTTTCCTTTCAGGTGCAAAGAAGACCAAACTAGGTGAAATTGAGGGCGTTGAAAAACAAATAAATCCGCCTTTCTCAGCAGCTTCTTGGACAACAAGGCGTTTTATATTCCACAAAGAAACGCAGGATTATTATGATTAATGTGGAGCGTGAATGTGTCGAAGCAGATGACAGAGAGCAGAACCACTGGAACGCTGTTGATTCAGAAAAATTACATTATGTGTTTACAGTAAATGGTCCAAAGTGATGCAGACGGAGATAAATTGAATGCACGTCAGCGTCGAGAGGACTTCCAGATGGTCGTCTCTGTCAGACTGTCAACCTCAGCGAGACGCTTTATGAAGCCCGAACTGAGACATTAACAAGCCACAGGCAGGATCTGAAAATCCACAGGGGTTCGACATTAAATATTCTGCTGCTGACACGATCTTTTCTGGTGCGCCACATAATGGACTGACACCCAGAAAACACTCCAGTGTCATCCATAAACTATTTAATGCAGATCCATGGAGGCCGAGACAAAAACGACAAAAACTTAAAGCTCCTTTGAGAATTTTCTTTTGCTTATTATGAAAAGAACTAAAATTAATGCTGATGCCTCCTTATGACCTACGAAAGCAAACAAAACCATCAGCATAAAGCTGCACAACAGTTATATACAGTAAATATTGACGCAAGATAACTCTACTATTTGGTCAGAACAGCAACCTCTGGTGGCGGGCTGCAGTATAGGTCATAAATCCCGCCTCCTCCAGCAATCCCTATGGCGCTGTGGACAAACTTTAGAAATGTATTACATAGAATATACATTTTTCTCCCCCCTGGTTGGGATGTTGACATGCGGTTATTGTAAGACTGGTTTGTGCTCAAGTCCTCTTTTTTCTGTGAAGCTCCATTTTTAAAAGTTATTAGGGGATTCATGTTTTCTATGATCGACACCTGGTAAAGCCTATGGGTGTACGAACGTTGCTCACCCGGGGGGATACGCTGTTTGAGCCAGGGGTCATCACCTCGACTCTACTGCGCAATGTTGGTTTCAGGAAGTGGACAAAAAACGCAGAATTGCCAAGAGCTTTTCGGCTTCAAATCCGTATACTGGCGGAAGGCGGAACCAAGTTCTCCATCGTATATACAGTCTATGGGTCAAACACAGTTGAGCTATGTTAGGATTCATACATATCTTAGTAGAGAATAACAACTATAGAGAAACAATGAAGAAAAATAAACATAAAACCTGACATGGCAATTGCATTTTTCATACGCCCACACAGAAACATTATGGGTGAAAAGTCAGGGTAGGTTCACGGCAGCTGGCAAACAAGACGCCTGCATCAAATAAACATGAAAGCTGATCTGATGTGATCTCAGGAGATCAAGACTGCAAACCGTGAACAAATCAGAGCCCATCAAATAATCATGGAAAATAAACACTTAGCGCACTTAGCAATTAGCATCATGCTAATGCTTACTGTCATCTTTTGCTTGGAATTAACTTTTTTAATGTTTCTGGAAGAGATACAAGAAGAAAAGAAGCAATGTTGTCTTAACTACTTGGGTGGGCTGATGCCTAAAGGGCCCGTCTGCTTTATTGGCTCATATTTAGTGCTGCTGTGGAAAACATCAGCGTGACTCAGTGCTATCTTCAGCGTAGTGAGACAAGCGTCTGTGATTGAAAAACCCCAGGACGGCAGCCTGACTCAGCACACAATAAGGACGGCAGATAGAGGAATCAGTGAACCCCTCGGCAATAAAAATCACAGACAGCAAACACATTGTCTTCCTGTCTCTGGGAAACGCACGGTCACACCTGCTGTATCTTTCTGCTGGGCCAAACAACAAATCTGAAGAGCGCCTGCTGATATCTTGGAGTCGACTTGGTTCCCACTACGTTTCTATCCCCGGCGGTCCTCTGTTCACATAAATCTATTACAAATCCCTTGGCTAATTGTGTTTGGACTGTCTGCTACAAACAGATGCTTGTGGGAAGTGCTGGCGGTGGCTTTCCGTCTTGCTATGCGACTACTGCAAATTTGTTTGAAGCAAAGTGCTCTGTGATTTTCTGTTGAAACAGTCTTCTTTATAATCATGTTATACTCAAAAGAACTATTGTACAACTGGAAACTCTTTTTGAGGCAGTGTGCAGACACATTCCCAGTGGATATACTCTTTCTTGTCAGTTAATTTTAGGCTTTTACTCCAGACACTTGCAGGATTTCGCCCTCCTTCCCTGCGTAATAATGTGTCATAAAAAATATTATTGTTTATGACAGATATACACTCATTTTTAAAGCCGATGCCAGCATCATGTTGCAAAACAGTTGGGACAGGGACATGTTTACCACTGCGTTGCATCACCTCTTCTTTTAACAACAGTCTGTAAACATTTGGGAACCAGGGAGACCAGATTTGAGTTCTGAAAGTGAAATACTGTCCTATTATTCCCCGATAAGCTGCTTCACAGTTCGGGGTCTCCTTTGTTGGATTTTATTGCATCATAATGAAAAATAATGTTTAAATAGGTGACAAAAACTAGGACAGCCGGCAGGTCAGTTTAACACCTGGACTCTTTGACTATAGAAACATATATGCAGAATGTGGTTTGGTCTTGTCTTGCTGTTTTACACAAGGTCGTAATGTGTACACTACTCTTGCTATGCCACTGATGTATCCCAATACTATCCTAATTGCTGGCTTTTAAACTGTGAAAGCAAGCCCATATGCTACCTCCCTCTTTGGAGTGATGGACAAAGCATCCAAGATTCCCAAAAGGAAATTCAGAAATTTAACTCTGTGTCCGTTAAGAGTGTTAGACCCAGCATCCAAGATTAAAAAAAAAAAAAAAAAAAGCCATTAATTTGGTGATTTCTTTGGAAGTCTTGGACACTGTCCCCCTTTTTTTAGAGTAGTGAACACAGCATCCAAGATTCCATAAAGGAAATTCAGAGGTTCAATATTCTTTTGGAAATCTTGGACACTCTATCTCTCTTTAGAGTGGCGTATAAAGTATCCAAGATTTCCAACAACAATGTCAAATTCATGATTTTTTGGGAAGTCTTGGATACTGTGTCCCCTTCTTCAGAGTTGTGGGCACAATGTCCAAGATTCCCAAAAAGAGTGCCATAAATTAGACCTTTTTTGGGGAAATCTTGGACACTGCATCACTCTTTAGCTTGGTGGATACAGTATCTGAGAATCTGAGAATTCCAACGACAACATCAAATGGAGTTTTTTTGGAAATCTTGGATACCCTGTCCTCTTCTTTAAAGTAGTGGGGACAGTGTCCAAGATTTCCAAAATGAATGTCATAGATTTCACATTGTTTCTGGAAATGTCAAATTCATGACCTTTTTTTTTTTGGACATCTTGGATACCATGTCCCCTTCTTTAGAGTGGTGGGCACAGTGTCCAAGATTTCCAAAAAGAGTGCCATAAATTAGACCTTTTTTTCTTTTTTTTTTTTTTAAACCTCGGACTCTGCATCTCTCTTTAGATTGGTGGATACAGTATCTGAGATTTCCAACAACAATGTCGAATTCATTTTTTTGGACATCTTGGATACCATGTCCCCTTCTTTAGAATGGTGGGCACAGTGTCCAAGATTTCCAAAATGAATGTAACAGATTTCACATTAATTCTGGAAATCCTGCACACAGTGTCCCTCTTTATAGTGATTAACACTACATCCTAGATCTCCAAAAAGGATGTCATAACTTTGATAGTTTTTTGGAAATCTTGGACGCTGTGCCCACCACTTGAAAAAAGTTTTTGCAACTATATCTCTGCTGTATCTCTGCTGAATTTTTTCATACTGTTTTTTTTTTTTTTGTGGTCTGCTGTTTGAGTAGTACAGCTTTGAGCTGTATTTTTGTGTGCAGCAACAATTGGTTTCTTGCCATTGGCTTTTGAAAGTAATTCTGAGTCCATGACTTCAGGGTCATGGCTATTTCCTTAGAACTTTCAAAATCTAAAAATAGCAGCATTTTATAACATTTTTCTCTCTACATTTCACAGTAAGAATTTACTGTCTTGTGATTTTAACTTTTCATCCTAGGAATTAGACTTTTTGGTTCCAGAATGACCACCATCTTTCTAATTTTTCCCATAATATTGATTATAATCTCAAAATCAAAAACTTTTACTTTCATCGTTTTAACTTCATTCCACATTAATTTATTTTTTTCCCACAAGAGTGGTTATACATAAGGAATTTATTACTTTATTTCATGAAGGCTGGTCATTGTTTACTACTTTTTTACAGACACAAAAGACCTTTTATTATAGTGATTCACTTTCAAGATGAAACTCCGCACAAATCAATTAATATTTTTCTCATTTCTTACAACCTTCAGTACCCTGGGACATTGTCAAGGGCTCTTTTAAAGTCCTTTGAAACTTCATTTTTAATGTTAACTAAAAATAAGGCTTGTTATTGGTACTTTTTGTGCTCATCTAAAAGAGGATTGAAGCAATGGTTTTGAAAGCCAGACATGTATTTAATTAAACTGGTCAGGAATGCTACTCAAGAGTTATTGTGGCATCTATGTGGCCCTGTAACTGTCTGGTGTTTATTTTAGAGCACATTTTTGGGGGGGAATCTGAAGGTTATATAAAAGTGAATAAGCTTGTCAGGCATCAGAGTGGACAATCTTTTCAGTCGCGTTCCAGGTGTAACCCCGTGTTTATGTCTAATCAAACAAGGCGATGCAATTACAGAAATGTTGTCTCTCAAAATAGCGGAGAATACTGATGAAATGAGGAGTCATCATTCAACAGAACAGCCGATGCGTACGTGTGTTATTAATTTTGTCAGGCAAGGACTTTAAGCACTTGCTATTCATCGAAAAAGTACAAGACAGATGTCAAAGGATGAAAGTCTTATTCAGACAGAAAGCTTTTCATTCCTGCCTTTCATTCCTCCGAAAAGTGAAGATGATTTGCAGCCTGCGTCAAAAGCATCACTTAAACCCATCAAACCTCCATTAACATCATTTTTAATCTCAGTCCATTGATCCAGAGTGCTGCAGATCAACAACTATATCACAGCCGTGGGATTAAAAGGCTTTCCTGCGGAGACATACCTGACAGGTCACGTGGAGGAATAAATTTGATACATGCAAAAAGAGAGGAGATAATCCCACTCACTGTCTAATGATTTTAACTATTACAAAGGAACTCAAGAGGAGTCTCTCATCATGGTTTACGCTAAGAAAATCCCATAAGGACAAAGCGCCCTGCTGGAGTGTACTCTGTGCAAAAACTTGATGTACTGTCAACTGGACGCTGCCAACTTTCTCCTAACTGCCCTCATAAGTAACTTTTACACACGGTCACAGCTCCTCAGTCACACAGGAGCAGTAAAGCCCCTTTGTTTACACGGTTTATGGCATCATTTTGTCTTTTAACGCTGTAATAAGGACTCTAAATTCTCTATTCAGTGATAAAATGTTTAAACATAAAGGATAAAACGCATCTCTTTGTCATTTATCTGCTGTAACCTCTATACTCATGCAGTAAACCAACACATGTCTGTGTTTACAGAGGTAAAAACTGCTGTGATCGAGCAGCTTATACACCTAATGTGAGGTAATTCATCTAACTTTAAACAGGTATTCAGTCAGTACAGTGTAAATTAAAACTATAAACAGTTTGTTTTTAAACCCATTAAGTGACTCTTTCACAACAAAATGTGATATAAAGGCATTTGTTACCTCTTTGGATCATTCTGGCAAATTTGAAGTTTTATTCTTTATATTGTCTAACTCACATCTTGTCAATGTACGGCTTTGCTCCAGCAATTTAATGATTATCATGTGAATTACTCACAACTTTCTCTTTAAATGTTTTACATCTGTACTCTTACATTCACATTTCTAATCGTGTTATTTTATAACTTCACCCTTGATATTTTACATTTTATTGCATATTTTATTTATTTAGCATTATTCATTTATTGTACTATAATTTTATATTTTTTAATCTCTTTAGTGTCAAATAGCTTTATTTTTATAATTGATTATTTGAATACTAATTTTTTAAATCTATTTTATTTTTCAAATTTATTTTTATCTCTCCAATTTTATTTATATTACTTATTTTATTATTTTATTGTTTTAATCATAAGATAAATCTTACACATTTTTGAATTGTTTTTTATTTTATTCATTTGTCACTACTCTTTTTTACTTATTGATTATAACCTTATTAATCATATAAATAATTCAATAAAAAATTATATGGTAATTTTTTTACTGCATTGTTGTCAATTTATGACTTCAATCCTTTTTTAACATGACTTTAATCTTGCAAATTCAGAACTTTTTTGCTTTTATTTCTCGAATCTTTTTTTTGTTGGTTTTTATTGTACTTCTGAAACTCTATTTTTGTAAATATTTTATCCCTATAGTGCCCTCAATCCTCCACTGTAGGAGCGGCAGAACCAAGTGAATTTTCCTTTTTTTTTTTTGGTTAATTGTGAAATGTTCTTTCAGAATCAGATCAGCAGGTGGATTTCCAGGAAGCAGGAAAAGCCCAAACAAAACCCTCTGCTGGACCTTTATCTGTTGAAAACTTGTGTAATATAAAAGACCTTTCATTTTCACTGGTATCATGAGCTTTAATCCTGCTCTTTGTGTGACGCTGTAACCTTTATTAGCAGAGACGTGCGGCTGTTCCTGAACATCTCTAACGAGGAGCGAGTCAGTGGGCAGTGGGGCGGATGTGAGGGGTTAGGTGAGATTATGGGGGGGGGGGACTCTTGCAGAAAGTAATCCCTCGGCAGCACGCCAGGCCAGCCTCAGAGTGGTCAGAGCCTTTCGTCAGTTCGCTCATTAAAGCCCCCCCTCTATCTCTTCTTCTTCTCTGCTTCAAATTGCCTTCCCAGCCTCATACTGCGCCGGGGCCGGAGGGTCAACAGATTATCGTCTTAATCCGGTTAATCCGTCCTCACATCAGTGCGGGATGATTCTCACCATAATTGTATTCGCCGCCGCCTCAATTAGAAAGAAGCGGGGGTCTGAGGAAATGAGGTGGAAGGAGACATCATGACGGATCAGCGGCTAGGGCGCAGCGCATATGTTTGTGTGTGAGTCCATGCAAAGAGGAGGGAAGTGGTGTTCAAGGCTGTGGAAAGTGGTCGGATTTGGTTCAGCGCTGAGGGTGAAACGGCGGCAGAAGTTCAGCGAGGTGAAATGACGACTGCTTGACCGCTCTGTGCTCCTGCCATCTAAGGCGGCCCGAGCTGATAGCACAGCTTAAGAACTGTATTATTGGATGAAATGACATGGATACCAACAATACAATACACCCCAAAAGTCTGACGACACGACTGCTTCAATCTCGGCGCCCAGACCGTGTGAAGTGTGGAAATAATTTGTAAATAACATGAGTTCACAGAGCATTAGCATCCATGGCTTCTCGCCGCCACTCCTATTATCCCTGTCAGTGCGATGAGTCAAAGGTTAACCACTGCTAATGGTCGGACATTATGTTAATTAGACAATCTATTAGCATCCTGTCAGATTAGGCTCAGCTGACAAGATGCCCGGTCATAGGACATGACGCCGAGAAAATCCATGAGAGGTTTCAGCCCTTGGAGAACTTTTCCTCCCTAATGGCGCCACACAGTGTAGCGAATGTCTTGAAGCCGGGATGTTATAGGTAATGGCCAGGAACTAAAGACTCCTAAAGAATGAGGTGCATCAGACTAAAGGGGTACTCAAGGGTTTGATTGTACCTAGAGTTGTTTTTCTTCGGCTCGAACCACAGGGGGAAAAAAGGCCCCCAGATGTGTTTTGCATGATTTGAGAACACAGTGTCTGATCAGCAGCTCTTAAAAGGGAAAAAACGGGTTTTTCAGGAACATTATCGGACCAAGTTTTGGTAGCGGAGTCTGTAAAACGGAGGTTTATGAATCCATCCAAGGAGAATAGCCTGGGTGTCATTTCCTTGAGCTCCTCCCCGAGGGTCCCAAGGTGATCCGAAGCCAAGCGGGATTTATTTCCCCTTCAGCCTTGCTCTTGGTCCGCCTCGGGGTGTACTCCCAGCTGGACACACTGGAGTCATTTCAATGTAAATGAGTTTCATCTAAGTTCCTTACCCTGTACTTAATGGTCACCCTGGGAATGAAGCTCATTTTAGCTGCTGGTTCCTGATCCCTTTGGTCAGTATCTAAAGGTCATGATCACAGCAGAGGGTAAGAGGGCCGAGCCAGGATATGGAGTTTCACCTCCATTACTAATATTAAACAGGAGTCCAGAACATTTCAGTCAACGATGCACCAATCAGGGAATGGGTCACTCCAAACGCCAACCCAACTTCACGTTTGGTCAAGCTGGGCAGAGGTAGGCCTTTAGCCCCCAGATTAACTGTTATAATATACTCACCTGTCACTCAAGCTAACAATAATCCTTATAATGCAAAACTGACACTTTAAAGGGAAAAATGCTCCTGCTCACACATCTGGTACAGAAATTGGGCTATCCAGGCCTGTGCTTTTTTTTTTTTTGTTTTGTTTTGTTAATTTCTATCCATTTAACAATAATCATAATATTTAACAATTTTTATTTTTTCATTTTGACATGAACATTTCAACATTTTAGTTTTAACATTTATACATTTAAAATTTTAGTAAAAAAAAAAAAACTTAAATTTTAATCTCATTATTTGAAAATTTACAAATTTTCACATTTTACGGTCACATTTATAACACTTAACATTCTACAGTTCAGCATTTAATATTTTAACATTCTAAAATTTGACATTTCAAATTTCAACAATTAAACATTTTACCTTGTAACATAATGTAACATTTTTCCAACATTTTCACATTTGACATGGCCATTTCAACATTTAAAATTTAACATTTAAACATTTATTTTTTATCTCATCATTTTTCAACATTTTCACACTTTACGGTTACATTTATAACACCTAACAGTCTACAATTCAGCATTTAAAATTTTAACATTCTAAAATTTTACATTTCAAATTTCAACAATTAAACATTTTACTTTGTAACTTTATTTAACATTTATCCAACATTTTCACATTAAAACATTTTACGTATTAACATTTTACACTTTAAATTTTCAAAACTTCACATTTTTAATATTCAATATTGTCATTTTTTTTTTAAGTTTATGCAACATTTTCAAGTTTTTTTAACATTCTAAACATTTAATATTGGTAGGTTATTTGAATATTTAAATCATTTTGGAATTTGACTTTTTTCCAACATTGTAATATTCAACATTTAACAACTTTACATTTCCAATGATTCAATTTCTTTCAAAATTGTACATTCTTATCTTTTCTTGTCCTTTACATGTAAAAGTAGTGTTTACTGATTTTAGAACATGACACTTTCTCCTAATTTGGACAGCTGTACATGCCTTACATTGAATCTTGTAAATAGAAAAATTTTAAAAAACTAGCATGCTTTTACCTGCCTCATCTGACACCCACCCCTGACATTCATAATTCATTCTAATAAGATCATAATTCTTCTACTCACTGGGCTGGTTTGCTTTGATTGGTCAGAGGGAGATATCAGCGTCAATTTCAGTACATGTAAAAAAAACTGTCAAAAGTTCCTTATAGTACCTTTATATCTGACCGCAAACAGCTGGTTTCAAGCCAATTCTGCAAACAGACCTGCGTTTACTTTCCCAACAGGACCCAGCTGGACCTTATCCACCCCTCAAGCTGTGGCGAGACATTTTGTCCATGAAAATCACAAACAGATCAAGCAACACCGGTCAGCCTTGGTGGAGTCCAACACCCACCATGAACCGGCTTTGGCAGGAATTATTGGCTTGTATTTCACTCACTGTGCTGCCCAGAACAGTTAAGAGCACAGGAAAGAAATAGCTGAATATGATCACTGGTTCAGACTTCCATTTACCCTCCATTAATTTTTCCTCCGAGCTTTTCAAACATGAGGAACTGCTGGCTGTGACATGCCAATATCCATCTCTGAGCCGCGAAAGCCGCGGTGCTTTTTGTGCCATTTGTAAGACAGTACATGTGCAGTTTGTCCAGCACAAACTGCAGGCTTTTAGATTGTACTCTCACTTCTGACAAACTGCAGCCCAGCACAGCGCACTTGGAAGGCGGACGGCGCCCTGCACTGTCAGACCTCTCAGTGCAGTTATTTATTTGTTTTGAATGACCTATGCTGCAAAAACAAACTGCACTAAGACAGTAAATGGCCCATACTGTGAGTCTAAAGAACACAGCCGAGACGCCTGATGTGGAGGCACACAAAGTGGACAAAATGTATGATATTTTCGGATTATATTGGGGCTTTTGATGTGCGAGTCTAACACAGAAACGCTCTGATTGGAACTGATGTTATTTTGGGAATTTCATTTCTTGAAAAACTGGCGTAGCTCAATTAAATCACATCTCAATTCCGACCAAATAGACGCCTTGTGTGTTGCTGATTCCTCATCTACATGCTGAATAAACTGCTTACCTTATAAAACCCCTGCAATTCCCATCTTCTTGATTGTCTTTGCTGCAGGATTTGTTCGCATCCATTTCACAGCTTAACTGTACACTGTATATTTTATTATGCTATTGACTGCAGAGGCTTCATGATTATATCCGGAGTGTGTAGTGCCCAGGGGCCCCACTTATCCCGGGTGCTCCACTAGAATTAATATGCTACTTGATACTAGCAGGGTTCAGTGGCCTGGACTTTTACAGTGTCCCTGCCTCTCTCATTCCCTCGGTCACCTCTCTGGATGCTTAGTAGTTGTAATTTTGTCCTCTTGACTGAGAAAAGTCCCTCTGAATTACGGCCACAATTCCCCCCAAAATTGGTATGCTGTGTAAAATGTTCATAAAATGCACCATGATGTTTAAAACTGAGATTTAAAGCTCCTGTGTGGAGTTTTTTAACATGAATGAAAAAGGATTAAACTCATATGGGTGTCTGAAACTTGGGGGAGAGGGAATGTGTCACCAAACAGCCAATCCGTAGATTTCCACAGGTCTGTTTTTAATGCAGTGCTTCTTTTATACACAGATTTCTCCAGATTCTTTCGATCTTTTTATAAAATTATGTGCTAAAAATGATGAAATACTCAAATTCTTTGCAGCCGTATTTGCAGAAGCCTTCTATTGGAGTTGTTGACCCTCACCCGGCCTCTCACAGAGTGGAGAGTCTTTTCCCATCTTTTGCTCCTAACAGCCTCAGTCTCGCTGGAATGCAATTTTTACTGCACATGCTACAAACTTGTGGTATGTCACGGCAAATTAACAAAATTGTGGTCAAAGGTTTATCCGGGAAAGTATTTCACAACTTTTTTAGAGTTTTGCTGTCCTTGTATCGACTGTTTAGAAAAATGTCGATGGTGTCAAATCTAAAAAGCGCTTTTGTCTTCATATAATTTGGTTTGTTATGTTGTCCTTTCAATATTTTCAGTTAATTAAAGAGCCAAAATGATTAGCAAACTAAATTTTATCAACAGTTTACAAAGTGCCCAAGCATTTATGAAATTTGGGACCAATTTGAGCTTTCTGAAATGCCATTTCTTGCAAACAAACTGCAAAATCATGCTGAATGAAACCAAATGTGCAGTTGTCATTCTTATGGATAGATTACTGCAACAATCTCCCTGACCTTCAGCGTTTCTGTGTCGAATGGTGTGAAGTCATGCTCGGATGACCTTTGGATTTTGCACGCAGGACTCCTGGCCCCAATAACGTCACTCTTATCTTTCTCTGGGGCTGATAATGCTCCCACCCCTCTCATCTTGATGTGGAAAAGTCAGCTTTCCTCATATCGCTAGATGCAGTAAGAAAGATTATGACTTGGCCGAGGTCTGTGTGTCCGTGGGTGTGTGTGCGTGTGTCAGAGCAGTAACCTATGTGACTGTGAAAGACAGAGGGAGAGAACATAAAATTGGTGAAATTATCACGGTGGCATAATGGGCCCTGTTTTTCTGAAGCTTTTACATTTGAATTTAAGTGCAATGATGACCTCGCTCACTCTTGAAGCAGTTTCATCAGTAAAAGAAAGGAAAAAATATCAAAGTGGAGAAATAAATGGGAGCAATAACACTCGGAAAGGTGCAGTATTTGTTTCCCTGAAAAACCAAGCTTCAGAACTGTTTGTTTTAAAGCCTCTGTGAAGAAATGTGGGTTTCTGTTGATTTTGGCGCCCCCTGTGGACAAACGCATCCCTGCTCCAACTTGTAGTTTGGAAGATTTCAAGGTTACAGAGAGACTGAAAGTTTGCCTCAATTCTGCTTGTTCGCAACACCGATCAGTCGTGGTGAAGAAAGAGCTGAGCCGTAAGGCGAAACTCTCGATTTACCGGTCAATCTACGTGCCGACTCTCACCTATGCCCATGAACTGTGGGTAATGACCGAAAGAACAAAATCACGGATACAAGCGGAAATGGGTTTCCTCCGCAGAGTGTCCAGGCTCAGCCTTAGAGATAGGGTAAGGAGCTCAGACACTCGGGAGGCGCTCAGAGGAGAACCGCTGCTCCTCCACGTCCAGAAGAGTCAGCTGAGGTGGCTCGGGCATCTGGTCAGGATGCCTTCTGAACGCCTCCTGTTAGAGGTTTTCCAGACATGTTCCAACAGCAGGAGACCTCGTGGCCAACCCAGGACCAGGTGGAGGGATTATATTTCTCGGCTGGCCTGGGAGCACCTGGGAATCCCCCCGGAGGAGCTGGCGCAAGTGGCCAGGGTGAGGGCCGTCTGGGCTTCCCTCCTGAAGCTGCTGCCCCCGTGACCCGGACCCGGATGAAGTGGAAGAAAACGACGACGACGCAACATGCTAGGTCAACAAAGTTAGTGTTAGTCAGCATTTCCAATATGGTGGCTGCTGGAGGTTACCTAACTTGGTCAAAACTCCACCTTTTTAGAGGCCTTTGTTTCTTTAAAGGACCATCTGGCAATTTCCTGTCTTTTCTTGACCCCACATATGTGTGCCTGTTGACACTGTGTCAAAAACGTTGGTTTCTGTTCACATTCTCAATGTGTAAAGGTCTTAAGAATGACCGGGCTGTATTAAATACTTGTCACTCATTGGTTAAAACTCTTTGGGTTGTCAGTTATTGACCCTTTTCTCGTCTTATATGGACCCTTTGTCTGTTAACACTGTGGCAAAAACCATTGGTTTCCATTGGCATTCCCATGAGACCCCACAACAATTGACATGACACTTACAGGTCACGTCTCAAATACTTGCTCAGACTTAATTCGAGGTTGTTACATGAAGAACTCATAAGTGTTAACTAATTTACTCACTTTGGAGCTTAATGTCTTGCTCAAGGACACTTGAGTAAAACCCTCAACCTTCTGGGAGACGACCAACTCCCACTAAACCACGGGATCTTCATCTAACATTCATTTTCCCCTTTCAATAAATATCCGTACAGCCTCAGGTATCAAGAACTGGTTGACAAGAGAATGACTCCATGTCTTCTTAGACAGCAACATCAACAATTGATCAAATACATCTTTAAAGAAAGACATTCAATAGAATCAGTGTAGTCACACGTAGATACACTTTGTGTAAGCTCAGAGCTTCTTCATGAATTGTACAGTTTCTTTAAGAAAATATGTATAACCACAAAAGAAAACATTGATTTGTGACTCTCTGTCAGCAGTTAGTTTATTGAGAATGCAACATTTGTTCATAATGTATCAAATCAAATATGAAACAGGGACAATTTTGTACAAGTGCCGCGGGCTAAAACATGCAATAAAAACCGAGTCAAAGACATATTGGCTGACTTTATTCTTTTTTTTTCCTAGAAGTTATTGAAGTCCTGTGAATTCTTGTAACACACCTTGTTTTTCAACATCCTGGTTGTAATCTGTGACACAAATGATGCATCTCAATCAAATTTTCCATCTTTAAATTCAATTAGTCATAAAAACAGGCTAAAGGTTTATGACTCATGGAGCAAATCAAACCAACAACTGATGTGTTCTGTGTTTTGGACTTCATTAACACTCCAATTAAAAAATGTCCATTAAATGTTAATTTGAGAGTTTGTTAATGATTTAAATCCAGGAGAAATCTGTAAGTAAAGGGATATTCCGGTGTAAAATTAATTTAGGGTCAAACACACCGTAACACCGAGTTAGACACCCCCTCGAGAGATGAATGTTGCCGACCACTTGCTTCTCTAGTTATATCAACTTAAGTAATGACCACAGATAGCAATACAGGGAGCCATGCGCTCAACCAGAAAGCCACTCTATAGCCACAAATAATGCTCAGAACAGCACCTAACTTCATCAACAGGACATATAGGGTCACAGACATAGTACTAGACACCAAACATCTTTTTAGCTTTGCCTGGTTTCTTTAGCAAAGAGACTAAACACAACTCACCTACTCTCTTCCAGCAACCAAGTAATAATCATCATATTAATCATTTTGCACTGCAGACACAGTAGTTCTTCTGCCTTAGCGTCTCGGTCTGATTGCATTTCCATAAAGAAATGATCATAAATGTTCTTCCTTGAGCTGCGTCACCCCGCTGTAGTCCGTAATGGACTGGCCCGAGGTCTCGCTACAAACAAGCAGCTGCATTGTGGCGTTAATTTGGAATTCATGGACTGAGACAAAGTGGAAACAGTTATCTTAACTTAGTTACCATGTGTAACCATGACATAACTCTAACTGCCATTACTGTAATTTTTCATCTTTGAAGAATACTCAGAAAGGAGTGGAAAATGATATACAGATAACGATATTTAATGACACTAAATTACTTAACTCAACCAATTAATCAAGTAAATTAGTAATCCATGAGGACAGAGAAGTCGTGATCACCCACTTGTTATAACCCTGGCCTTGTTGTACCCCTGGATTATGATAAATGTGTTCCTATATGTGCAACAAATTCAATAGATTTCAAGGTCCAGCTGCAGAAATCTAAAAATAAAAGATATCTTAATGAGTACTACTCTTTTAAAGGTCCGATATTCTCAAAAAATACATCTTACTTTAATATCCTTCAGATCAAAGTCGTTTGTTTTGGTGCTTCTCCGCCTAATCAGCACAGCAGTTCATTATTTTAGCATCAATCACTACAATGATAATGAGGTTATAAACTGAGCAGCTGCAAATGTGTTTTGTTGATTTATTGTGACAGAAATTATCACCTTAAATAAAAGACAACTTGGACATGTTGTAAACAGATAAACGTCCTTATACATGACCTTAAAAACACTCTATCCATGTATCCTGCACGTATAACAGTCTTGCATGTACGGAAATACAGACCAAAGTGCTTCTCAGTCTGAGCTGGAGGCTGTAGGTTTACTCAGAAGTAAGAATACTATTCTGAAAAGCTTTTAAAAGTCCAAAAAAGAAAAGTTGATTGAGTGATCAATAAAAATCCTTGAACAGGTGCACAGCCTTCCCCAGAAATGATCACTAACACAAAGACTTTTGATAGAACCAACTGTGAAGTTGAGACTATGAAACTCGCGGCTTATTAAATCTATCAAGTAAGGGAGAAAAATAACTGACAAGAAGTACAAGACGAAAAATAAAGATGCAAAAATAGCTCTGGAAATAAAAGACCGAGTGTGTGTGTGTGTGTGTGTTTGTGTGTTTTTAGCAGACTTACCAGTCACTTTAGGCAGGCAGTCGTGTCTTCAAAAGGAGAAAAAAAAAGAGCAAGAAGCACTTTGAATAAAAACAAGAACTTTTGATCACTTGTTTTAAAGCCAGAGATGAGAGGAATACGACTCTGTTATCACTTTCATTATGAAATATGTATTTTTACACTCAGCAAACGCCCACCACCAAACAATGACAGGAGTAATCTGTGTGAGGTAACAAAGCAAAATCATGTTGCTGCTAATTAGCCTTATGTACAAGGAGTTGCTCGCTTTATTGAAACAGCAACAGATAGGACACATGTCCACTCTTTAAACATAGTGGAAAATACTACGAATAATTAATTTAAGTCCTATCAAATCTGGAGTATTCATGAGTGTTAATATGAGATACGGCTTGTTGGTCAAGGAAAAGAAAGAACTGGCTTAGTCCTCATCATGCAAGAAGCTCTATCTAGTACCTTCTTAAAGGTGGGGTAGGCAGGAATCCGTTAAAGAAGCATCTTTTTTTGTGGTGTATATACAAAAAAGATTTTAATATCAGTCAATAGCTATTAGTTATTGATGACATTTGGTAATATAACGATATCGCTGTGTTTTGTTATCTCTGTGTAATCAACATTTTAAATTTTTTGAGCGCTTTTTCTGACTGTAAACAAAGCCATTCTCCGCCTCCCCAACCTGATTGGTTGTGAGGCGGATGCTGCTCCCCGTGTCGTTCAGGAGTCCAAACAAAGTTAGCGTGCTACAATATCGGAGAGTAGAAACCAACCAGAAAGTTCGGAAAATTGTCTGAATCCTCCTTTGGCCACGACTGCCGACACAAGCAAGAAAAGGAAGTAAAAGGAAAAGGAAGAGAAATACCGGAGACTCTGGCGGAATAACGGGCGCTTAAAAAGGAGGGAGGCCACCTGGACAAGAGCTAAAAAAGCCGGGTCAACAATGATGGGAGATGCTTTGGGATCTTACGGACCCTGTAACCTTTCTGCTGGACAGGTAAACCGCTTTAACAAAGTAAGACAAGTGTCTGTAACAGAAGTGTTTCTTGTCAAACTGGACCTGCTGCGTGTTGTAGCGCCGCGTAACTGTCTCCCTCGGGTCCTGGACTATGTCACTTTATCCTCGTTGTAGAAGTCCTGCAAACATTGTGTTTGCTGGTCGTCTGTTGAAGGGGTAGTGTTTATGTTCAAGATTTCTCCCAAAAACTGGAACTTCCTCAGATCCTGCCTACCCCACCTTTAAGCTGCCAATCCTGCCAGCTGCCCAGAAGTTAGCATAAACTTGAGCTCAACTCATTATCAGTTTTAACAGCGCTTTACAAAGTTTGTGGGGTGATCGTCGCAGTCATGATGGTGGACGTGTGTGATGAAGCTTTGGCTAGTTTGGCGCCATCTTCTGGGTAAACTACAGCATTACAATTACAAAAAAACCCTTTTATACATTATATACTGGTAGATTAGTCAGGGTTAGGACCATTAAGATTAATGGCGCCCACGTTTTAGGCGATAAAAAAGTAAAAATTGTCAAAAATCACCACATCTTACATAAATTACAAATGAAAAAGTGTTCTGTCAGCTTCGTCGACTTTTCCAAGTTGTTAAGGGAAATAACTGCTGTTTACGTTCAAGTTGCTTACAGACACAATAGAATATCGAAAATGACTTTTAATAATAACTAAATTCCAAATTGAACAAACTCAGTACCTCACTCTTGCTAGGGCTCTTGCTGTGACTAATGTTGCTCTTTGTAAGGTCATTTTTTCTGAACTTTTGGCGAAGTTCAAGCTTTAGTTCCTATCCGATGGTCAAACGTATGATGAAAAGTTTCCATATGTTCTCTCATTGTACCGTTTACATCCATGACTCAACCTTCAATAATATCTATAGAAACTCCATAATAGATGGCTGCTGCAGCTCTACTCGAAAACCAGACGCACATTTCTCATAAGTACTCTCTTGTGTGACCCCGTCAAGCATATATTGAGCTCAGTTTTCCATTTACCCTGTATGTATGACGCAGTGCTGCTCCGCTTTTGCTTTCAGGATGAACTCTAACAAGCAATATTTCCTCCAAACCTTTAACTCGAGTGCAAATACGCTCTGAAAGGTATTGTGTTGTTACAGGGGTACATGATGGTACATGTATGGTGTTGTGTTGTTGAAAAGCAAGACCGGCACTGTGAATCATGATCCTGCTGTCGATCTCACTTCAGGGAATTGATCCATGAAAGTCGCGCTTCTTCTTCTTCTCAAGGCGATGTTCCTGTTTTCAGATTATATGCCCTAGTTTTTGGAGGACACTCAGACCTGAATGTGTCTTCTTCTTACGTCAGTCAGTTCGTCAAAACTTGGACAAAAATTTCAGGCTCTTTTTTTAATGTCAGCGCAAGAAGCCGAAAGCTCTTTGTGGCTCAACACAAGGTCAGATGAAAAAGCCTATGGTGCACAGAGGAAATACATATGATAAATAGAAATGGAAAGCAGGAGGAGGGATAATAAAGAGCTGAGATAGACTGCTTTGATGCAGAATTTACCGTCTTAAGTGTTCTTGTCTGTGGTCACGACGCTGCAGGAAACAACTCAAAAGCATGGAAAACAAGAATACAGAAAGTTGTTTAATATCTGAATTAGATCGCAACAGAAACACTTTGGGGAAAGAAGGATTTGGAGTGTGAAAGTTTACGCTGGGAGTTTGTTGAAAAATTAATTTAAGGCGCTGTACGCAAGTCCAAAGTGCTGATCCACCATCCAGGCCTTGGCATCCCTCTCTATTTTGGCACTAATATTTGTTCAGTCTTGCCTGAACTCAATCTGGGTCCAAGGTTATAAATTGGTGAGACCAGATGTCTTGGTTCAAGATGGCAATAAATTCATTCTGTTGGAATATACTCATTCGGCGCCAACTTCAAAAATCAATTCAGACTCTGGAGATCCCCTCATTTCTTGGCTAGAGAGCAGATTCGCTGAGTCTTCATCATGTACATTAGACACACTGCTCGACCAAAATGATTGATTTCCTCCATCTTTCTGCACATATACCGAATAAAGGGCGTAGAGATATTTTCAGGTAACTGCTCTGTGATGATAACTTTTCCAGGGGCAGATTTCTCAGAGTAAAATAAACTATCAGGCCCAAACTGACCAGGGGTGTGTCCAGAGTGAAGGCCAGGGGTGGCATTGCCCTCCTTCTAATTGGCCACCCCAAAAATCTTACATTGTTCCTGGCTATTTTGCTCATTTATTTAAAAGACTTTTGTTCTCTGAAGTTTCTGAGACTTGTTATGAATTAGTCCATCAAAAAACACAAGCAAACTACCAAACGGAGACAAACTGTCAAAAAATATGGATATATTGTGCCAGTCCAATGGAAACTAGACTTGAATATACACAACATGCCAGTCTACATGAAATCCCATTAGGTCAAAGATGTCAAAGTCAGATTAACACCTGATTGCTTTGGTTAAAGGCCAGTAACAAGCTGTAAAGGAGGCGTGTGACCAGGTCATCTGGGGCTCGAGGATATTGGTCCAATTAAACTGACTAATTGAGCAAATTTTTGATACTTTTTAAGGTTCATATGCTACCACTCTGTTTTCCTGTAAAAGCAATTATAGACACGAAGCATAAATTAAGTATTTTAATGGTAATTGGACTACCCCAGTGAAAAAAGTACAGGTTTACCCCCAAAACTGACCCCAATTTACCAACCTCTGTGCAAACCGTAAGCTCCTAGTTACTTCATTACGTCCATTTTTCCTGGAGCAATCATTACTCCTGGTTCATTTGTACTTTACTTTGGTAGCGTGATAAAACAAAACCTCTAACACGAAAAAAATGAACAAAAAATTACAACAGAGGAGCTCCTTTAAACTGGATTCTGACACAGGGCCTCTGGACAAGACTGCTGCGAAATGATCTCCCGGTGCCAAGCCTCTATTAGTTGTACTCCAGTGCTGCAAACTCTCTAACAAATAAGCAATCAATCATATTACAGAAACTAATTCACATGAAGAGTGCCCGGAGCTTTCTGGTCCCTAGAGCAGCAGTGTGATTTGCCATGTTGGTAATTCAGTCTGGGACATAATGACTCGAATTATGTTAATATTGTACAAAGGGATATTTTGTAGTGTTTGAATGTTTACCATTGCAAATTCTTTCCTGCAGTTCGGGTGGGTGTAGTACTCTAAAAAGCGCACATTTCTTGGACAGTCACTGGGTTTAAAGCGTGGAGGTGTTAAGGAGAGTTGTATACAACCTGCATCATTTCCCCGCACTATAAAACCCCATGCAGCACTCTCAGCCCTGATTTACAACAGCCATCAATCAGCCCGCCCCAAGTTGGGGAAACTTTCACTCATGGCTGACATAAAATGATATTATTGTGGTAGGCCTGGGCTGCCTCTGGGACCAGGATGCAACACTGCTTCCAGTCCCCCCCCACCCTCCCCGGCAACAACGTTCCTAAACAGGAGTGGCAACAGGACGGAGATAAAACGCCGCACCAGGGGAGCTGACCCCTTCGCAACCTGCCTCTCAGGCCATCGATCTCACTCAGGGGCCTCCGCTCGGGTCCATGGATCTCCCTGATTGAATTCCTCCTGTTCCTAACAGATCTGCTGCTGTTGGCTAGCATGCTCACAACAGGCAGGTCATCATTTAAAGGGATGAAAGTTGATGTGTTTTTATTATATATGCCTAACATTCTTCTCGACGGATCAATATGCACCTCGGCGAGAGCTCATCTTCAGTCATCTCATTTTTTCAACTAATAAATAAGGCCTGTTGCTCTTTTTTTGCCCTGTTGTTATTCTTGTTGTTTGGGTCACTGGTGCTCCTGCCTTAATTAAGGTCCCCTAGCTCCGTCCATAACAATCAATCAGACATTTTTCCCTCAGATCTTCAGCCTCCAGGCAACACTGCATTGAAAAAGACGTGACTCTGTAGTGGAAAGTGCCGCATGGCCTTACAATCACTCCCAAAAACCATCATCTGTGAGCGTCCTCCCTTTGAAATCGGTACAGGGCCCGCACAGTCCAAAACCCGGCCTCCGTGATGGATGATGGGATGTATAAGTGCACAAAAACATACAACAACAATGACTATTGGGCGACTGAAATCCTACTTCAGGTAAGAGTGGGACAACATTTCACTTTTGAAACTCCAGAAACTGGTCTAGTTGGTTCCCGGACATTTATAGAGCACCGTTTGAAGAAGAGGTGATGTAGGCGGGTGCATTTATGAAAAAAAAAACATCTAACCCCAAAAAAGTTCTAATAAAAGGTTTCTCAACTGTTTTTTTTTATTGTATAAGATGTCCTCAATAACATACTCAGACGGACTCCACAGTGACGTGGAATAAGTTCATGGACGCAATCGTGAAAGTGACACCTTTCTAGCAGTCGAACTTTGGTGAACTTTTAGTATGTTATTAAGGACATCTAATACAATGAAAAACAGGTGAGAAACCTTTGTTAGAATTTTTTGGGGTCCAGTCATATTTGCACCTGACTTATGCAATATGATGGCGAAAATGCCTCCCTCGGTCCTGCTGGCTATGAATTTAAATGAGGACAACTTTTATCCACGTTTCTCTGTTTCAACTAAAATCCCTTACAGGAGCTTTAAATCTCACTGCCTTTTTTATAGATTTAACAGAGTTTAATCAGTAAATACCGGTGCCCACTTTTGAGCACTGCCTTGCTTTATGTCTACACATGTGTGCACTTGTGTATTTGACAGCCCGCCGCCAGCCCATGTGATTTATCTTGCAGTAAAACACTTGTTATGCAAAGCACTTATTAAAGCGTCAGCAGGAAGGGTCGATAAACCATTCTTTACGACAACAGCTTAAGAAAACCTGGTCACAGTGAGACGGCGCGCAGCGGTTTAAAGTGATCTACGGCATCGCCAGGTCAAAATTAATTTAGTGATGAGAATGTGAGAAACGCCATGCCAATAAAGCGGCAGGAAGAAACTATTATGAATCAGCTCGCCTGGCTTTGTGTAACCATAAATACTAGAAACATCATTAGAGGCTTAGAAGGAAATCATCAATTATAACGATTATTGGCAGCAGAGATCTACGGGACTGAGGTGCTACAAGCAAAAGAGCTCATGGGACTCTAATGACTGCCAGGATGGAGTGTTACTGAGGGGGTGTTTGTGTGTAGTTGTGTATGTGTGTGTGTGTGTTTACAAGCAAAGTAAAGATGATGATGGAGAGGGAGATCATGCCAATACACAAACACAATCTATCGTCTACCCTTAATACTGACTAAGCACATTGCTGTGTTGCAGTTTGGTCGTGTGATGAATCTAACCTCGCAGAAACCTGTAGTCCGGCGGATCACTTATCTGCTCCGTTGGCTCAGAATAATCTACATTAGGTTATGTATTGGTAAATGACGCTGAAGTTCCTAAATGGGCTCAAAATGTTCACATGCATCACATCATGTCCCCGGAGTGAAAGCAGCTTCAATCAGGGTGAAGGTACCTGGAAAACACCGAGCGATCAACAAGTTTGTCAGGAGAAAAACATCAACAACAGCTGAACTTTTCACGGTCTGCCGCTGACAAACACATCTCTGTATGAGGCTGTTTGTATGAGTGCTGTGAGCGGCTCCCGCAGAGTGTCAAAGCAGCTTCCTGTCTCTGCATTAGATAGAGAAAACTACTTTAATCTTTGGCTTTTGTAAATGTATATAAAAATGTTTAAACTAGATATCTAAATAATCATTTGAGGATGTTCATATTTTACATTTTTTATCACAATTAATCGCATAATTTTGATGGTTAATCGCGATTAACCACCATGGTTAATCTTATTTATATTTGACACATTGTGCTAACTTGTTAAACAAGCTGCCAAAGCAACCGAGCCAAGTCACAATTTTATAGCAAATGAGACATGCATTAAAGGATGAGGATGTTTATATTTGACATTTTTTATCACAATTAATCGCATAATTTCGACATTTAATCGCGATTAATCGCAATTTTAATCGCATGTCTAAAATCCCTTAATCTCAAAGAACGTCAGTATTTATTTATGTTTGAAACATAGCGCATATGACTTTTTACTTGTTAAACAAGCTGCAAAAGCAACAAAGTCAAGTCACACTTTTAAAGCAAATGAGACATGCATTAAAAGCTTTGATTTTTACTACTTTTATCTCAAGAACTCTAACCTTTGTATCACAGAAGCACCAAAAGAGTGAAGCACAAAAGATACATTTTTTAACTTTAGTCACCATGAGTACAAATTCCCCTGTGCTTTTGAACTTAAAAATTCAATTTGGCAGGCGGCAGGTCAACTCGGGTGATTCAAAAAAAACTTAATGTCTTGCTGTGCTGAAAAAGAAAAAAATATAACCTCCATGTAAAACGTCTCCCACACAGACTTCTTCGCCGGCTCCGGTCTAATTAAAGGGGCCGAGTTGTGGGACTATGTTGTTACAAGCGTCCGCCATGAATGACAGACGAGAGTGGCGGTTTATTCTCAAATTATATGTTAAGACACCGAAAAGAGCATTTAGGTTGATAAAAGCATCTGTCACACCAGCGTGGCGGTGAAATGTGAATGCTTTTAACTTCACAGCGGGAGGGCGGCTGCAGCAGAAAGACGCTGGTCTTGATAAGGGGCAGACTTTTGAAAGTGAACTTTGTGTTTAAGGCTCAGGAACTTTATCACAGTCCAAACTTCTGATAGAAATACTGTAATATTTAATACCAAGAATAATAAGACGTGCTTAGAGACACGCCAAATGGAACTGTGATATAATTACAGTCGGCACTGCAGTTCATCTGTAATAGATCCAGGACTGTTTTTAACTCCTCTGGAAACTCTCCCTGATGGACAGATGTTAACTTGTGGCCATTAGTTAGTAAGCCTCACACTGGAAGCTTGGAGAGCTGGGGGATGGGTCGTGTCTAAACCAGTGGTTCAGGACCTTTTGAAATGAGAACAGCACTGGGGCTTTAACTGTAGCAGAAAACAGCTCAATTGAAGAACACTTCCTTTATTTTGGTTTACAGCTACAGCTGTAACACCAACAGTGACAAGACCGACGAAATTTAAGTCAGAATTTTTAATGCCTGAAAGCAGTGTAAGGGGGGCAGGTGTCGACCAAGCCCTTTTTATTATTATTATTATTATTATTATTATTATTATTATTATTATTATCATTATTAATATTATTATTATTGTATTTTTTTGTTTTTGTTTTGTTTTTTAAATCCCACATAAAACATTCACATTTCACTTTTAAAAGCCAGTTAATTTATTTATTTTTTGTCAAGATGCCATTTTAACGATGCAGAGGACAAGATTGGCCACAGGGGGCATAATTTTCAATGCCTGAAACTAGTGTAAAGGGGGCAGGTGTTGACCGAGCCCTGTTTTTTTTTTTTTGTTTGTTTGTTTTTTTTTTGTTTTTGACATTTGAGAAATTGACTAAAATTCTAAATAATGCCTTTTTATGATAAATGAAAGCAAACAACACCATCAGTGACAAGACTGACGAAATTTAAGTCACAATTTTTAATACCTGAAAGCGGTGTAAGGGGGCAGGTGTTGAGCAACCCCTTTTTTTTTTTATTATTTATTTATTTATAAATCCCACATAAAACATTCACATTTGACTTTTAGAAGCCAGTAATTTGGATCTTTTTTTTTTTTTGTCAAGATGCAATTTAAGGAGGTAGAGGACAAAAGTGGCCACAGGGGGCATCTGTCTGAAAGTTCCACACAGGAGCTTTAACTTTACTAAAAAACGGAACATTTATAAAACAAAATATTTCCAGGTCGTTCAGGTTCAGGTTGTTGTTTATTCCTAGTAGATTACATAGCTGCTTGTACAATAGCTGAAGTGTACAACGAGCTATAGATGGGGCATTTTTTCATTCTGGGCATGGACCAACAAGAAAAGTCTTATTGGTAACCACAGCAACTGTTCCACTCATGGTTGTTTAGTGCACAAACACTCATTTTCTATAATATTTATCTTTTAATAAACAAGACAAACATGCCAGTCCTGGACTTGAAAAGACCCTCATTCCCCCAAGAGAATTGCATTTTTGCACCCATTTAGTCCGTCCACCTGCGCAAACCTACAAAGAGAAAACCGCCCCCCCTTCCCCAATGACAAATGTTCATTCAACTGGGGGTCAACCCGTCCGACAATAAAGCCAGCCACAGCTACAAAGCACTTCCTGGTCCCTATTTGCGGGCCTCTCCATCCCATTAGCTTCTCCTCACCCTTTCCATATATACACCTGAGAACTTTGTTTATTTATTTACCAGCATGTGGTCCAAAAGGTTGATGAAACAGCAAGCGGTCTGCCATTTATGTAGGAATAATGATATGGAAATGGTATTCAGAGGCCACTGTGTCGCTCTGGAGCAGCCGGTATTGAATTGACGGCAGTGAAGTGACTGGCAGCGGAGGGAATAGATTGTCCTGAGTGATTTGCTTTCTTCCTCCCCTTTTCCAAGCCAGGCGTGTCACCAGTCGGGTTCGGCCTTATCTACGTGTGGTTAGCCTTCTGTATGAGCAGCCCGGAGCGTGCGCTTTCTGCGCGCAAGCCTCGGCAGGAATCAGTCAATCTGAATAGGGAGATGTCATTTTCTGATCTGCTTTGCTTTGGAGCGCCGAGGTTTCATCAGGCTGGGGTTGTTCCAGGGCTAAACAATTTCTTTCTTTCTTGCATTCGGATGTATACTGGAATGATGATACATTTTAATTGAGGATTAAGTACAGTGTCAAGATGTGCAAACTTATGGTGCTGTGCTGAATCATGATTTGAGGAAAAAGCAACAGAATTATTGAATATTTGCGCTCTGGTTGATTGCTGAAGGGTCGGTTGAACGGTTTAATCCACTCATCAAGCATTTTGGTGAAGCTTTGCCCTATTTTACTGTATTCTACCAATAAACGACCACCAGATTTACATTTCTTGTCCTGGTCATGACCTTCAGGCTTGGAATCAACAGATGAAGAAACATTCCCGGCCTGTAATGGTCTGAACGAGGCTTGGTCAAAACAGGACGGTGTTTTCTAACTTTTTAAATGTCGCACAGTAATCAAAGCCAACGGAGTGACATTTGCTCCCACTTCATGCAGGAATTGACTGGATCTCAGAGACTGCAAACTTGAATTAAAATCTATCGCTGCTCTTTATTCAGTTCTGGACTTTTAACCCCACCTTCTCACCTGGCCTTTCAGAACAGATATAACTCTTTTCCAGCTTTAGCGCACCTGAACCTGAAGTTTTAGTCCCTCAAGATGCAGCCTGAGGATGTCTTTTAGGCTGAACCAGAACGCCACCTCTGTTTGACCAAGCTATTATTCCAGTTGCATGAAAAAGCCACTTTGCTATAAAGAGCTGAAACCTTATTTTCCTCTGCTTTTGAAAACCTATATGCACTTAAAGCATTTCAAAGTGTTCCCCGCCTACCTAACAATATGCTGTTTTCAATACAGTCTTGTAGAGGCACCCTTTTAAACAAGTAATTGGTCGTCCATGGTGATGATTTGTCATCGGCTTGGCTCAGAGTGGAACCAGATCCCATTTGCATGTAAGAATTTACGTTAAAAGACATACATGTCATATTATACCAATACTTGTATACATCCCACCCAAGGCAACGGCTGAAGTTCGAAAGTGGTAAAAAGCTGGCTCCATGGTTGGACTCACTGCAGGATGTGGTACAGAAATGCAAATTGCAGCCAAGCTTCACAGAGATGCTTGTTTCCTTTATCAACAGAACTTTGCACCTGCCCACAGCGCCAAAACTTCTACCAAATTGTTTGCTGGCGTTTTAACTGTGCTTGTCTCGCCTGACTTGGACACATTCTCAGAATCTTTAGAATTAGTGTTGCCAGGTCACTTGGTCGTTTTCTCCAGGTATTTGCAGATTTTCACATCTTGTTTCTCTCCCAGACAAGCTTCTATGTGCCATGTCCTTTTAAATTAAGTAAATCTCCATGAACTCTGATACAATCCCGCCTCCACAATGCTTGTAATTAAACAGAAGCTTGTACATCACTGTGCGTTGGCATTGTTCAGACAACGATCAATTAAGTGCAAGTGCCTCTCTGAGTTGTAGCCTTTTATCCTTTAGTGTTTCTCTAATTGACTCAAGAAATCTGCATTTGGAGTTAAAGTTATAAGCAATACTGAGGTAAAGTGGGAGGAATCGAACAGGGCTGAGTTGGTGGCTTTTTGCTGCTGTATTAAGTGTAAAAATGCATTAATGCTGTACATTTACCAGTTTCAACATCAAGTGTGTTTCTGAGGATTTATATGGTGTCTGTTGTGGCATTAACAACATAATCCCCAAAAATCTCCTCATGGAACAGCTGTTGTGAGGAAAACATTCACCACTTCATCCAGACCTACTGGAAACATGTCAAATACAATCTCAAAATCCTACAAATAAAGAAATTAAGCTGCAGAATTTATAACAAATGTTCAGAAATTTGTCACTGTAAGACTTTGACAAACATTAGCAAACAATGTTGCATGATACTAGCTGGAAACTGATGCTAAATTCAACCACCAGAAAACATGATGGATTCCTCTGGTGCCTCTAGGCTAAAGTAGAATACTGAAATGCCAATATCAAAGATCGTTGTCTTGTTGGAACAGGTTATCATCTTGGGCACACATCAGAACTATCTTCAGGAATAACCTTGCGTTCCAGTTGTACTCATTGGGATTTCCGAGCTCCGAGTTGGAAATTCATCTGGAATGTCCCCTTGAAGTCGGATTTCCAATTCAGAAAGTTGGACAATCCTCACCAACCCTGACTTGACGACAACGTCATAATTCAAGATGGCAGCACAGTGCATCAACAGCAAAGAGTAACAGTAAAAGCTCTCATAATGTATTATTTATTAGCACTTTTGTTTTGTTTTTGGGAAATTGAATACGTGGTTTATGTTGTACTGCCCATATGATTGATATGGTGTTTGTAAGAGTAAAATACTGTGTTATGCGTTGTTTACAACTGGTATCAATAACAACTGACATCAGCCAACAACAGCTGACAATTGTAACCAACAGCTAACAACCGCTAACTGTTTGCATCCATCTTGGTTTACCCACTTGTTAACTGGAACGCCGTCAACTCGGGTGCAGCGTCATTCCCATTCCCGTTCCCTGACATCCAACGACAGAGGTAACTGGAACCCACCATAAGTTATCCTGTGCACAAAAGAAAATGATCACATAAAGACTATTTTTTATCTTGTGAGCACAGATCAGTTGGATCACGGAATAACTTGTGGGAAAAGTCATCGTATTATGTAGAAAAGATGGATACGTAAATGGAACAAGTTAGCTTGTTCACACAAGACAATCATCATGTTGGATGATTTTGAATGCAATTTTGCAAGATAACATTATTAAGGTAAAAACATCTATTGCAGATAAGAAAATTATTCAATGGGAGGAGATTATCAGCTCAAATGCAAGTCTAACTACTGTGCAAAACAAATTATCATCCTGTGTTCACAAGATAGTTATCTTGTTGGCCATCCGTTTTCAATTTGACGCCATTTATCACAAGAATTTTCTAGTTTTATTTGAGCAAATACTGTTTTCGATGTTATTGCTGAATCTTTGCACCGAGACAAATAATTTCAAGATTTTATCTTGTGCAGACAAGAAAAAAAAAAAAAAAATCAGTTTTACAGAACTTAGAGATTTATAGCAACACAATTGGGTTTGCTTGTAATCAGTTGAAATCAGGTAATATTTTACAAAATTTTCTACATTATTATTATTATTATTGTGTAGAATTAATAGATTTTGATTTCTTGACCTCTTAAAGGTGAACCATGACCCAAAAGTCTGCCTAAATTAAGACTGATAACAGCTGAGAGAGCTCCTGTAACATTTTCATTCAGCCGCCTGTTATCTGGCTGTAATTGCCCCGGCTGAACGAAGCTCCTCTTGTCGAAGCGCAGAGGTCAGGCCAATCAGTTTTATTGCAATAACATCGTATTGACATGGTACATCTTCCAATCTTTGGTTTCTAACCCCAGTTAATCCCCCCCGATAACTCCAGCAGGACCGGGGTGCAAAGTTCATCCACTTAAATGCTCCGAAACGAGTCATATGGTAACTGCATTGCATTATGGTCAGTGGGATTAGTGAATGGACGCAGTGGGTCAATTTTGAGTTAATCATAGTAATCGCCTTGCTAATGGTTTTCTAATGGAAGTGTCTGTAAAACCAGTAAACATCAGCATTGACACCACCCTCTGAAATGGGTTTAATTTCTCATACCCTGGCTGTATCATTTTCACTAAAATAGTCATCCCAGACGCAGTGAATTCTGCAATCTGTTATTATTGCTAATACGATTTTTTTCTCTTTTTTTTTTTACGTCTCTTGCTGTTTTCAATCTAATAGGATTTTTTCACCCCTGTGGTAAGGTTTTGGAGTCAATCTCTAAGATTTTATAGCAAATACGAAGCCCCACAAAGAGAATAAAATGGATCTGATTGCTGTCAAAAAAAAAAAGCAAAAAAGCTCAGCCTGTGTGATGAAATTCTTTGTCTCCTCATGTGTGACATTGGAGTCTATCCGAAGGGCACCAATATAATCATTTCCCTTACGTGACGATGCTTTTCTATAACCTTCAACACAAAAATGGCTTTTGTTCCTGACACTGGGAAACCCTTGATTTGTTTCCTATCAGATAAAAAATGATAATGGAATAGAGGAGAGCGGCGATGACATGGAAATATAGATCGCCTGGTGAATAAAGAGTCTTACAGGCCCATAAAGCGTGCATTTCATTTTGATGGTGTTTGAATGTTCATGTTTTGTTGCTGATAGGAGGTGAAAGGTGCCTTTGAGAGATCACATTTCTGTCAAATTCACACATTGGGGTCATCTAGCATAGCTCTTAAATCACGCTGAGTTTTATTACACCCTTAAAAGAGTCTGACTTTTTTGTGTTAGCATGTGGGCATGGAAGTGAAGGAAAGATCACAGAAGAAGGTCATGAGAGGGATCCTAATGTTGTGAGTCACTAAAGAAGAGTTAAAGTTCACTTTGAAATCATAACTCAGCATATCACCTCTGTTTTTCAAACTGAGGACCACACACAAGTGCTTCAAATCTGCATTATTTATAACAGCCAGCAGAAAGGAAGACAAAATTGTCTAAACCAGACCAGAAAATGGTTCTAATTTCCCAACTATTGAAAAAAATCAATCAAGATTTGTTCTGACAAAGCAGGATTATTGTCACTTTGTAATAAATGGTACAATTTACAGTAAAATAACAAGCTTGGTGTTTGTATACAGTTTTAATTAGCAAATTGGAACTCGGGTGGCCTGTAATCTGAAATAAAACAATAATCAGGGATCAGAAATGGCCAACTATGGTTCTAAACACAACCACAGAACTACCAAACACTGAGCTTTAAATATGAGATTCAAAAGCTAATGGTTGATGCCAAAAAAGCCAGTCATACAGCTATAATTAAAGGGTTCAGATCAATGCTGCTACCACTGTAACAACACCAAAAGAACGCACACCAAGCTTTGAAACAGGAAGTTTAAAAAGTGAATAATTGGCCGTTGACAAGTTACCGCCAAAATACCTCTGAAATGCAACAATGCCGAACTTAAAGCTTCAAAAAGGGAGGCTCAAAAGTCCAGAACAAAGCTAGAGTTGCTTTCACCCCCCAAAAAAAGATGGGTTTAAAAGCAGAGGAGGAGGAAGCGAATGAAACACACCACCAAAACCAACCAGTATCAAGCTCCTGAACACATTTAAAAGCTAATGATGCAAACTTTAGGAGCATCTCAAAAACCACCAACTACAGACTTCAAATGGGGCGTTCAAAAGCTAACTTAAATCACCAAAATTAAACTCATTTACTCCAGGTTTTAAGAAGAAAGTTCAAAGGCTCAGATTTGACCTTGAGATAGCTACCACCAGACTAAAGACGTTGAGTCTAAGTTACCAAACTCCAGGTCAGTTTAACAGCTGGTTGATGCAAAACTGACTTCTACCACAGTACCACCCAAAATACCACCAAAGACGCTTTAAGGGTTCAAAAGCAAAATGTTGACAACTCAATCTCTATCAACAAAACACCAAAAAACCAATGTCTTATCTTGAGAGGAGGGTTTAAAAAAACTTAAGGTTGACCTCAAAGTGATCACCATCAACACTCAAAAACTCTTAAGTGGGTTCAAAAGCTTATAGTTGATGTTACACTCTAAAAACCCCTGGGTTAACACCAGGGTTGAAAAAGGACCAACTACTTGTTGGGTTATTTTGACCCAGAATGTTGGGTTAATCAAATTAACCCAAATTTTGGGTTGACTCAATAACCCTTTTTAAGAGTCAAGTTAACCCAATGTTTAAATGTTTAAGTTAATTTGACTCATGATCTTGGGATAGATTGATAGATGCATTTGGGGAGCTTAGCTTTTACAACCTGTACCATATTTTCCCATGTACTTTTATCTATCTGGTTGTAGGCCATAGCGTTAAGGGTCTTACCTAAGGACCCAAACTGGTGGATGTAGTTTGCTCCTTACAGATGTGTCTCATGAGGGATTCCAACCCCAAATCAAGGTCAAATTTCACAAGGTCACTTTAATTGCCATTAGGCCTAGGAACCACGTAGAGTCCATTGAACCCAGCGTTCTGACCCAATCATTGGGTTACTTTCAGAAAAATAACCCATAATTATTAACCCATTTAAAAAACGCTCAAATTGGGTTACGATAGAATCCATATGACCCGCGAAATGGGTATGGATCTGAAAAATAACCAAGAAATTTAACTCAACACATATAACCCAGGAATTGGGTTGAAGAAATAACCCAAGAGTTTTTAGAGTGTACAGTGTCTAAAACGAATCACCAGTCCCAAACACCATGACACCAAACTGCAAGCCTTAGCAGACAGGTTCAAAAGGCAGTGATTGATGTAACACTAGTACTTTCTATATCACAGTACTACAGTAATGAAAACCTAACCCAGAACACCCACTCTATGATCTTTTCTAAGAGGCTATAGTTTGTCGGGAAGTATCAAGAGTCTGACTGTTTTCATTTACCCAAGAAAGTGCTCACTCCAGCAAACTGCTCATCCAACTCAGTGTAACATTATCCAGACACAGACCTGGGGTAACCCTGGATAACTTGTACAGGTGGGTTAAGGATGGATGGCACCATTCAGAGGTGGCTTCTGGGTAGAAATTAGTCTCTCTCCTTCTCCCTCTCCACTCCTGCCAGGAGCGAGCCAGGGTCGCAAATGACTGCAGTTGCCAGAAGCTCATATTTTACCTTCTCATTAGCAGTAAAGAAGGACGAGGTAATTACTGTGCTGGAGTGGCAGCGAGGCTCTGAGGTAAGGAAAGGAAGCTCCATTCCTTATTTTACTGAGTCTGAAACCCCGGCTGGGCGACAAGCCGACAGAGAGTAATTCAACTACTAAACTGTGTGTGTGCATGCCTGTGTGATTTAGCCTCCGATTATAAATAATACAAAAGCTTTTTATGTAAACACCCGGAAAGTTCAGAACTCCACCAATTATTCTCAGAGAGACTCAGAGAAATAGATCTGGAAGTCATGAAAGCAATGTAATTCATCCATTAGAGACCAAAGGGAGCGAGCAATGATCCAGTCAGAACCCCATTTGGTAGAGCGCAGATCTAATACAGCCATCTGACCTGATGCCAGCTGATGAAAACCTGCTGAAACCTTGAGTGGCTTTGCATTTCATTTCCATTTTCATTTCATATAGCGTCTAAGAATTTATCGATACTGTGGGGAACTTTTAAAGGCAAGAAACACCGGAAGATTTCAGTCTGAGACCCTTTCAGTCCAAGAAGACCTACGAATTCTGTCAAACTCTGTCTCTCCATCTAGACTTCTTTAAATCTGCATGACGACTGCAGCATTCACACCAGGAACATGACAAAGCTTGAAGATGAGAAGCTCATTTGCCAGTAGTGATCTTTGCAACGGGTGCTCAAACTAAATGTCAAAGTTGAATCAAAGGATCTGTGATTTCATTAGGATCGACTGATATGTTCTACAGGCTACCGAACATGTCTGATCTGAGTGACCGAGGTTTGCACGTGGGTCAGAAGGCAGGAGGACGGCGCATTAAGATGCTGATCTGACCTTTAGCACGCCTTCGCAGAGATAGCTGCAGTGGAGTCATTAAGACGTATAATGAGGCTACGAATGCAGAGGTCTTCTTCGGGAGGAACAAAAGAGGGACAGTGCCGTCCTCACATCTGGCAGTTAGCTGAGTCATCCTTTAACTGTGACAGGATGATAGAGAAGAGCAAAAACTGACAAAAGAAACCTCAATGCATGTGGAAACATGTTTGCTCAAAACCCAACATTATTTATAATTGGAAACAAGAAGTAGAGCAAACCCTCGTCCCAGTTTGAAAGCTGGATCTCCACTTTGTTGGTGCTGTTTAACGAGCAGAAATATTAGAAACAAACACAAACAAAGCTCATTAAAGTAACACTCTTCAAAAGTTGCTAAAAAAAAAAAAGACAATGGCCACAGAAGTAGGTTGAAGAGTCCTGTTGTTAAAGCTACTGTGAGAGGCTCTTATCTAGTTATGTAATAGATACTGCTAAAAAAGCTAACTGAACCATATGCAACCAGACTCACTGTTCTGATATGGTCATTCAAGGGTACGAAAACAGCTATTTTGAATATATCCTGGAGCCCAGTAATACGCAAATGCTTCCTCAGAGAGGTTTTTCAGAGACATGGGACTGGAAGGAGACCTGAAGGTAGACCCAAAACTTGCTGAGAGGTAAGACAGTCCATCTGGGGCGGTAAGACCGTGGAATAACCAAAGAGAAGCTGGAAAATGTAGATAGGAAGGGGATGTCAGGGTCCCCTTGCGTAACATACTGCAGCCTCAACCCAATATCAAATAAGTGGAAGGGAATGAATGGATGCATACAGAGTTACATTAAAGGGATATTCAGGCGTGAAATGAAGTCAGGGTCAAACACACTGTAACACCGAGTTAGACACCCCGTCGAGAGATGAATGTTGCCGACCTCTTGCTTCTCTAGTTATTCCAACTTTATTAACGACCGCAGGATAGCAATACAGAGAGGCACGTGCTCAACCAAAACGCCACTCTATAGTCACAAATAATGCTCAGAACAGCACCTAACTTCATCAACAGGACATATAGGGTCACAGACATAGCACTAGCCACCAAACATCTTTTTAACTTTGACTCATTTCTTTAGCAAAGAGACTAAACACAACTCACCTACTCTGTTCCAGCAGCCACTTGTTTGTACGGAGACCATATTATTTAATTTGCACTGTAGACACAGTAGTTCTTCTGCCTTAGCGTCTCGGTCTGATTGCATTTCCACGAGGAAATGATCATAAATGTTCTTCCTTGAGCTGCGTCACCCTGCTGCAGTCGATGGACTCGCCCAGAGATCTCCATACAAACAAGCGGCTGCTGGAAGAGAGAGGGTGAGTTGTGTTTAGTCACTTTGCTAAAGAAATGAGTCAAAGTTAAAAAGATGTTTGGTGTCTAGTACTATGGCTGGGACCCTATATGTACTGTTGATGAAGTTAGGTGCTGTTCTGAGCATTATTTGTGGTTATAGAGTGACGTTTTGGTTGAGCGCGTGGCTCTCTGTATTGCTGTCGTGTGGTCATTACTAAAGTTGCGGTGTGTTTGACCCTAGCTTCATTATACGTTGGAATATCCCTTTAATGGCTGCATGAATGGACAAATGTATGCATGAGTGATTGCATGTATGGTTGCATAAATGGTTGATGGATCCATGAATGGAGGTTCGGTTGCATTGTTATATTGTTCGATGGATGGTTGCATGGATGTATTGAACCTGGCAGTCAGTCTGGCCTTGTGGAGCCTCCCTCCTGGGATCTGCTCTGTTTTGTTTTGTTTTGTTTTGGTCCTTTTATTACGGCTTTGTGTTTGTCCTCCAGATGGTCGCTGTTGGGCTGGGTTTGCAGCAGTCGGGAATATCTTTCCAGTCCCCCGGGTTTTTATAAGATCAGGTAGTTGACCCACTCCTTCTGTCTCTCTCTCATCTTTGCCGGGACATCCAACACAACACGGTTTTTGTTTAGTTGGCTTTGACCATCTTTATAGTTCATTTACACCACATAAAACGCCCACATATCTCACACTCATCCAGCAGCACTCTTCTGTGATTTAAATTTGCACCATTTTGTTGTGTTTGCTTTATTTTTGTTCTATGTTGTGAGCCAGGATACAACACTAGTGTTGGGCCCTGCAGTTCTTTTCAATGTACTGAATCACCAGAATCAGTTCACTAAAAAGATTCGTTTTAAGTGTACTGTCCTATGGTATGCTATTTATCAGGTCTGCTCGGTAAATTGGGCTCAGTGAGTGATTCGTTCACTGAAAGTTTAGAAGAATTCACACTGAACATGGACCGTTCCCTCGCAAACCGCTGCAATGATAGGATGCTGCGGGTTTTATGCACTACTTGTTACATGCTGTGTCCTATTGTATGCAAGTTGTTGTGGTTGCAATTTAGGAGTGAAAAATAGGTAGTTTTGTCAGACAAAAATGATTCCAGAGAGTGTAGTTCAATGCGTGATTCGTTCAACAAGTGATTCAGGCGTCGGTACATGTGGTCCCTCGTTGGCCTGGCGATGCTGTTTCTCACTTCAGCTCAACTGAAGTGAGAAACAAACTAATAACTCGAGGAAGTGATTCGGTTCAGTACTTTCACTTAAAGGATTCGGTTCTTTTGAACGAATCGTTCGCGAATGACACAACACCACATGACACTGTAAAGTCTGATTTATGCAAAAATCTTGCAAACATTGTTCAACTTTTTACTTCATAGGTTAATGCGGGCTATTTTTCACTCTGTTGTTCTCGGTGAAGTTGAATTAATAATCAAAATTATTCAGTAGAATTTAAATTTTTTCTGGCATTTGTAACAAACAATAAAACACTTTTAAATTGCTTCTTGAATACAAATAATGGAAACCTTATTGAATGTTAATAGAGCTTTTTTCTTTTTTTTCCATTTCAACCTATTTACGTGTCTATAAATGAAAATGAGGAAATTGCAGCCTTTAATGGACAGTCGCTGAAGCAGACCTAAAACAAAGTTGCACAGCAGTCACAGCGGGTGATTTAAATAGAGCTATTAGGTATTGTTTTTATGATTGATTCCACTTCATGTATAAAGAGCCATTTAATATTGGACCTGCTGCATAATTTACATGTAATCAGGAATGATTTACAGTGGGACAAAACATGCCCTGCAGAGATATTGACCGCAGTGCCGCAGCCTGCAAAGCCACAGATGAATTTCAGCACCACGGACAGCGGCACCTTTTCAATCAGTGTCCGGCTAATATTGGTAAAGCTGGAGTGTTTGGAACAAATTACAGATGGGGGCATTTAATTCACAACCACACACCCACAGATGAAATTGGATTTTATTGCCTGTGTGAGAAGTCCTCTGTACGACTCTTGCATTAAGTCTGCAGCACAAGTATTGCACTCTCAATATTTGACTCCCTGTCACACTAACTAAGAAAGCGGCGGCATTACATCAGAGGGAAGCCATTACTCCTCGGCTGTGGGAGAGTGTTATGTGTGGCAATGACTTGTGTCATGTCCCATTAATAATGGTAATGATAGCATTAGGGGGGGAGCAGTGGGATGTAATTCAAAGATCTGCCAAGTGCGAGTGACAAGGTCATTCCAAATGACAGTAAGCAGGCCTGACACTCCCTCTCTGGAAAAATGGGCACGTTTCTTTCTAAATCACTTAAAGTAGAACAAGGAGTGAGACTTTGTTTCCTTTATTAGGCAGGAGAAATAGTTTCATCTGAGTGCGTCGGCTCCACCCTGCGTTTGATCAGAACTTGTGATTTGAGGGTTTCCGCTGCCTCTCTTTTTAGCAGCAGGTGTTCAATTTCAGAAGGAAGCATTGCTGATGAGGGACACTGCTGCTGCTTCTAAAACTGGAATTCAACCTTAAAACAACTTTTTCTGCCTTTATTCCACCCTGCAGGGCAATAATTTTTTTTATCTCCGTCTTTCTTTAAAGAACAGAAGAAAAGCATTCGCCTCTTTTGTTCACTGTGAATTAACATTTTGATTGCATAAGCAGACATAAAAGTTTATTAACGGTCAGCATTCGTCGACTCCTAGTTATAAGACTCATTTTATTTTATTGTCAGTTTTATGGGCTTTAAATGGTTTGCGTTGTTTGTCTCTATGTCCCCTGTTTTTGTAAACGCAGTGTCAGTGTTGCAGGACTATAAAAACTATCTTTATACAACACTCGCAGCCTTACTTTTGTTGGTAAATTACCCTCTTATGTCTGTTTGGGATAATGGCGTTTTTACAGACACCAAAGTACTCGGAGGATTGCAATAAAGGAGTGTTGCCATGGAGTGGCTGAACTTGGTGTGGGTTACACCTGGAGCTCTTGTGGGTGTACATTCTCACACACGTCCAAAACAGCCTGTCCTCATTTTAACCTCATGTCAGAGCCTTCCTGGGGTGCTAGAGGGGTGCTTTGGGGACTTTGGAGTGCGTGAGCTTGGTCTATATGAAGTCTAAAATGTTGATCTAGTTTCATGTCAGGATAGGGACAAGAAAACGAAGAGCTGTGTAATGTTTAATAAACATTCAGAGGAACGAGAGACGACATGAGCAAATATTTCAACAAAACTGACATGGAGTTGCAAAGAATTTGGGGAATTTTATCATCTTTTCATAACAGAAGCTGAAGAAACATTCTGACGGAGGAACTGTATTAAAAAACAGACATGACTCTGTAGTAGAAATCCCTGCATTGGTGCAAATCACTTCTAAAAGCGACTGTTTGTCTTTGCATCCACAAACGTTGGTTACAACCGCACAGAGGAAACTACAAGGTATGCCAGAGACTTCTCAGGGCCAGAGAGGAAATGTAGTTTCATCATTTAAAAATTGGTATTTCTTTTTGGAAATTATGATCTGAGGTCAGATGAAAATCTCTCCTTATGTAGAAAGCATCCAGATTTAGATCCAGGAATTCATGGACTGAACCAAAGCGAAAAATCTATCCTATGTTGGTACAAATTCATAGACGCTGCATCCTCCCACTCCAAAGAGGAGAGGGACCACAGTGTCAAAGTTAAAGGGATATTCAGGCGTAAAATTAATTTAGGGTTAAACACACCGTGACACCAAGTTAGACACCCCCTCGAGAGATAAATGTTGCCGACCGCTTGCTTCTCTAGTTATACCAACTTTAGTAACGACCGCAGGATAGCAATACACAGCGATCTGAGGAGCCATAAACAAACATCAACCAAAACGCCACTCTATAGCCACAAATAATGTTCAGAACAGCACCTAACTTCATCAACAGGACATATAGGGTCCCAGCCATAGTACTAGACACCAAACATCTTTTAAACTTTGCCTTATTTCTTTAGCAAAGAGACTAAACACAACTCACCTACTCTCTTCCAGCAGCCGCTTGTTTGTACAGGGACCTCCAGGGCAAGTCCATCTACTGCAGCGGGGTGCCGCAGCTCAAGGAAGAACATTTATGATCATTTCCTCATGGAAATACAATCAGACCGAGACGCTAAGGCAGAAGAACGACTGTGTCTGCAGTGTAAAATGATTAATATGATGATTATTACTTCAAGGAAATGATAAAGAAATGATCACAAATGTTCTTCCTTGAGCTGCGTCACCCCATGAGGTCTCACTACAAACAAGTGGCTGCTGGAAGAGAGTAGGTGAGTTGTGTTTAGTCTCTTTGCTAAAGAAATTAGTCAAAGTTAAAAAGATGTTTGGTGTCTAGTGCTATGTCTGGGACCCTATCTGTCCTGTTGATGAAGTTAGGTGCTGTTCTGAGCATTATTTGTGTCTACAGAGTGGCGTTTTGGTTGATGTTTGTTTATGACTCCTCAGATCACTGTGTATTGCTATCGTGTCGTCGTTACTAAAGTTGGTATAACTAGAGAAGCAAGCGGTCTGCAACATTCATCTCTCGAGGGGGTGTCTAACTCAGTGTTACGGCGTATTTGACCCTAAATTAATTTTACGCTGGAATATCCCTTTAAACACCAACACTCTTGATGATATGTTGATGCAAATTGATTCTCACACCATTAGAATTCAGTTTGTAATACCGTTTTGCACAGTTTCTCATTTATTTAGAATTCAGTTTGTATTATTGGTGGTAAATTTCCCAGTTTGTGTCTGCTTCTTCTGAAAAACAGTTTCACTCGAGTGTTAGTATGCCTTCGGAGACCTCCTCTCAAAAATACAGACATAAAAATGTGAATAAATTTAAGGGATACCGCACAGAGACATATCCAGACGACGTGTTCATATTTTGCAGACTGATTAAACATTTTATTATATTGGATTTTCTATGACAGCTGTCAGATTGAATGAAAGCATGGCAGCTGTGGTAAAGAACATACTCCTCTCCCGCTGGATCATGCTGGCAGCCAGATCGTAATGCTCTCTATATATAATTAAGCTGTGAACATCACACATTATTCATCCGTCGGAGGCGCTCACAAATTTGGCGGAAGCAAATTTACGCACAATTAATCCCAACTATCGCCTTTCTCTCTGCAGCGCTTTTTGGGTTCGTTTTTTCGCCCCGCGCTTTCAGAGTGTGCTTTCAGATGAATTCTCCGCTGCCTGAATTAAGTTTTAATTCCTTCGCCAAAATAAAACACAAGGCCGTCAAAGGCCGATATTCAGTCAGTCATCAGATTTTGATTGAGCGTGATCACAAAGACAGTGCAGCTGTGGGGCCTTTACACACCCGGACACATTTAAGATATTTTCGTCAACACAATCCTTGAGAAACACATGATCACAGTAATTAAAATATGGTGAAATCAAGTAGAAACGACAAGTTTTAATCAGCTGAATTCACCCCACGATTGGGAGACAAACATGTTTTCACTTCTTTTATTCTCTCTTTTGGGAAAACAAACCTTTTCTCACTTTGGATGGAGTGTGTCTCACTTTACGCTCGGCTAAATGGGCAGATTTCCTCTTATGTGCAGAGGCAGAGCCATTTCGCTCAGTATTCCTCTTATTAAAGACCTAATTTCCATCAAGAAGAGATACAATGCTCATCCTGACAACAAATCATCTCAATGTATTTGTAATGTGCAATTTCTAGAGTATAACAATCCCTTTTCCTCACTCATTTCTCCAATTTAACTCAGTGTTTTTGGATTTATTTCCCGGGCCCCGCCAAGCTTTGCGTTTGGATTCTTGTTATCTGGAAAGGACCATTTCCAATTGTCTACATCACTGCGCTTCATTATGTTATCACATTGTGATAGTTTGTGCCTGCTGATATTTTGCTTCAGCTCAGTTTGGGTGACATAGTTTCTCAACTCGGATTGAAACGAGGGGAGAAGAATTTGAGTTTGACCCATTTAGGTTTCCAGTTTGGTGGAAATGACTCGGCTCTTTGTTGGGAAACCGATCCAGTGAGCCGAGACATACAGTCCACGAACTCTGGAGCTGAGCAAGACTTTGGGAAATAAAAAAGACAACGCGATGAGGGTGTGATAATTCGTGCAAGTCTTTTAATCCAAAGGAAAAAGCGTCATTTCAGTCAAACTCGACGACCTCGTGAAGGCTGGGCTAACAGCATGTTACCTCAACCACTCGACTGAAAATGGGAATTCAAAGTGTTCGGAGCGATAATGGGAATAAATGAATACGTAATAACTGGTATTAGAGAGGCCGACAGAATCAAAGTATGTCAAAGCTACATTATTAACTTACTCAATAATCAAGTAACTTTTTAATAGTGCAAATCCAACTTTTAGAAAAAAAGAAAAAGGTAGAGTACTGAGCGACCACATGCTGCGATTCAAGGCAGTGATAGATAAATGTGTGAATGTGCTGCCAACCTTTCAAAATCTATAATGTTTACAGTAAATTTATAAGTAAAGATATATAAGAAATAATGAAAGATAACTTTAATGAAAGTGCGGCTTACCTATAGAGATAAAATTCCCACTTCTAGGATCAGACACACACTTTAATTAAAGCCTCTTTCAGCCTGCCGTCATCGTGTGCGCTGTACGTTAATCATATGTTAATCTGATTCCTTCAAAATGTCTCTATTTTCCCCACATAACATGCATGTTTAGCGGGGAAGTCGTGCACACCAGACTGTGTCAAATTCATTAAACCCTCTGGAACATGTGATCCTGTAAAATCCTGTTTTGACGGGAGAGAGAGCTTCTCATTAGACGAACAAGCTTCGGCTATTCGGTTGCGATGTTTTAAAAGCCTCAGCCAACACAAACGCCTGTACGCTTATTTGCTCTGTGTGTCTCCAATGATGCAGAAGGATCTCTTTCCTTACAGTGAGCATATTCTCGGCATTCTGACACATGCATTTCAAAAGAGATCAAATAAGAGAGGCACAAACTAACTAGCGAGGCTAATTTCCCCGGGGATGCGCTTGTGTTTCTGCAGGGAAACAAAGATCTTACTCAGTGTTTTTACCGGGGGGAGCCGGCGTCTTTTACTGTGTACCAGCTATAGAAGTGATACCTGCTACCGCAGAGTAATAACTCCACCGTGAGAGACACATCCCTCTCCTGTGGAACATCTTACAGTCATTGTTTCCACCAGCAGAACAAACATCTTTTATTCAGAGCCCAGCGACTGCAGTGTATCAGCCAAACTTTAAAGCAACAACAGTTGCTCCAGCTGCTGGAGCCGTTTCTATCTGATTGAGTGAGAGTGCCGTTGACCTTCAGCCATTTTACTGAGACTGTATTAAAAAGGCCCAGCCAGAGCCCTGCATTTTATGGCCCAGCCTTCCCAAGGTCCCACTGACCTGATGGATATTACGAGGATAAATCAAACTTTCATGCCAACACACTCATCCACAGTAGGGGATGAAGCATGACTGTATGTTGAAAAACGGCATGACTCAGAGTTAAAGAGGCTGCGCGAGCATCTGTATGGGCATCTCTAAGTGAGCGTTTTAAATGTTCAAGGGCTGCAGCAGAGTCACAATTTCTCAGTCTATCACATCCACCAGTCCAGTTTATTAAAGCTCGCCACAACACCAATCACCGTCAAACCTTTAAGTACCTCTAAAGGACAACTTTTTCACAGTTTGGAGCCGTGCCACCACAGTTTTTAACCCTTTCAATCAGGATCAACATGATCTGTAAAAAGAGCTACAGCAGATTCTTATTCTTATCCGCTGAAACCGAATTTTGTCCGTTTAAAAAAGTCCCTCTGAGTCCTTTAACTTTTTGTGAGAGTAATAAAACACATCAGGATGTCCCCTTTAATATTCATTCATTTAAGTACAGAGAAGTGCCGCACAACCTGGGCAGGAAGACTCACACTTAGTGGAATATTTATAGTCTTTGGCTTAATTTTAATATTATTTAAATTAAAGCACCACTGTGGGGTTTGTAATGTTGACAATGGACCGTGGGGACATTAACACATCCATAAACACTTTTAACACTCGGGCATTCTGCCATTTTTGAAAGAACTGAATATGTTTGTCTTTAGTGGCTGCAGGCTCGACACAGCAGAGCGGCCCTGCAGATTTAACGGTTTAAATTAATGCTGTCTGCTCAGAACACGTCAACATCCTTAAATTTACAAAATAAAAGCCCCGACGGCTCACCTCTTGGCATTTATTATCTTCATTTGACTCTATTTGTTTCTCATTAAAGCTCTGGCTTCAAGACAGATAATCTGTGGTGATTTGTGTTGCAGATTACAACGATGCAACGCCACCAAACAGGCACCGGCTCACGCACACACATATACTCAGAGTGTTTCCTAAAACCTGCCTTTAAATCTGTAAACATCACCACAGCACCCTGCTTACATTTAGCAACAATGATAAATTGTCCGGAAACTTGCCAGAGGCTCTCGGTTATTGGTTTTTAAAGCAACATGAAGTCCCATCGGAGAGTAAGTCCGACCCAATAACAACAGAAATGGATTTATGATAAAAAGGCGCAGGAAATGCTGCTCGGGGATACAAAGTGACTAAGAGGAGAGGCTCTTTGGGGAGAGGAAACTATAAAGGTGGCTTTTTTGTGAATTTTGCCCATGATGTTCAAAAGGTCAGGTACAGTAAAACTAAAAAGGTACTCACAATAAAACATTTTCAGCCATTAGCACTAGCTGCCATGTTAGCTTTTATGGTACCAGGAGAACTAGTGAGTGTTTTTGTTTTCTGTCCTTCCTTCTTAGTAAAAATTACAGAGAATTTAGAGGATTTACCAACTGAGGTACATAAAGTCCTTGAAAGATGGAGTGAATCGAGAGAAAACTAGAAAAGCACTCTGAGAGCGCAGACCTCCTGCCAAGCAGCTCATGTCCCCCTTATATTGAGATTCACACCAAAACTTTGACTGTTACATGTCTTTTATTAACGTTTATTTGTGTTTAAACTGGTATGTTCACTGTTCATAATGTTCCTAAAACAAGAAATGCCCTGACCCGGATTCGAACCCAGGACCTTCTTACTGTGAGGCGACAGTGCTAACCACTACACCACTGTGCCGCCCATTGGTTATCTTTCAGCATTGAAAACTCCAACGACACCCTTATTTTTGTGTGTTCTGGATCACAGTATCCAGAATTTTGTCTGGATCAGGATCAACCTTTGACACCTCATAAAACTCATTGAGATCCTTTTGTGTCATTTTTTACTAAAGACTCTGGACATTTTTATAGAGTTAAATGCAAAAATTCTCACAATGATAAAGAATCCTTCAAAAAATTCCTGGATCCAGAAGGCGATCCGGATCACCACCAAAATGTAATGGGATCCTCCTGGGGCTGAGACGCACCTCTGGTGAGAATTTCAGGTCAATCCGTCCGTAACTTTCTCCGTAAAGTTGATAACAGACAAACAAACAAACAAACCAACGCTACCGAAAACATAACCTCCTTGGCGGAGGTAACAAAACAAGAGAGGCCCTCAGACGGCACTACATTGAAAACCTCTGTAATGGAAGCTGCCACATAAACTTGCATTATATATTTGCATCGTTCCTGATGTGTAAGGACCTATAGACTGAAGAAGCATCTGAAGTTTCTGACAATAAACGTGGACACTATTGTTTAAAAACAAAAAAAGGTAAAAAGTTGACTCGCTAGTTGACTCCTCACATTTGGTACTATCCCGACGCTAAATTCAGGGAGCATAGTTTCAACCTGAGAAATATTTCCTCAAAAGCCATTCACCGTGGTCCTGAATCAGAGCCAGCCCAAGGCATAAGCAAACTCAGTGCCTGCTTATTGGCCGCGGGGCCCTAAGCATAAAAAAAAGAAAAAATTCTACCTTTATTTTTTGACAGACAGACATCTCAACACTAGAGTCTAATCAGAACTGAAAAACACTCAGTCTGCTGTTGTGTCAGTCTTCTCACTTCCTCCCGGGACGTGTCTTTTTCCCCCTGGAAAGTCGCAAAATCGCATCGCGCTTGATGTGTATAGTCAGGCCTTTCAAAATTCGCCTCTGAATATTTCGTGTCGTATATTTGCGTCATTCCCGGTGTGTAAGGACCTTGAGAGCCGACTGTGAACTTAGTTTATTGCTGCAACCTCATAACCAGCATCTGTATAGGAATGATGTGTTGGACCTACTTTAAAAATTTCATGTGACTCTGTAGTTGAAGTCAACACATCGGCTCAAATTCACTCTAAAAAAACATCGTTCTTTAAATTTATCTCTGCATAAAAAAACACATATAGAACATTGTTGCTTCTCACATATGAGCAGCAGAGGAATACATACAAAGCTCACAATAACATTAATTTCCCAGAGGCTGTCGATCGAAACAAGCCTGTTTAGTTTAATTAACACTTATACTGCAAACCTGAATGCTTGTGCTAATACATTTGCATTGCCTGTTTTAGATTAAAGGAAAAAACTGTATACTGTATCATAAGTGGATAAGTTTGAAACCCCTTGATGGATGTGCAGCAGATGGTGCACTCCATGTAGCCGACTTTCATCCCGCTGTAAACTTCCATGACACCGAGTTTGAAAGAAAACAGTTGTTTCGCACAAAAACCTTCTGTCTAACTCCCTCTCTCATGCCACATTCGACTTGTTCGGTTTGGATCTTCGGAGGCGATGATCAAATAAAATAAGCGGCTTTCACAGTTAGGAAGAGAAAGTCATTGAGTATGTGCGTGTCATTAAGACTGTCCGCCCTTAGCGCTCTTTACTAAATCCAGAGGAGCACAGCTTGGTGTTAGAATCAGGCCGGCATTATCAAGCTGTCACCGCACACTCGGGCTTAAATCCCACAATGATGAACCCCGGCTGCCCCTGGATGTGAGACGCTGGTCAGTCAGGAAATGGATCTGCCATCCAGCACTGTCCTCTCACTCACCCTGTGTGTCTGCATTGTTAATGTTCAGTTGATGCGGGCACATTAAAGGACGCTCCGCTCGGCCGCTTTCACAGCGGTATCACGGCGCTGAGCTCCATATGCACCAGAACGCAGGTCAAACTATCCTCTATATGCTGTAACTGTCAAACCGAGCTGCTGTTATATGCTAACACGACAAAGAAATAAGAAGCAACATCTAATAGTTTTGTGAGGAGTTTTTAGCTGGTCATAAATCTAGATAGACTATTAGTGATGTCTTTTAATGACCTAAAAAGGCAAAAAAAGACCACCACATGACATTTGAAGACTCTTATTTTGAAATGTTTAATGCCTGGAACCTTCAGTGGGGGGTAGGTGGCGCACTAAGTGATAAACCCCCTGCTTCTGACACAGCTTTTACTCACAAAACAAAGATCCTGAATGAATGAATCAAAGACACAAGACTGCCGTGTAAACGCCAGAATCTAAAGTCAAATGATTCACATAAGAAGGTGCTCGACAGTGCGACCGTTTCACTCGAATTTGCGACTCAAAATAGATGTGTGCGAACCACGACGAAGTTGGTTTTAGGTTGGATATTCGACGGACATGCTCCGCCAATCTACCGGTGACTTCTCACTCTCCATAACGCGGGTTAAATCTACTCAGCATCCTCGCTGTCAAAGTCAGGTATTGAATAAGGGACCGTCAATAAGTTATCAGTTGATGTTCTCAGAAAAAAGCTGTTTTCCTTCAATAGCTTCCATGTCATGAGACCAATTAACCTAAAATTGATTTCAAATAGTAGTAATAAGTAATAGTACTTATATCGACCAATAGGACACACATTATTTGATCAATTTTTATTGTGCCCCTAAAGTTATTTGTGTGCTTCTTACTTTTTCAACTTCCTTGTGAAAAAAGTGAGTGTCAAGCCCTGTAGGAGCTTTAAAAGTTTTTGGTCTTATTCATGAAACTTCACATTTGCACATAAAAACCAACGCTGGACTCATGAACATGAATTTGACACCAATCAATAATAAATCCTCCCGCTAGTCAGCAATTAAAATAAGGCCCCATCCATGAATAGCCAACAGCCACTTTAAAGAGACCTGGACCATCCTGTGGACCAGACCAAGTTACTGGTTTGCTGTGTAGCAGTCTGAATCCCTGCGTGGGCTTTATTAAAGGCCAGCCCTCATGATGTGTAGTGGGTCAGTCTCCTATGGACCAGAGTTTAAAAGAGCTTTTTACCAAATATATCAAACTATCCGAGGAAATGCACCCCGCTTTGTTTTAAATGGATCAAACATCTCTGGTGTGAATACAACTTAAGAAGCACTTGGATATAAAAGTGAAAGAAGAGTCAATCTGAAGTGCACTTTTGCAGGTAGATGGCGGCTGATTCTAACATTAATAGCTTAGAGTTTCTACTTGACGCCTCTTAACGACAAAACACCCGAGCACAAAAACAGGAGGAAAGCATCGGTGAGGTGAAAAGCTTCTCCGGTGTGTGGGCAGAGGGATGAACATGACACGAAGACCAAAGAAGGACAATTATGATAAAGAGCGCGGGCAGGTCCATCATGCTTAATTAACGTTACACAGGCTGGAATTGAATTTGTTTTGACTCCCTCTGCCAAGAAAGCCTCTAATTCAGGCCGGATGGCAGGTTACCACAGTCTGCTTAATGAAACAAGCAGGAGGTGGTGCGCCTCTCGGTTTACGTTCAATAAAATGTGGTGTGAAGCTTTATGAATCAAATGCAGGAAATAAAAGTTTGATCACAGGCGATGGGTTCAAAGTCTTGCGGTACATTTCACCGCTAAATAACCTGCGATTCCCTGCCAAGACGGAGATGCAGTGCTGCTTTGGCATTTGAGATGAAACAAAGCTGAAATAGTGGATGCACGGCTGACAGGATGTGGAGGGTTTGCCCTTTGTGGGAGCTTTCCTGACTGGCGAGATGATTCTGAAAGAGGTTATAGCGAGAATGTCAAGCAAGGCAGCCGGAGTAGACCCTGACTTTACCTGAGAACAAAGACTGACTTGTGTTCAAAACTCTATTTTTGCAATCTGAAAGGAAACTTCTGCAGCGATCCTATAATGAATAAAAGATCACATAGGTGATTATATCTGCTCTGATGATTATATCTGCTCTTTACTGCTCTGTTCTACCGCACAAACATCCCAAATATTGAATGTGAAATGTCACCAAGACTAACGACTCCATTTCCAGTTAACTGTGAGTGTTTTCTGCTGGTGATGGATGTGTTTATAGTGTGGCAAATGACCTTGACAACAGATGGTGATTATACTTCCACTCTTTTTTCCCTCCGTTTTCCTCTGCAGCTCTTTCACAGACCAAACTACGCGGCGCAATTAACAAATACAGCGCGAGCTGAACAAAGATAGTGCCATGTAAAATACAAAACGCAGGCGTCGGGGCCTAATCAGACATGAATCCACATTTATTTTCCTGTTTTTATGAATGGGCTCCTTTTTTCAGGCTCATTAGCAGCCATGTTGCACCGTGATAGTAGGAAAGACACACAAGTTGATGCAGGTAGATATGGGCCCTAAAAAGAATGAGGAAGATAGTAAAAATTAGCTCTTCCAAACACAAGTAAAGAACTTATTTTAGTAAAGGAAAAAAAATCTGTATATTCAAATTTTAAAGGTCATGTAAGGAATTTTAGGTTTGCATCAATTTGGTGCTTCCTCTGACATTAAAAATGGCAATAAACACTGTCAATCCTGTTGGTTCCTGTTCTGCATGTTTTAATTTAAATTTGAGTCGATTTCATGTCAAAAACTCGACACAGGAGCTTTAAAGTTTAAGCTAGGTCCCATCTGTTTACATGGAGAAGGCCATATGACGTATAAAGCAGCCAACTCTACACAGAAATGAGCACCTGGAAACAAATCTGCATGATAAGTTACTATAATGACAAAAAGCATGTTTGAAGAAAAAATATTTTCTTTGTATTCTAATTTTAAAGTTTGACCCATGTCCCATCTGTTTACATGGAGAAGCAGGAATCGAGACCATAGACTGTATAAAGAATGGACAGTGTCTGCCTCCTCGCTGGGTGAAGTCACTCCGAGAACAGCACCCTCTGTTGACAGGCTGCAGTATAGGTCATAAATCCCGCCTCCTCCAGTAAAGCTTATGGAGCTGTGGACAAACATTAGAAATTTTTCCGTTTTTAAAAGTTATTAGAGGGTTAATTTTTTCTATGATTGACACCTGATATAGCAGATAGGCGAACGAAGATTGCGTGGCTCACCCGGGGGATACGCTGTTTGAGCCGAGCGTCATCACAGCGACTCTCCTGACGAATTCGTACAATACTAATGTGCAATGTTGGTTTTAGGAAATGGAGAAAAATCGTGGAATTACCAAGAGCTTTTCGGCTTCAAATCCATAAACTGGCGGAAGGCGGAACCAAGTTGTCCATACGGTCTATGATCGAGACCTATGATCACCAGTGGGGTGCCCTGAATGTTTTGACATAGTCGGCTCTCTAAAGTGGTTAAATCGCATGTATTGTTCTATTCTGTTCTGTTTTTTTTACTTCCTGTAGAGTAGCGGTTTTGTAAAAATACAAGGTTTCAGCCTGACAGCAGTGACTTACAAAACAAAAGTCAAATTCAGAGGATCTAACATAAAAACAGATGAGGGTTTATTCTGAAAAGAATTGACATACCGATGACAGACTGACTACGCCATCCCTCGGGCTATGTCATTCAAAATCAGCTTGTACTTTGCTACGGCTGTGAAGTTGTGCTGCTTTCAGAGCTGATTGACTCGACAAATCAGGAGTCTACAAAACAAAGGGTGACAAAAACAGTTTTGCTTTGACATATTTTGGGGATTTGATGCAAAATTTAAAGTGTCAGTCTTTGAAATCTGTCAGAAAAATGACCAAAGAGCAGGCGAGGTTGATAACTTTTACCTGTTTTCCACATCTACTTGGAGTACACTGTAAAAAGTTACATCTTAGCGAGTGATTACCAGATTTAATATAAGTCACAGCTATGTGATACACGCCCTGACGTACAATGTTTTTCTAGACTTGCCACATAATTGCGCTCAGTTGTGTGTTTTTACAGTGTAATTTTCAATTTTATGAAGTACAAAGGTAAATCTGAAGACCTGGGTGTGATTCGAGTGCATCTCTCTTCCTCTTTCTTCTTTATAATTTCCCTTGCATGCCTCATTTACTCATTGAATATTAATTGCTCATTATAACTCAGTCTTTGTAACAGCTTCAATCAATTTAAACACCGTGTTTATCCCAGCACATCATAGGACATCACTCCTTATCACTGCAGTTATCTTTAAACGTTGTATTTGTATGGGTCTGTTGCCAACTCTGCATACAAAGAGTTTCCTGTTTACTGCCGGGTTTAATCACTCGTTTGGAGGTTTGAGATCTGACCTGCTGGATTTGAGCTTTACCCAGAAAAAAAAAACCCCAAACAACGCTGTGATGTTTTAATGAATTTTGATTTATTACACAGGCTTGGTTTCCCGACCACACATCACACAGCGTATACCTTACTGGAAATACTACATCTAACAGTAAATAGGGCTTGGATCCACTGCAGCTTTCAGCCAAATCGCCAATAACTCTGTAATTAGTTTCCTCCGGTGCCAAAAGTTCAAACAGAAAGTCGCTCAAACTGTAATCCACAGAGTCTTCACTGGATAAAATGCATCACACCTTGAGTCGGTTACAAAAAAGGGTGTTTATGTAGAACAAGGTGTTCCAGACGCTCCTGCCAGGGTAGGAAAGGAATAAATTAAGAAATAAATGAGTGAATAACCCCCCACATTTATAGGAACAATGCACAGTTGCTAGGAAACTAAAGAAACATTTCTATTAAAGAGGGCTCAAAGATAGTACTGTGGGCTAAGAAAGCAAGTTGAGTTAATCAGTCACGGCGAAAGATATATAAGCAAAACTGTCCTCAAAATTGATCTTTTTCTCAGTTCACCAAAGTAAGGGCCTGTGTCCACTTACTCTTCTTCTGTGCCTCCAAGACAGATATTCTACTCCATACTAATGAAGTTAAGCAATAAAAGTGATAAGCATATTAAAGCAAACTGAGTTCTCAAGAATTAGGGCCTGTGTTCACTAACTGCGTTGATGTGCTAGTGACATCGGTTTTCTACGCTATACTTCATAAATGTCAGAATCATTTGCTGTTTTCTGTTACTGTCCTCACACATAAAAATATATCAACTTTTTGATCAAATTAATCCTCATCAATGTCATTTTTCTCACAGCAACCAAATCACAAACTTAGACCAGCGAGTACTCTTAACAGGAGCCCAGCGGGTTTTGATGCAGCAGAAATGCAAGTGGACACAGGCCCTTAAGGCTCAAAGATAGTACTGTGGGCTAAGAAAGCAATTACTTTTGTTGTTGGATTATTTTAACTAACAGTGTTACAAAAATCAGTAAAGAGCAAGATCAGTGGTGTTGACTTTATTCACAATTTTGTAAGAGTTCTTCATTTGGGTTTTGATGCTGCAAAAACACGGTCAGTGGACACAGGCCCTTAAAGCTCAGAGATAGTAATGTAGACAGAGGGAATGTTTGCTATTATTTGATTTGCGACATTTAATGAAACATTAAACAGTTTTGTCCTGAGATTATCTTGACAGTATTATAGATTTGAAATAATTTATTACACTCTTTGCTAAACCCCTAGTTTAGACACATGGACATGGTTTTAGTTGCGAGGCGGCTTTTTGCTTTACAGCTATTTGAAACCTCAAATTCACAACTTTAGCCCAATTCATTAAAAATAAAAGGTATTATAACAGTCTAAATTATTTACAGTTTTTACAGATGAGCTATATCAAAGGATGACACTGCTTTCCATTGCTTACCCTCTCCCACTCCCTCAGAGTGTCATCATTAGTCGTGGATTACGCCTTTCGAGCAAGGACTGGAATCTGTTTTACAGTGAGGAGACAAAAAAGAGGACGCTCTGTGCAGCTGGTAATGAGCCAAAGTACGATCATCCTATTCCTGTCCTTTAAACGGGGTTTAAACAGGAACTCTGATGAGTCATACCCGGATCATTTTCGCCCATTTATCTTTCACGCCTAATAAAAAGTGTCCAAATATTCCTCTTTTTAATGATAAAGTGAAATACTTTGATCTGAACCTGTTGAAAGGACTGGAGTCAGGGGGATGTTCTCATCAATTACTCCATTTTTTTTTTAACGCAACGGCCGCCGTAATGCCGCAAGGTCAGACAAAAATACCAAACGGGATGTGAAAATTGAGTAAAGGCGTGGGGAGAAGAGGGAATATAAAAGTGAGATGGCTTTTATAAGAGAGACAGAGAGCGGTGAGAGAAATCATGTACGACAACACATTCAGAGGAGAAGGCCACAGACTGTTTTAAACGAAGGTCTCTCCATTCATCTCTCTTCACTGTAGACACAGTCGACACGCAAAGAATCACGCAGGTCTAGGCCGTGCCTTGTCTGCAGTTTAAAAATGTTTGCATGCAATTACCCCACAAGGTATCCGCGGTGGCTGAGCCGCTATGGTGTTTTAATGGGTTTGCCATTAAAAAAAAAAGGGCTTTGACACATGAAAGTGATTTGTTCAGAACAAAAAGTCTCCTACGTCACCCCAGTTGCTCTGAATTCGTCTCTACCGGGGCTTCAGCGGTCTATAAACGCCGGTGTGTCCTGCAGAGTTTCATTTGTTGTCACAATTTTAGTGCATCTGGCGAACAGAGGGAGAGAAAGAAAAAATCCATGTCTGCAAGGGCATCTATAAAATCCCACCATGACAGGTGCTGTAATGGTTTTTACTCACATGATGGCTCACAGCTGAAATACGTCCCTATGGGTACGTTTCCAGATATTTAAAGCATGTTTTTCAGTATGGGTTTGTGATTACTGCCCTTGATTTCCATGTTTTGACGACTTGTCAGGTTAGTAAGTGGTCTTTATCACTTCAGTGTGGAGTTGCCCTCTGAAGACCTTTTAATACAGATGTTTTGACATGTTGTAGGAAAAGTGTGGGTGTTATCACTAACATGAAAACGTGGGTTGGTGCATTTTCACGAACTGTCTAACTGGAGTCATGACAAGGCTAATGAATGAATAGAGGCATTAAACGAAAGGTCAGAACAGTTGGCGGGAAAGTTAAAGTGGTGAAAGTTTAAAGAAAAAAATGTGACTAATTTTGATTCAAAACGTGAGGACTGAACTGAATTATGTGAAAGTTGTAGGCGATAACGCAAAATGTTCACTATTGGCTAGCAAGAAAGCACCTAACTAGGTGAAGGCAAATATGGATTGGACTCTTTGTTCATTTTCTATTCTCTTGAAGCCTGCAGTACCGCTGGTAACCACAGGGGGAGTATTGAGCAGTGTAGCCAACAGAATTAGCCAGATCAGCAAAACATAATAAGGAAGGATATTCAGGACCATAGACTGTGTAGAGAATGGACGCCATCTGCCTCCTTGCTGGGTGAGGCCAATCGGAGAACAGCCCCCTCTGGTGACAGGCTGCAGTATAGGTCATAAATCCCGCCTCCACCAGCAAAGCTTATGGAGCTGTGGAACATAAATTTTTCTCCCCCCTGCTTGTGATGTTGACATGTAGTTACTGTCAGACTGGTTTGTGCTCAAGTGCTCTTTTTTCTGTACAGCTCCATTTTTAAAAGTTATTAGGGGGTTCATGTTTTCTATGATTGACACTTGATACAGCCTATGAGCCTATAAAGAAATATTACTCAGGTTAAAACTGTGTCACCCGAATTTAGCTTCGAGGTAGTACCAAATGTGAGGAGTCAACTAGCAAAGCGATTCGTCGAACAAAATTTAGCCTTTTAAGCCTTTTTATCTTTTTTAACAATAGTGTCCACGTTTGTTGTCAGAAACTTCAGACACTTCCTCAGTCTAAAGGTCCTTACAGTACGGGAACGATGCAAATATACAACGCGAAATTATGAAATATTCCGAGGAGAGTTTTGACACGACTGACTATACACATCAAGCGCTATGCGATTTTGCGACCTTCCGGGGGGAAAAAAGGCGCAAGTGTCCGAAAGTGTTAAATTAGGCCTTGTACTCACAAAAAATGAACAGAAACCAACGTTATACAGCACTGAACGGGATTGAAAATGTATGTAAAAGAGGAGTAACACTACAGAAATTGCAATTCATCACCTGTGCTGTTCCCCCAGTACATTTTTCTTGAAGTGCAGCAGTATCACCGAGAGTGGGGAAGGCTTCAGATGATACAGAATTTTAAGCAGATAAGAAAACACGGCAGCAGTGGTGTGAAGTGGATGATACTGTCGGCGGAAAAAAGTCGACAGCGTTCACGACTGACAACCAGCTGGAGAGCTCGTACAGGCATCTCACCTTTTATCCCGCTCCCTCTGTCTCAGGAACAGCACATCTACTGAGGCATGATGCTAATGTGACAGCCTCTACAATCAGCCCGGATCTATTTTCCTTTCAAATCAGACATAAGACCTTTTATCGCTGTTAAGAGGAAATTATTTATACAATCCTTTTCTCAGCTCAGATGGGGCCTGATTTACATGCCAGACAACTTTTTATTTCCCTGAGAATTTCTCACTGCGTGCAGCATCTATAATTAAGTGCCAGTCATAATTATAGGAATCTTTGTAGTGGTGTTTGAATTAGATTAAGGTAGTGTGTGAATTAGATTTCAATCTCCAAATAGCCCTGTGTAGGCGAACATCGTCAGAGCTGCTTATGAAGCCCTCAGCAGCTCCATTAAGATGTTTTCTCATTAATTTTCAGTGTGTGTCTGGAGTGTAAATATCACAAAGAGGGAGGAAGGAAGTTGGGAAAGTCACGAGGAGCTGATGCATTCGCTCTGAACCTGCACCGCAAACAAATCCATTGTACTCTTGCTGCAGCACACACCAGAGTAACACATAGATCTTTATTAGACCGCAGGGCAGGAAAGGCTTTATTATACATGCGATTTCATTTTCCTGCTTTTTAAAATACACCTCTCCAGGTTTGCTAAGCCCTGTCGATCCAAAATAATAGAGTTGTGAGGGGGAGAAATGTTGAACTGCTCTACATAAAGAAGCGACCTGTCTCATCCATCAGCGTAAACACAAGCACAACGCTCAGGAGGCTGCTTATTACCACCCTACTAAGACAAACTGAAGTTATTGAGTGCACTGCATGTCTTAAAGGTCACGGAGACAGAGCACAGCTGAGATTTTTTTTCATTTATTTTACACCTTACTTTTGGTTTTTGCAGGAAATCGAAAATGTGAAGGAAAAACTTATTTCTAATAAAAAAAATATTTCTACTTAAAGCTCCTGTGAGGAACTTTGATTCTGTGTAAACTATGGTGCCCCCTGTCTTTGTTTATCTTGTCCTTTCACAAAATACCTCTTACTGCTGTATTTTGTTGATCAAATATAAATTTTGCAGAAATTATAAAAACAAGGCAGTGTCTTCAACTGATCGGCTAATGACTACCCCTTGTGGTTGTTCTAGGTATTAAAATATATAATACAAAAATAATCAGTCCAGCCGCTAATGATTTTGTTTACTTTTGTACATCATAAATAAACACTGATTTGAATTTTAGTCCGTTTTATAAACATCAAAAATTCCTCACAGGAGCTTTAACAACCACCTTTGACGCCAAAATTTAACTAACGTCTTTGACACATAAAGCAGAATAAACGTCTGAAGCAGAATAAAAGCAGAGGAGAAATAATCTTGATTTATAGTAAATAAAAAGGGAAAAATTAAAAAAATAAAAGCATTAAAGAACAGTAAAAAGAGGCAATGATGAGAAAGAAACATTTAAAGGAAAAAAAAGACGTATTTTAATAAAAACAGTAATTTAATAAACAGTAAAAGACGGGATCAGAAGATCACAAGAGCATTAATATACGACTACAAATATACAACTATTGCTAATGTACAAAATAAACAACAGTGGTCCCAACACGGCACCCTGGGGAACCCCAAAATCTATCTTTAGCAGTTCTGATTGAACCTGATTCTTGGGAAAGGGATACCCAGTCAGCCAAGCTAGCCTTACTTCCCTTTTTTTCTGTACATGTAAAGAGTTTTTTATCAATATTTTCTGATCAAACAAACACAAGCGGATCAATTTGCCTATTAGGAAGTTGTTGTTTTTTTCAGTGTTTATAATGGAATACTACAACTGCAAATACACCCTCTGAATGTGCTGTACAAGTTCTCGTTGCTGTTTTGCATGGTAAGAAGTAGGCCAGGTGCCACAGGAAAACTCAGGGAGGCTTCTCTCCCCAAACTCAAGAGAGACCTGCTCTGGTTCTGAGAAAAAAAGGTCTAAATAATCATCAACAGAAGGGTATTAAAGTCGTCCATCAACAGAACAAAGCCTGTGAGGAAATACTTGGAAGCCTTTAAAGTTCAGGGAGTTTCAAGTACTCGCTGGTCAGGCTGGTGATTTTTAAAAGAAAGTGAGGAGATTTATCTATCCTCTCTGCACATCACACACACACACACACGAGGCATGGGGATACACTCGTGAAACACAAGTACAGGAAATAATCACATTCTCGCTGATGGAAAAAAAAAGATGTGGACTGATTTTTCAATTTCATAGTAAAAGAAGGGGTAAATTGAATCCAATTTCCTTCAACAATGACGGAGCAATTCACCCTCTAAATTGAGTAAAAATATGTCCTTTACATGGTTCATTTTTAGCTTGGCTTCCTTTGCAGTCATCAAACCTGAAGGACTTTAGCCCGTTTTAACAATCTCCTGTCAGAATGTGAAGCTAACATCAGATAACGTCTAGCTTAGCTTAACATAAAAGTTCAAAAATGGGAAAAAAAAAGGAGAGTCAAATTTGTGATCCGGACAGGGGTGTGTCCAGATATTTTTGACTGAGGGGGCCCAGCTCAGGCACTGACTTAAGGTCCTTTCACACCGGGAGCGTTTTTTTGTGCGATTATTTCAGACGTCAATATTTTTTCCGAACTCGTATCCTGTCAATTCAAGCGTTCACATCAGCAACGTTTTCCCATCCCGTGATATTGCGGCATTTATTTTTTCTTATCAGGGTTGAATTTTCTTAATTTTTGCATACTGTGTGTCCACTTCTGACCAATCAGATTTCGTGTTGGTATATCCAACATGGCCGACCGGCTGATTGTTTACGTGTCGGAGAACAGAGTGATTTTTGATAAAAAACACAAATATTACAAAGATAACGACCTGAAGGACAACTTGTGGAGAGTCATAGCGTCGGATTTCTCATATGACGATGGTTTGTGTGCTTTAACAGTTTGATAAACGTCTTTGTTTTAACTTTCATCTGTGCTAAGTAACTTTAGCTCGTAAGCTAACCTGTTCAGATACAACATACCATATGTATTTTCACTGTCACAGCACCATTCGGTCTCGTTGTTACCTTACGTTTATAGATTATAGTTTAATGTTCTTATCTGGTTCTGACCCCGACTCAGTACATGCTATCATGACAGACAGACATCTCAACACTAGAGTCTAATCAGAACTGAAAAATACTCAGTCTGCTGTTGTGTCAGTCTTCTCGCTTCCACCCGGGACGCGTCTTTTTTACCCCCGGAAAGTCGCTAAATCCCATCGCACTTGATGTGTATAGTCAGAATATTTTGTAATTTCACGTCGTATATTTGCGTTTTTCCCGGTGTGTAAGGACCTTTACAGAAACACATAAATCAAGTTTATTTACAGTTTGCATCTAAGCATATCTATTAACTAACAGTATTATATTTGTGTTTATCAGTACTGATTTTAGTCTGTGAAGGACATTTATTAAAGTGTACATTTATTAAATCCTGAAGTGTTATAATCGTCATAATTGCTGTATAAAAATCATCACCCCCTGCTATAAACAGCCCGACAAAGCTCCTCCAGCCTCACTCCTCACTGCCATGTTGGTGCCATTGTTCAGTAATGCCCCTCCCTGCAGCGACCTGACATGCCCACTTCTTTTTGAACCCAGGGGGGCAGCCCGCCTGAAGATAAAAAACCAACTCAGAGCGGCCAAGACACTGCAATAAGGCCACAAATTTATGAAGATGTTGTTTTGCGAACTGTTTTGACCCCAACATGATGGCGCAATACCCCAAGGATACCTTGTAACTGATTGCCGAATACGTCCGCAGACCGAACATCAGTCACTTGTGAGAGGGAAACTAGATGAGGTTGTGAGAGGACTCCCATTTTGATTACGAGTGCCTCACTCCCTCGGTTGTTTTGTTCGAGGCCTGGGGTCTAAGTGTTGAAAGCTGGAAACCTTCAATGATCTTCAACTGTTTGTTTTTAACAAGCAATGACAAACAACATCATCTCTTTCCCCGCCACTCCTCCCGAGGCTTTTATCTTTGCTCAGCCTTTGAACCAGGCCTTAAGGCAGTCGCACTGAAACAGACACGGCCCAGAGGAAGCCAGACTCCAGATAGACTACTCTCTAATTCTGCTATCTCTCCTTACAAAACAGCCGAGTGGCCAGAGGGAGGGAAAACACTGCTATTACAGCTTTCCCTATTAATCACTCTCCAGTTTAGAAATCTAAACTTTGAGCAATGATTTTCATTTAAAGTTTATCACACTCAGACGAAAATGTGGAAACTTTGCCCATCAGTGTTGAAAAGTTTCTATTTATTCAGAGAAGATTTTCAGTAACTCCTTTTTTTTAACTCAAAACTGGATGTCTTTCACTGACATTTGGTTTTAGATTATGTAAATTTAGTCAAATAAACGAGAAAAATGTCTCCTCAATGATTGAACAACTAGACTTCCAGTGCAGAGAAAACATCATCCCAGTATCTCTTATGAAATCAACTGCAAACTGTGGCTTTAAAATCCAAACAAATCACTCCAATAACTTCTTTTCTCCTCCAGGTTTAAGTAGTTTGTCCGTTTAAGACAAATCACCGCTAAGCTTTTGTACCCTGATGGAACAAAAAGGGCAAAAGCTGATTGGTCCATAAGCAGTAAATGCCTCTATACTCACCTGTGTGTGACTTCAAGCAAAGAAAGTCCAGCACAGGTGATGTAATTTAAAAAAGCGTTATAAAATAAACAAAGTGATGCAAGAAGCAGGGGTGTGTCCAGATGAGTGGCAGGGGGTGGCCTGGCCCCTTAAACTCTGATGGCCACCCTTGTGCAATCTCACAATAAAGACACTGGTTGTTAGTTTTTTGTTTTTTTCCTTGTCAGTGGTCAGTTAGAAGTGACACAAGAAGATTCTATAATAAAAAAAAAAAAATGCATTTTTTTTATCATTATTATTATTATTAGTAGAAGTATTTATTTTTTTTTATTCGCAAAAAAAACGTTTTTTTCCCATCTCTTTTAAATGTAAATGTGATTAAATTATAAATACCGTATTTTTCGCACTATAAGGCGCACCTGATTATAAGGCGCACCATCAATGAACGCGTTTATTCGCGTTTTTTTCATACATTAGGTGCACCGCATTATAAATCGCATCAAGCCAAACAAATCAGTCAGATAAGTCAAATTTTCTTTAACTCATTCAATAACTCCGCGAGGCGACGGTAGCTGCAGTTCTCCGACAAGCCAAAAGGATTTTAAGTGCACCTTATAGTGCGAAAAATACGGTATGCGTGGTCCACAAACAGCTTTTGCCAAATTTCACTTCGCTTTGTGTAAATTAGAGCAATTAATTTGCCAATTCCTTACTTATATTCTAGGCCTATTTTCATACAATAATAAATTCTGGCGTCGGGATTCTTCATCGTAAATATAAAAGCCAAAAAATGAGTTTCTTAGGGTCACGGTCTTTTTCAAAGCAGGTTTAAGACCCTGTTAAACACCCTGTCCTCACTGCTACTAGGTGTAAGAGAGTGTAATTAAAAACAGCGTCCAAAATAAATGGAAATGACATTTTTGAGGCATTATTATGGTCGGCTAAATATGTCAGTTAAAAGGCAATTTTCATTAGCGTGTGCTTGAAGTAGAAGGGGGGAAAAAAAGAAGTGCTGTCAATCTGCATCAGTACGGGATTCATTGGACATTCAAGCCATGAGAATGCAAATGGGAACGTTTCCTTTTCATTAAACGTTTGTAATTAATTTCTTAAACAACAGAGGCCCCCTTCCTCCTCACATTAATTTCATCGGTCTGCGGAGGCATATCTTAGCCTTTTCCAGAATTAGCACAATTAACCACCGCTGAGTAACGATCACCGGGCCATTTGCGAGCGCTCCTGGCTCTTTCCTCTCCATTTCAGCGACATTATATCTAACTGCCTGACAATAGTGAGCCCGTATTTGTCCAATATATGAACACATGAATTATTGATACTCGCCGCTGTATCTGCTGCTGCTCTCCCCTGGGTGCTCTCGCGTCCTCATGATGTTAGATAATGAAAAGAGTGAAGAGACGGATATGCAATTTCTCTCAAAAGAGCTCGTCTCCAGCTGTCTAAAGTCTTTTTTTAAGAGCGCTGCGATTCCTCATCTGCTAACCAAGCAACAGCAAGCCTCTCATGACAAATGGAGGGCTGAAAAATCATATTTTCACTGTCAAATTCTGCCAAAAGCTGACAGTCCGTGACGCTACAATCTCCACAATACAATGATGTTGAAAATCCTTTATGTACATTGTTATTGTCTCAGTCATACGTCAAAGTGAAGATCATATTTAGCAGGATTTTGACGACTGACAGTGTAAACAATAACACTGATTTAAAATGCCTCAGGTATGTCAAAATAAAGCTGACCTGTTGGCCTGTGAGTTTAATAAGAGAGGAGCTCAGAGCAGAAACTCCTCAAAAATGGGGAGACAACTTTTTGGAGTGAGAAGATCACAGACCTGCTTCTAGACTTTGCTCTGGCTATTTGACGGGGATTTAAAGGTGGGGTCGGCAGGAACCCGTTAAAGAAGCATCTTTTTTTGTGGTTTATATACGACAAAGGTTTTAATATCAGTCAATAGCTATTAGTCATTGATGACATTTGGTAATATAACGAAGAGTCAGAACTCTTTCTGACTGTTAACAAAGCCGTTCTCCGCCTCCCCAACCTGATTGGTTGTGAGGCAGACGCTGCTCCCCCGTGTCGTTCAGGAGCCCAAACAAAGTTAGCGTGCTACAATATCGGACAGTAGAAACCAACCAGAAAGTTCGGGAAATTGTCTGAATCCTCCTTTAGCCACGACTGCCGATACAAGTAAGAAAACAAAGTAAATACAGGAGACTGGTGGAATAACGGGCGCTTAAAACTGAGGTAAATCACCCGGACAAGAGCTAAGAAGCCGGGTCAACAATGATGGGGGACGCTTCAGGATCTTGGTGACCCTGTAACCTTTCTGCTGGACAGGTAAACCGCTTTAACAAAGTAAGACAAGTGTCTGTAACAGAAGTGTTTCTTGTCAAACGGACCTGCTGTAGCGTGTTGTAGCGCCATCGCTAAACTGTCCTCCCTCGGGTCCTGGACTATGTCACTTTATCCTCGTTGTAGAAGTCCTGCAAACATTGTGTTTGCTGGTAGTCTGTTGGCATCTACAGTAGCACCAATGCTTTTGACTTTCACGTTGACTGGGCCGCATTTGTAATGATCTGAAGTATTTATCTGCATTATATCTGAATTAATTGGAACGATACGAGCGAGCAGGAGCGTCTGTTTGTGGGCGGGGCTTGGTGGGGCAGAGAGAGAGGGGAGAGGAGGAGCTGAGGGAAAAACTGGTTGGGAGGGGTAGAGTTTACATTCAAGATTCTCCTCAAAACTGGCACTTCCTCAGATCCTGACTACCCCACCTTTAATCAAATGGCTCTAGCAGCAGATCGTGTCTTGACGTCGCCAAGGCAACTCGGTAGCATCCAAATTGGAGGACAGGCGGCTACACCAGTTATAGAAAGTGGCTAAGTCAGTGCACAATAAAACCACGAATATAAACTACGTCAGAGTTTCCGACTGTACGTTAGCAAGTTTCCACGATACTCTACCTTCTTCTTAGACATCATCCGCTTTTTTTCCAGAACTTAAAATGTGCGTTAGCTTAGCGAAAGTGGCGTGAATCAACCCTCCAGCTCAAAAAGTACTAAAATTAAGTCGCGTAGACGGGTTTCTTGTGTACAAACAGAAGGTGCGCACGCAACCATGGAGCAAAAGCCTGCTTCAGAGTGAACTGATATCAACGAAGATGCCGTGTTGTTTGCAAGTTCTCCCCGACACAGTAAAATGTCATTTCATCGAAAAATCGCTTTGTCTTTCATTTCATCAAAATCAGAAAAACACTGAAATATCCATGAATTTCACTCAATTTACCAGGTTGTGACGATGTTTTTGATGTTTCTAATATCAGGAGCAGGGTCGTAATGTTTATAGCACAACAGCTCCTTCTCATCTTCTTTCTCCGTTGACTCCGCTAGTAAACAAATAAGAAATTTCCCGCTTTCTGCCCCCTGGCTGCGTGCGATGAAACCCGTCTCTACGTCGTTTTTGATAAACATTTTTAAACGTTCTTAAAGTAAATGCATTTCGTACATCCAATTTTCCATGCTACCAGAGATGTATGGGATACACAGAGGTGTTTTTTCATTAGCATTCAGAATCGGCTCCAAAGTCCAGTCCCATGTCGAGATTGTTTGACCTTGCAAGAAGTCCAGAACCAGGTGCCCAACAACTCTTTACAAATCTTCTAACTTGTGTTTGACCTTCATATCCTCTGTCAATAGTCTGTTTTTAACTATCATCATCAACTTTTATGAATTAGTCTGATTTATCTTGAAGGATGAGTGTTTTTTGTTTGATTTTTTCAATGACAGATTAACAAACTTCACTCACATTTCTGCTCTTGGAGAATAAAAACAGTTCAGGGCTGAGCACGGACCTTTCCCGTGAACATCTAACGGCATCATATCTCCGTTGTTGCTCTCTCTCTCTTGCATATTTTTGTCTTCTGTTGCCAGCCTCACATCACATCAAGACATTTCTGGGCACTGAGCTGAAGTTTGAGGCAGCAAAAAGAAATTTCAGCCATCTCCAACCCCTCAAAGATAAATAGCAGACTTTGACACCGGCTCATTGGAATAAAGAGCAGGGGCGTCTTTTTCAACTCATCACTCTGAAACTGAAATTCATGTCAGGAGAAATCCATCTTAGAACACATTTCTCTCCGTAGACTGTAATGCAAAACAGCTACAGGACTTTTTCACTGATCTGTCATCCTTTGCGAGGCGAGTACAAGCCTTTTTCTGACATCTCCTTTTTCGCAATCTGAGCGAATCTTGGCGTCTCTTTCTCCACCTGTCCAACAGATTTGCCTTTTTTTATTTCTGCGAGGCTGGTAAAGATTGAAGAAAAGGCGGATGACGACGTTGGACTGTTTTGTGCCTCTTGGAGCCAAACTGATGAAGGTTTGTGAAGCTTATGAGTTCGGAAAGCTTCTCATTGTGTCTAAGGTCAGCGCTATTAGCCTGTAGCCAATGACGCGATTCACCTCGAGAGTGAGCGGCTTTGTCTCTGAGTGGATTTTGTAGGCGTACAGTGAGAGGACGAGGTCAAGTACATAAAACTACCTCCTTGTATGTAAATCTATCAGGGGCAGGTGAGTTCTACAAGTGGTTCCTTGATTCATTTTCCTCTTCAGCTCAAGCTTTTAATTTGAACATTTCGATCAAACAAAGAGACACAACCTTGTAAAAAAAAAATGCGCCCACACGTCTCTGACGAATCTTAATTCCTTAGGAACAAAAATCTCTTCACACTTATCTCCAAATGGTTATGAATTTGTGCGCCATTGTGCCGTTATAAAGTGGAACATCAGTGTGAAATATCCCGACATAAGAAGGGGGAAAAAAAGAGCTCTCTATTTCATTTCACCCGCCGTCTATAGATCTGCCGCTGCAGTCCTTTTTCATTCCTCCCAGAGGATCCTGGACCTTGATAGAGTCAGACAAGCGTATCAAGCCGCGGAGTGACACAATCTTTATTACATGCATGGCGACTCAGAGGGGGGAAGGTAGCGGGGAGATTCCTGGGAGAGGATATGATGAGTTAATGGCAAGGAACTATGTTTGATATGAGATGGCAGTTGTTGTCCGGGGTGTATCTCCATCTTACTGTGAAGCTAGCTGGAAGTGTTGCAGGTTTGATCAGCAGCCACAGAAGAGAGCGTAAGTGCATATTAAAGCCCCTGAGTGGGATTTTCAACGCTTATGAAACAAGCTCGAGTTAATAGCCTCGCTTCTTTATGACCTACAAACACTCATAAGACCATCGACATGAAGATGGTTTAGTTGAAGACGGGTGTTTTAATGCTTGAACTCGCTGAGATCTGCTGTCTCAAAAGTTCCTTAAAGGTGATTAAAGTTGGTTGAAATTTATCATTAAAAAAGTTGGAAAAATAAGAAAATGAGAAAACGTCAAAGACCAGGCGGTAACTTCCAGCGTAGATGTGTCAAAAGCTGCAGTTCTTCAACTGTCCACTGGGGGCTGGCCCCAAAAGCCAAAGAATCCCCATTCGCACCCATTTTAAAGCGTTCGTTTTCACGACAAAATTAAACATGTTTACAGCCAGGTAGTGTTGGGCGGTATGATGGTATAAACCATGTGACCAGACGTCCAGAGAGCAGATGTCGGCTGTATCTCTCTGAGTCAGTGTGTGGTTGTCTGCGCTCGCTAACGGGAAAGCCGGAGCGCATCCCTTTGGGCGCGTTTCCATATACTCACCAACATGTCATGCAGAGTTTGTTCCTCAGTTTGATTGGTCAGGTTTGGGTGTGCTCCCTATAATCACCAGCGTGTCCAGCAGACTGCTTGGCACAGTTTCGATGAAGAAGAAGCAGCTTCACTCGAGGTGGTCATGGCAGACGCGGAGATCAGTGGCAGTACCGAGCAAACGGAGGCAGCCCGACCCACCCAACATGAGGAAGAGGAGGAGGAACATCGGTTGTCTGGAGATTCTTCGGATTTGGTAAGTCCGACAATGAACAATAGTGAAATACTATAAACAATACTATGCAAAGAGCGTCGTGTGGCTGTCGTTGCTGGAGGAGGAAACACCAACAACCTCTTCCACCACCTAAAGATGAAACACGCCAAGCTCTATTATGAAAGCCAAAAGTTGCGTGGCGCACCCGCTGCACCAAAAACTAAAGTTGCATTTTTTTTGCAGTTTGCATTTGTTTACAAATCTGAGTCTAAAAACAAAAGGAAAACAAACAAATGCGACAGTACGGTTATTTTTAAGCTATTAATTGAATTTACAGGGGGGAAAAACATACCATAATATATACCGCTACCGTGATATGAAATTACTCATACCATGAAATAAGATTTTGTTCATACTGCGCAACACTATAGCCAGGTATTGTTTTTTATTTTAATAACTGATATTGGCTCATTTTTTGGACACATTGAAAAAGAGTTGAAAAATTGTACAACCAACCCATGAAGATAATTTAATAGCTGAGAGTTAAACCAAATTTTCATAATTTATGTCCGTGTCTAAAATAGTTACCAGCCATGACAAAAATGTGGTATAGCTGATTTGGTGACACTTTTTCTTTCCACTTTTCCTCCATGACAAGTCGACGAATTCTATGAATGCCAATCTCTACAGAGCACCATTGCTCACCAAATTCCTAACTAACACAGTAAAAGTTCTCCAGAGTTTCTTGCAGTAAAATGTCACAAAAATTGGCTGGAAAAAGTCACTTTATGAAATCAGTTTCACTTTTCCTTCACAAGTGGAGTCCTTAAAGACTCAAAGTCCCAAATTTTTGGCAAGTATTTTTGAGAAAAACCCTGGCAAGTTGTTTTTCAGACATCTTCCAAATCCACTTAAATCTACCCTCCTAATAGTCCCAGTTACGTGTGCACATTGATGGACTTCAATTACAGCAATTTCAGAGGACCTTCCGGCCAACATTTCTTGGAAAATGTTTCTAAAATTCTGAGAATGGAACGAACTTTTCAGCGGCTAAAGTACCTTGGACGCACTTTAAAGCACCAAAGGCTGTCAGGAAAGTCAATTTTCACTCAAAGTTTCAACAAGGCCAAAGCGAAAGTTTCCCTTCACTGTTTGGTCTCAATCATGGTCACGTTTGGCCAAACAAAGCGCTGCTGACACCTCTGCAACAACCTTGACATGCAGCTGAAATCACACTTCATAAAACTAGTCCAAATCTGGCAGTGAGAGGTCAAACTGAGCCACACGAGTCCGTGCAAAAGCACTGTTCTGTTGTGCACCAACAAAAACCAGAACTTCAGCTCTAAAGTCCGGGTGGATGTTCGTCTGAGTCCGACCTTGGGCTTTTATCCTATGCTGTATCCCTCCCTCGCTCTTCCAGGCTGCCCTGGCTGCATCAAATGAAGGCAAAAATGTCCCAAAAACCTTCAGGGAAATAGCAGAGCGAAGAAATAGAAGCTTCAGAAGCCTCTGTCTTCCTCCCACGGCTCCACATGTCACTTCTGTCCAGAGCAGGCCGAGTTTCTTTGCTGCATAAATGGATCACAAAAGCCCAAGTGGAGACTTCACTTTGTAGAACTATGAAAGGACCTGCAACTGTCTCATGTCCTTGTCTTCA